TATTTACGTTCGATAATTTCAAAAAATAATGGAAAATTCAGGTCGTTCGCACCATATGCACAACGCTAGTCAAGACGCGGGGAGCTGGCCAAAACTCCGAGGTGTGTGATGCGTGCGTGTGTGGCGAGCGGCCCACCATGGGCCGACAGACCTGTTTTTACGGTCAAAAATTTTGGGAAACACGCGGCGTGTATCACTCCAAATACGAGTAGTGCGATCTCAAAATGAACTCTTGAACACAGAAAATACATACACAGACAAGCTAGATCAATTCTGTAACTTAACTTGCAAAAATGTTCTTTCTCCATCGGTGTTTTCTTGGCATTTTTACGATGTCGAATCCGACCAGTTGACAGTGGCCTGCACTGCTAGCTTGCTATCGGTCGCATAGCTATGGACTGGTTACCGCATTTTCATCATGTCTTGTAAATTGGCCCCTGCGCGGCGCGGCGGGAACCAGTCGTCGCCACGCGATTATAGTCGCCGTGACATCGCATTGCGAAGTAGCTATATCGCGAAGCGAATTTGTAAAAATAACGGAGGTTTCTTTTGAAAAAAAGCGAATGTAAGTAAGAAAACAAATAAATACAAGCATTTTTTTATGCAAAAGGGTTGTTGAGAGGTATTTTGTGAAGACAGAAAAGACAACAAAATTTTATTTTTATTTATTCAATCTTTTTTTTTTTTTTAATTGCCGATAAAATTTTTAGGGTCGCAGCCTAAAAATAGGGTCGGTCGGGTAACCGGAAGCAGAACTATTATTTTTTTTGGCCTTAGGGTCACCATGCTGAGTGATGTTATTTGAGGCCGTGCATCATGGAAATTGCAATTTATAATACATCGAAAGTACAGCTTGCTGTGGTAACAGTGCGCTAACTAAGTTAAAAAAAAAAACCAGTCTAATTGATTAATCATAGCCTTCGGTATGTTTAAGAAAGACATGCAGTATACTAACAAGTAAAAGAGTCAATGTTTACCTTTTTTTTAATCTAGAGATAATAAAAATAATGTGACAGATGGGACAAAAATATAGGTCACTTCGATAGAAGATCTAGAACTCAACTTTTAACCAAAAATATCTTTTCATGTACAAAATATACAACTTCTTTTTTTGCGTGACTGGTATTGAAACCTGATTTTTTCAAAATGGTACAAGATTGTAATATTTCATATTTTGGGCTAAAATTATGTAGTGGTGGATAGGGTGGATATCAGACTTCACAGCCAACCAAAAGTAGAAATCTTTGAAGCATATGAACTGTAACAGAGGGGAACTCAAATTCCCATCACAAAATAGGGGGAAAAGCTTAATTTCCGTTTCCCCAAACTCCAACCGACGATAAAAATTAATCCAAGCGCTCAGAGGAAAACAAAAACTGTTTCTGAAAGCCTCGTTAATCTACTCTCCAAGAAAAATGATTTACAAGCAGAAAATGTGCTTTGAAAATTCATGCATTTGAAGCTCTTATCTGGAATTAAGCAATTGTGAAGCGCTTTGAGATCTTTGGTATAAATTGTTTTGTCTTTGGAGTCATGAACTCATTTATGTGCTTACAGTGTAGTAGCCTACTCCCAAGTATGAGGACACACACGTCAACGAGTAATTGATGACAGGAGGCCAATTCCGGTGTGACAGACGGGGCAGATTTACAATATCTTTTTTTTTGCAAAGGCCTGCTACAACCATTATGTAAGGTGTTACTATCTAATGTAAGGTCAAAGTAAACACTCTACATTTCAAATTAAAAAACAATCCATGAAACTAGAGGATTCTTTGGCTGTATAGGGACGAAGTGAAATCAGCGTGATGGACGGGACGGAAATTACACTCCATATTTTGAAAACAACTTTCGTTGGAAAAAGCTACATTGTATCTGTTCCCCTGGGAAATTTAAAGTTTATTCTTTTAAAGCTAATCACTTTTATGCCAATAATCAGTGAACACTTTACTTCGTAATTCAAAACATAGAACTGGAAACACCAGGCTCATTAATGTTGTGACAGATGCGACGTGACAGACAGGACATTTTTATGCTGAATAAATGTAGGCACAAGCATTTACCCATTATGTAAGAAGGACATGTATATTAAATCCCAAAAGAGTCTACAAACAAAATGTATGTTCTTGACTTTTTTTAACAGGTGATTGAAAAAAATGTGACAGACGGGACAAAAATACTGAACAAATGGGTAAAATCTGACATGATTAGCACTGAATACCTGCAGGCACAAGCATTTATTATTTTTAAGAACATGTAGTAGGCCTATATATTAAAACCAGAAGAGTCTACAAAAAAATGTATGTTCACATTTTCAACCTACATGTAGAGGTGATTGAAAAAAAATGTGATGGATGAGACAAAAATACTTTGGCCTAACAAATGGGTAAAATGTGACAGATGGGAGTTTGAGATGAAATATCAGATCAACTATACATGTTCATCAAAGGATTTTTTAATTTTACTTTCTAGGTGAGCTCACCTTGATAGATGATAGAAATTCAAGTTTGAACCAATATATCTTTTCATGTAAAAATTACACAACTTTTTCATTTTTTGGGGGGGTGACAGACGGGACATCACAACATCGTTTTTTTCAAAATGGTGCAAGACTGTGATGTTTCATCTTTTGGTTTAAAAATCTGGAGGATAGGGACGGCATGAGACTTCATACTCATCATAGTCAACCAAAAACAAAATCTTTGAAGCGAAAGAACTGTAGCAGAGGGGAACTCAAATTTCCATCACAAAATAAAGGAAAAAGCTATTTCCGTTTCCCCAAACTCCAACCGATGATAAAAATTACTCCAAGCAGAGCAAATGAAAAACAATTTTGAAAGCCTGGTTAATCTACTCTCCAAGAAAAACGAATTAACAAACAGAAAATGTGCTTTGAAAATTCATGCATTTGAAGTTCTTATCTGGAATTAACCAATTGTGAAGCGCTTTGAGATCTTTGGTATAAATTGTATTGTCTTTGGAGTCATGAACTCATACGGTAAGATGGTGCTTACAGTGTAGTAGCCTACTCCCAAGTACGGTATATGAAAATGAGGACACACACGTCAACGAGTAAGAGGACAGGAGTCAAATCGAGGACAACCTCGATTAGAAAGCATGTACAACAAAACAATGGGAGCTGTTGCAAAAATGTTAGAGAGCAAGTAAACAAAAGATCGATGATGAGGAACAAGAAACAAAAACTTGATTTACACCATGAACAAACCAGACACACAAAGGGAGAACAAAAGATCCTTTCAGTCCTCGAATGTTGGGTCTTTTGTTGAAAATGTTCCTCTATCGTACAGTAAACATGGTAAATGTGCTCAGTCCATGGGAGAGTGTCATATTATTTTACAGGAACTAAGGGAAACACAAAGCATAGTCCTCGGGCGTATAGAAATTCACTACTTGGTGAGCCTGCGAGTGTGAAACGGGTCAACTGAGCACTCACAACAATATCTGTCCTATCTATAGAGTTCTTGTCGTGCTTATGAGTGGTCACACAGCATTGTATGCTGTCATGACCAATAACATTTGCAGGCCGACCACGGTTACAAGATAATAAATATTGCATCATGTACAATGTAGCATTATAAGTCTTTTCTCAATTTCAACACGTGTGCGCACAAAGTTTCGAGAGAGAAACAGTTTGCCTAATGCGTGCAAAATCATAGCAGGGAACCAACCAAATCATAGGTTCTTGTTTTGAAGTAAATGCAAAATGTTGATATCTTTTTATGGCACTATGGTCTATGTTTTTGTATGCTCCAACATTTGTGAAAACAAAGTTTTTCTTCTTCTTTCTGATTAGATGAAAAATTGCAAAAAGCGATTTGGTTGTACCACAACCCCCATAGACTTGGGTGCATTCATCTACTTTGTTTCTCTCTCGTGAAAATTGTAAAAGCCCAGTTGAAATTGCCAAAAGGCTTAGAAAGATAACTGATCTAGTTAGCCCAGCCCCTTGTTTCTGACCAACCACAGCCATAATTAACCCTCCTATGCAAACAAACATTGTGCCAAGTTGTCCTTTCAGTCAAAATCAATTAAGTGACTGTTTCCAACAGTTAAAGAGCGCCCAGCCTAAGCAGGATTGACTGGCTGGGACTGTTTATGTAACCTGAAACAGCTGTGCTTTGACTGTAGCTGATTAATAAGACAGCTGAGCGACTGGTTTCAGGTGCTTTTGTCTGTTGACTGAATTTGACTAGTCAGAGTGCTTGCTCAAAATATGATCTGACTGTTTGTGACTATCCTGTATGAACAACATGGCAGGGGAAGTGCATGTAATTTTTGACTGTCTGACTGTTTAAAGCTATAGTCCATCATTTGCAGCTATCCGAAAAGTAACTGGCGTAAATACTGTTGAAAAACATACTTGGTTGAAAGATAGTAAGGGAACTAAATTCCCTGTGAAATTATTCTCTCTGGCAAGCTGTCATTTTGAAGTAATCAACGAAAGAAGGCCTTTCCAACGGTGCTTCTTAAGACGCACCGTAGGAAAATTTAAATTAGAAGTTCGTTTTGTTATTCGGCGAAGCGCGCGCAAGCGTTGGCACGACGCACACGCGTGCAGTTGCTATAATTCGTCGGATCAGTGCGCGACATCGCGTAGCTGCAATGGGCTCAGTGAGAACATGTCTCGGACGCTGAATTCAGGCCCAATTCAAAACATGATTCAGCAACTTTTGATTTGAAATTGAGATCCTAGAATGCTGTTTTTCTCCGAATATACAGCTGAAGCTGAGCTGAAACTTCATCAGGTTATCTGTTCAGTATCCTTCATTAGATTTTGAACACTTTTATTGCTTCAAACGAACAAAATGCACACATTACAAATGATGGACTATAGCTTTAAACAGTACTTTATGTACATAGGAGGGTAAATGTCGGACAAATCAAAGACACTGTGTCACTGGAGAGGCACACATGCTGTTGCCGATGTGTGCAGGGGGAGGAGCCTTAAATAGATCAGTCTACTGATTAAAAGAGAATTACCTGTATCTCAGCATCCTCGTGTCTACCGTCAAAGGTATCACCTGCAAACATCATGTCGCTTTCCTCAGCTGAACACAACTGGTCAGAACCAGATCCCACCGGTTCTCTCTGGTTTTGATTCTCACCAAGCTCCTCTGTTTCCTCAAGTTCCTGGCTCAGAACTGAATTTGAGGGTTCAGAACCAGACCCATCTCGAACAGAGAGGGCGAGGTTGCAGACGACATTGTCTTGAACACTGGGCTGTTGTTTCTCCTGAATCCTTACAATTTGATCACTCTGCTGGATCATCAAACGTGATAGATCTGCCTCAAACCAGTTACGGCCAGTTCCATCCAGTAGTGGCACTGTTGCTGACAATCCACATACATCTATTCCTGTGACTTTATCATCAGGGCAAGTTGCGAATGTCTTGTCATACACAACATTATCCTGAACTTTTGAACGGGATCTGGGATCATCTTCAATCAAGTGATTGTTTACCGAGGTCAATCTGTTAACATGATCTGGTATGTACACGTACTCTGATTCCTTTAAAGAAATGCCAGATTCTTTTGCACTACAATTCTTTGTGGTTTGGTGCTGGCTCCCGAACATTACGTTGTCCTGTACACTATCGCTGGTTCTGGTCCCCCGATGTCTCGCACGTCCATTTACATCAACGGCACACAGAGTTGTTTCAGTTCCTCTCGTGGCTAAATTCATTATTCTAGAAGCGCCCAAAGTGTTGTCTCTGACACAATTTGACGCACTGCTTTGTCTTTTTCCAGCGGGCTGCAAATGCACATTCTCTTGTACCTCATGCAATGTGGTATGACACAGCTCCTTTGTTTGATAAAGTGCCGTCTTGCGCCTTCCAGAAGTCTTTAATCTTGGGGACATGTTTTCTTTGAAAAGAGCTCGTCGGCTGGATTTTGAATGCCGGTGTTTTTCAAGAGGCCTTCGATCCATTGGTGATTTCTCAGGGTGGATGGCACCTTCATGAAGAAGTTTCTTCTCAAAGAACTCTTCCCCGATGTTGCTCTGTCTTAGTTGATTCACTGTGCATCCTCAAAACATCTGGAATGAATAACAGAACCGTGGGTTTACATGATGTAGGCCTATAATCATTATCCTAGCGGGATCTACCAATAGCGTCATGATCTGCCCCAGTTCCTGACTCCCATTATCGTTCGAAATGTACTTGTATTTACAAACAAGATCCAGTCACAATCGATGCATTGCGCTCGGTAACGGAATCGCACTCGGGATACGGGGACCATTGTACGCTGGGCATGATGACCACATCGCATCGTTCAAACATTAACACGAGTCGGAAAATTAACATGTTCACCATCGCGAGGGGAGCTCTCGGAATTGAACGGGAAATTTCACTTTTCATCCGGATCGTAAGTAAACTTCAGTACAACCATCTTAATTATCGATGTCTACTTTGTACCTAGGGTGGTGTATCTAGTAATTTGTAGGCCATTTTTATTTTGAGGGTGAAATCTGATGTTTTTGTTGGGCAATGTTGGGAAAAAATGTTAAATCATTTTTGCAATGACTGACCTTCATTTAGCCCCATATATGTGGCCAATTTACTGGACTACCTCCGTAAATAAGGCCACACTTCCACCATGTACAAAAACATGTCGAACTTTGTCAAATTTTGATTTGCACATTAGACTTTGTTTGTAGTTTATTTTTGCTTTAGAAGCATACTTACCCTCTTTATAGGCTAATCAGAAAGTTCTGCCTTTTTCAGATGTCTATTTTTTGTGAAAATTCCAGGTTCGTTTGCACACGTTTGCGTATCAAAATTTCAACATGAAATTTCAAGAAAATTAGACATCTGAAAAAGGCAGCACTTTCCGATTTGTGCCATAAAGAGGGTGTGCATGCTTCTAAAGCAAAAATAAACTACAAACAAAGCCTAAATGTGAAAATCAAAATTTGACAAAGTTGGAAATGTTTTTGTAAACGGTGGAAGTGTGGCCTTTATTTACAAAGGTAGTCCAGTAAATTGCCCAATTTATGGGGCTAACCTTCATTGAGATGATTTATGAAGAAAAAAGCAGCGTCTAACTCAGATAGCAACATTCTTTCCCACTGTTGGGTCAAGGACAAAATTGTGTCGACAGACTGACTGACCCTACTATCGCCAGACCATGTCCGAATGTTAAAAAGTGATGTTCCATTGTTCCCCCTAATGATGTTCCATTTTCCGAGATATTCTTCAATCTTTCTGGAGCCCATATGCACTCGTGAATGCACTCGTGCATTTATCGTCTGGGGGCCACGTGCACTGATCTCTATTCAGGATCTACGGCACAGGGAACAGCCGTTGCATTTGCAACTCGCGCCCTCGCTCGACAAGCAATTTGCATAAACGCGACGTCACAGCTTGAGGTCATCTCTTTTCACATTCAAAATGGCTGCCATCACCGGACATTTCACGAGTGCATATGGGCTCCAGAAAGATTCAAGAATATCTCGGAAAATTGAACATCATTACACCTAAGCATCCCAGAAGTGATAGATGGGACATAGTAGAATACAACCATATGTAAGAAATTCCATGCAAATTTTATGAAAACGTCCTCAGTAGTGCGCGCACCACGGTGTGTGGCCTTAGGTTCAGCGCAGCATACCGCGGCCACACAAGTGGGTCTACCCGACGGCCACACTAGTGGGCTAACACAGGCAGGCACAGCTGATTTTACGCGTACCGGCTTTATCATGACATTAAAATAAAAAACGTGGCGTCAGAATGCATAATTCTTTCTTAACTTCCATTGCAATTAATGATATATGAACTCAAGATTATAAAGTCAAGATTGATAGTAGATATTTAATGGAATTAAGGGGAAAATTACCACAGTTTTCCTTCATCCATGTGCAGTAAAACACGTTCGAAGTTTGTACACGGCGCCAGTAGATGTAGTGTGGCGCAAGGCAATTTGCAGCACAAGTACATACGTAGACACGTCTGGGGGTCTGACAAGCTTTGGTTTTGTGTGGCCGAGTGAGGGCGCTATACACAAACAACGGTCGTCACATTATGACAGCTCTTCTGCAGCATCTGCTTCACTCCACATCCCCACAATCAAAACACCCTTTGGAAGACGATATCTCAAGAAAAAAATGCAATGAAAAAACATTAAAAGTTTTCTCGTGATAAGAAACGATACTTTAGAAATTGACGGGGTTGAAGCGTTGACAAAATTTGTGCAGTGTATTTATTAAAACAAAAAATCAAATCGAATACAAGCAATAATTTCTTGTACAAAAATAAAACACTCTAAGACGATGAACAAAAAAACCCACACATTTTAGTGAATTGAAGTCGTCCAATATAATGGCCGCGGTATATAATTGGAAACGGGAACCGTTGAATAAAAAACATAACATGATTTTAAAAATATGTCACTAAATTATAATTGAACCAAAAAAACCCCAAGTCTTTGAGGAGACAGTAAATTTCATTTCAAGAAAAAATACGCTGCATTGACTTGAAATTTCATGCGATGATTGGTCGTGATATTTGACACGACAGGTTTAAACATCGATGGAAACTGTGGAAGATAAAACTGAATCAGATTAGAAGAAAATACAGCGTAATAATCGCCCGAAAATCAATCCGAAAAAGTAATATTCCTATCTCAGCACACGCCGTATGACCGTGTACAATGCGCCTGTCCATAGGAAACGGCCAAACGGCTGATTTTCTACCTCAGCACACGCCGTATGGTCGTGTACAATGCGCCTGTCCATAGGAAACGACCAAACGGCTGATTTTCTACCTCAGCACACGCCATATGGTCGTGTACAACGCGTTTGTCCATAGGAAACGGCCAAACGGCTGATTTTCTACCTCAGCACACGCCATATGGTCGTGTACAACGCGTTTGTCCATAGGAAACGGCCAAACGGCTGATTTTCTATCTCAGCACACGCCGTATGACCGTGTACAATGCGCCGGTCCATAGGAAACGGCCAAACGGCTGATTTTCTACCTCAGCACACGCCGTATGGGCGTGTACAATGCGCCTGTCCATAGGAAACGGCCAAACGGCCGATTTTGTACCGCGCTATTGGCAATACACGCGTGCACAATCGGCCGTGTACAAAAACGGCCATATACGGGGTTCAAATGGGATTTTCGCTATGGTCCAAAAAGCTGGTCTGCGGTTTTTAGGATAAGTTTACGCTTTAAAGCAGGGAACCAGTTACCGTGTGTGTCGCAGAAGTTTAGAGTAGAACAACAGATTGTATTGGATTGATGATTGCGCCCGATTGCGCCCGAACCAGTTACCGTGTGTGTTTTTGGGGTGCCTGTGTCGCAGAATTTTAGAGTAATAAAGTTGCTCACGAAAAAGGAGAGGATAGATAGAATCTTTTCGTGTAAACTTCAACTTGCAATAATACAAAAAATACAACCAGAGGTATTTCATGATTTCAAGGGTTTGGCATCATATTTGAATGAATTAATCCAATGCTAATTTCAATTAATTTATAAAATTTCTTATGGTGTGAGACTTTTATGCAAGACTTCTTGCAACACGGCCAGAGCTTATTGTGCACTCGCACTTGTTTTCTCTGAACGAAATTTCAATTTGTATCCATGTATTATTGTTTTAACCGAAAAAAATGGGCGTCTGCAATTCTCTGAAAAAAAAATGCGTTCATTCTGCGCACAAAATAATAAGTGTGCCCTGCACGAAGAGTCGACGTTGTCAGGAAGCCAATAATTCGCAGATCGTGATCCGCGTTGAAGTCTTTACGCATACGGTGCTGACCATTCGCTCGTACGGTACCCCCGCCCTGTTTGCAGGGCGGGGGAAAGAGCGAATGCTGACCAGTGTTTATGTAGGGCGCCCTCTCCTCCTTTGGAAGAAATTGATGGCAGCAGAAAGTACGGAGCATCCTTACACACTGCTGTTTTCTTGTCGTTGTGTGTATTTAATCTTTCACGGTTCCCGTCGATTTTTTAAAATTTGTTATGTTATGTTATATGAAATTTCGTTCGATAATTAGTCGTGATGTAATGACATCACGACTAATTATCGAACGAAATTTCATATATCAATACAATTTGTTATTCTGGAGTTGCTGTCTCCATAAAGAGTTTTTTTCTTTTATTCAATAAAAAGTGACTAAGATTCGGAATGATTTTTTTCGCGATTAAAACACTGTATTTTCCTTAAATCATATTAAATTAATTCTTACACGGTTCACGTCAACTTTCAAACCGGTTGTGTCAAAAATCATGGCCAATAATCGGACGCAATTTCAATCCAATGCAATGTGTTGTTCTGCAGTTATTGTCTCCACAAGAGTGTTCTTTTTTGTTTAGATAAAAGTGACCAAGCTAAGGAATGAATTGTTCGTGATAAAACACTTTTTTCTTAAAATCATATTAAACTTATTCTACCACGGTTCACGTCAATTTTCAAGCCTGTTATGTCAAATATCATGGCCAATAATCGGGCGCAATCATCAATCCAATACAATCTGTTGTTCTACTCTAAACTTCTGCGACACACACGGTAACTGGTTCCCTGCTCTAAAGCGTAAACTTATCCTAAAAACCGCAGACCAGCTTTTTGGACCGTAGCGAAAATCCCATTTGAACCCCGTATATGGCCGTTTTTGTACACGGCCGATTGTGCACGCGTGTATTGCCAATAGCGCTGTACAAAATCGGCCGTTTGGCCGTTTCCTATGGACCGGCGCATTGTACACGACCGACCATACGGCGTGTGCTGAGGTAGAAAATCAGCCGTTTGGCCGTTTCCTATGGACCGGCGCATTGTACACAACCATACGGCGTGTGCTGAGATAGAAAATCAGCCGTTTGGCCGTTTCCTATGGACAAACGCGTTGTACACGACCATACGGCGTGGCTGAGGTAGAAAATCGGCCGTTTGGTCGTTTCCTATGGACAGGCGCATTGTACACGACCATAGGGCGTGTGCTGCGGTAGAAAATCAGCCGTTTGGCCGTTTCCTATGGACAAGCGCATTGTACACGACCATTATGGCGTGTGCTGAGATAGAAAATCAGCCATTTGGCCGTTTCCTATGCCAAACGCGTTGTACACGACCATATGGCGTGTGCTGAGGTAGAAAATCAGCCGTTTGGCCGTTTCCTATGGACAAGCGCATTGCACACGACCATTATGGCGGTGTGCCGAGATTTTTCAAAAATTAATTGAAATTAGATTGGATTAATTCATTCAAATATGATGCCAAACCCTTGAAATCATGAAATAAATACCTCTAGTTGTATTTTTGTGTTTTATTGCAAGTTGAAGTTTACAAGAAAAGACTCTATCCACTCCTTTTTCGTGAGCAACTCTACTTTAAACTTCTGCGACACACACGGTAACTGGTTCCCTGCTCTAAAGCGTAAACTTATCCTAAAAACCGCAGACCAGCTTTTTGGACCGTAGCGAAAATCCCATTTGAACCCCGTATATGGCCGTTTTTGTACACGGCCGATTGTGCACGCGTGTATTGCCAATAGCGCGGTACAAAATCAGCCGTTTGGCCGTTTCCTTTGGGCAAGCGCATTGTACACGACCATATGGCGAGTGCTGAGGTAGAAAATCAGCCGTTTGGTCGTTCCCTATGGACAGGCGCATTGTACACGACCATAGGGCGTGTGCTGCGGTAGAAAATCAGCCGTTTGGCCGTTTCCTATGGACAAGCGCATTGTACACGACCATTATGGCGTGTGCTGAGATAGAAAATCAGCCATTTGGCCGTTTCCTATGCCAAACGCGTTGTACACGACCATATGGCGTGTGCTGAGGTAGAAAATCAGCCGTTTGGCCGTTTCCTATGGACAAGCGCATTGCACACGACCATTATGGCGGTGTGCCGAGATTTTTCAAAAATTAATTGAAATTAGATTGGATTAATTCATTCAAATATGATGCCAAACCCTTGAAATCATGAAATAAATACCTCTAGTTGTATTTTTGTGTTTTATTAAGGGAATAAATGTGTGCTCCGGAGGTTTTTATCACTCTGTTTAATACCACTTAGAGTCTGGGTGCTGATAATTACCCGAGCCGGAGGCGAGGGTAATTATCAGCACCCAGACTCTAAGTGGTATTAAACAGAGTGATAAATACCGACGGAGTACATATTTATTCCCATTCATAAATACCTTTTCGGTAAAAAAAAATCATATAATTCGTTCAAAACATCCCGATTTTGTTCAACAAATTCACTTTATGCTTTTTGAAACATCCCTCCTGCAAAATAATGGAGTGTTCAGCTGGCGAGTAAGATGAAAACAACCCTTTTATGGAGATTGACGCGCGCGTATCATGTTCTACGCGATGTCGCGCAGAACGCACCTGGCGCGTTGCGTTTTGAATTTAGAACTATAAAATTCTAACTCCCTGGTAGTGTTGCGCATGCCTACGTGAGGATTGTGAACGTTCAACCAATGAAACGATAAGAGGCACTGGATTTTTAGGAGTCCATATTTTATTGTGACACTGGAAAAGTGTTTAAGACCAGCTAGCCATGTCTTTATCATCCGTTTAATACCGGCCACGTGACGGGCTCTCGACCAATACGAATGGCTAAACTGTCTGAGGTATTTATGAATGCAAGTTGAAGTTTACAAGAAAAGACTCTATCCACTCCTTTTTCGTGAGCAACTCTACTTTAAACTTCTGCGACACACACGGTAACTGGTTCCCTGCTCTAAAGCGTAAACTTATCCTAAAAACCGCAGACCAGCTTTTTGGACCATAGCGAAAATCCCATTTGAACCCCGTATATGGCCGTTTTTGTACACGGCCGATTGTGCACGCGTGCGTGTATTGCCAATAGCGCAGTACAAAATCAACCGTTTGGCCGTTTCCTATGGGCAAGCGCATTGTACACGACCATACGGCGTGTGCTGAGGTAGAAAATCAGCCGTTTGGCCGTTCGTTTCCTTTTGGCAAGCGCATTGTGCACGACCGTATGGCGTGTGCTGAGATAGAAAATCGGCCGTTTGGCCGTTTCCTATGGACAAACGCGTTGTACACGGCCGTATGGCGTGTGCTGAGGTAGAAAATCAGCCGTTTGGCCGTTTCCTATGGACAAGCGCATTGTACACGACCATATTATGGCGGTGTGCCGAGATTTTTCAAAAATTAATTGAAATTAGATTGGATTAATTCATTCAAATATGATGCCAAACCCTTGAAATCATGAAATAAATACCTCTAGTTGTATTTTTGTGTTTTATTGCAAGTTGTAGTTTACACGAAAAGACTCTATCCACTCCTTTTTCGTGAGCAACTCTACTCTAAACTTCTGCGACACACACGGTAACTGGTTCCCTGCTCTAAAGCGTAAACTTATCCTAAAAACCGCAGACCAGCTTTTTGGACCATAGCGAAAATCCCATTTGAACCCCGTATATGGCAGTTTTTGTACACGGCCGATTGTGCACGCGTGTATTGCCAATAGCGCTGTACAAAATCAGCCGTTTGGTCGTTTCCTATGGACAGGCGCATTGTACACGACCATACGGCGTGTGCTGAGTTAGAAAATCGGCCGTTTGGCCGTTTCCTATAGACAGGCGCATTGTACACGACCATAGGGCGTGTGCTGAGTTAGAAAATCGGCCGTTTGGCCGTTTCCTATAGACAGGCGCATTGTACACGACCATAGGGCGTGTGCTGAGTTAGAAAATCGGCCGTTTGGTCGTTTCCTATGGACAGGCGCATTGTACACGACCATACGGCGTGTGCTGAGTTAGAAAATCGGCCGTTTGGCCGTTTCCTATAGACAGGCGCATTGTACACGACCATAGGGCGTGTGCTGAGGTAGAAAATCAGCCGTTTGGCCGTTTCCTATGGACAGGCGCATTGTACACGACCGTATGGCGTGTGCTGAGGTAGAAAATCAGCCGTTTGGCCGTTTCCTAGGGCCAACCGCATGCTGCTCGGTGGCTCGCACCCAACTTTCCAAATGGGGGCGCTCTTCAAAACTGACCATTATTTTCGCTTGTACCCCAAGCCCTGCAAACAGGAAGGCGGGAGCGAAACCATTATAATGCTTACTGCAAATAACTATATGCCCATTTTCACGGCGCATGTTTTTGAGCGGGTTTTCTTTTTTTGGGCTTGATGTCAAAAACTCTCTAACCATTTATTTGAATAATTGCTGAAAAAAAATTGTCAAAAAGATCCAAAAGGAGGGGCAAGGCAAGGTGCCCCCTTCCCTCGTCTGGATAGCCACTGGGTGGTCCCCAACATTAAACAAGAGCAAGTGCACAATAGTATCTGGTGGTCTTGCATGAAATGTATCAAAATTATCCCCGTCGGAGCTTACAAATGCGACCCCCAAACAATTGAAGCTGGGCTCCTTTTTGGACTTTTGCTCCCGGCCAGTTTGGGTTTTGAGAATTTAGACCCTCCATCTCTAATGTACCAAGGTTCCATAATGGCATAGCAAAAGCATGGTTTTTAAAATGAGACAAACATCGAAGATAAATTACTCAAGACAAACAACTAGTTTCAATTAAACAATATATATTTATTTACAATATCAATCTTTTATTCTCTGATGTTCCAAATTGACGATCATTGGGGAATTAGTAGGGATATATCTAAAACACAATTAATTACCAAATTAAGAAAATAAAAATACTTCAAAACACTTGTTGGATTAGGGCTGTGCATCAGAACCAGGTATCCGAGTAACCGAAACCGTTTATGTCGGGAACAGACTCGGGAACCGGTTTCAGATTATGAGATCGGTTACCCATAACCAACTTTACAAATTAGTTAGTAACTTCTCAGACAATGAAAATTATAGGTTTTGAAGTCATTTGTGGGGAATTTTCAAAATGAAAACCAGGCCACATGGGAAAACAAAACAAATTCACATTTTATGACGATTGCATAAGCAGCAGTTTACACCGTTAAGCTATAAAGCTCAATGTACACACTTGTGTGTTGACATATTGATGCGCCGATGCGGTAGTATTATCGTGCGGACCTTTGTAAACAATCTCAACAGCAACTTCCCAGATTTGAATTTTGGCATATTTGGTGTGATTTTTTTTAACGGGTACCGGAGTACCCCTAGTTTTACTTCAATCGTGTACCTGGTTCCTGTACTACCCGTAAATGCACACCCCTATTTTGGATCACATTCTGAGAATCTCTTCATTCTGCAACAATTCGCTCTTTGCACGCTACGCCATGAGCACGCACAGCCTCGATCTGGGAACTTTACACAATAAAAACAGCCGAATAAGGATTCCCGTGTATACACGGGAATCACTGAACCGGCTATGCTTGTAAAGTTGTCCGATCGAGGGTCTGCATGCTTTGGCGGAAGCTTGCAAAGAGCGAATCAATTGCATCACTTAAACACAAAAGAAGATATTAGGAAAATTTGCATGTGGAACTAGTGCAAAAATTAATTCGTGTTTCATGTGTCTGATTAAGGGTGGAACACGAGAAAATTACATAAACAAGCTCATCGACTTTAAATCATTAAGAATCAAAATCATACGTGTCATGATTTTTTGTTAAATTATGACCAAACTCTTAGCAACAAATCATTGTGCATCTCAGTTGGTCCGTGTGTTAGTTCGTTAGTTAATTAGTAACAAACGCTCCACGCAGCCGCAGCTCAATGAAATGCGATAATTTCGGAAATTTTGATCATTAGTTTTTGTGTGGGATGGCATTATGGTTGCATGTGTATTCAAGTTGCCTGGGCAACATCCATTTGATTGGCCAATTCTCCGGCAGTGTCATCCTTGAGAGCTGTCCCATTCTCATGAATATTCATATCAAGGGTCTCATCATCATCATTAGCCACGCCCTCACTGTGATTGACAACACCAAGGTCACCGTTGGTCACGCCCACTTCAGAGGCATTCAGGATGTTGGCAGTGGCTGTCTTCGTCCCTGTGGTCTGCTGGTCGGTGGTCTGCTGGTCGGCGGTTTGCTGGGGTTGAGATTCGAGCGGTTTTCTGGGAGTTGAGTCAGTGGCTGGGTTAACACGTTGCCAGGATGGGATGGGAGATGGCTGTGGAGTGGCAGGAAACTGGTGCCTGTCAGAGAATCAAAATACAAACTGTCAGATAAGATCAAATAACACTCAATCAGAGATGACACGCAAGTCTTGGAAAGTTTGCTGAATCAAAAGTTGCTGAATCATGATTTGAGTTGTGCCCGAATTCAGCGTCTGGTAGACGTTCTCATTCAGCCGATTGCAGTTACGCAATGGCGCGCACTGAACCGACGAATTACGACAACTGGGCGTGTGCGTGCATCGTATCAACGCTTGCACGCACCCATTCATGGCTTCACTGAATTAAAAACGAACTACAAATGGAAATTTCCAAAAATGAGTCTTTAGACGCATCGTTGGAAATGGCCTTTTTTCATTGTTCATGACAGCATGCAAGAAAGAATAATTTCACAGGGAGTTTAGTGCCATTACTATCTTCAAACCAAGTATGCTTTTCAACAATAATTTGGACAGTTACTTTTTGGATAGCTGCAAATGATCTACCCTACCTTTAAGTTATTTATTATTTCTGGTAAACCAACAAGGATTCTTCAATATGGCAATACAACCGTGGCTTGCAAGCTTGGAAAAAACATGGGGCCAAGAAACAAATGTTTCGTTTCAGACAGCTATTTTTTTTCTCCAACATAAAATCACTTGATTAACCTACCATTCACTACAGTGTTTCAAAAAAATTGTGTTTCACTGCACAATTGTCAATTGACATTTTTGGACCCTGTGACTAAGTTCACGACTTAATCAATTCCAGTGCTGTGTTATTTAAGCTGTGTAGAAGCCTTCATGTTGTGGAAAAAATGGCTGATGTGGTTTGGGATTGGAATCATTTGCCATTGAGCATTAAAGTGAGGTCTTGCCATGATGACTGATAGCCAGGCAAATGATTCCAATCGCAACTGCAGCCCTCTTTACAACATGAAGGAGTAACACAGCTTACATAACACAGCAATGAAATTGAATAAGACAAGGAACTTGGTCACAGGGTCCAAAAATCTTGTTGTGATCAATTGACAATTGTGTAGTGATGCGTGACTAAAATTAAATGAAACTCATAGGGGTTGAGGCCAAGGCTTAGGAGTATCTGCACAACCAAATATTTTCAAAATTGACCTCATGTTTTGTACTTATTTCAAAAATAGTCAGACGGACACTTTTTGGGGATATAACAGAGATAGGTTTTGCAAAAATAGATTGTGGTTATTTTCTTTTTAATATATATGGATTGGCTGCTACATTTTTATTGACACATGCTGTACAATCCTCCAGATTCAGTCCCTAACACATTGTATTGGTCTATAAAAGTTGGCTTCATTTGTTAACCAGGCGAGTTTATTTCTTTGTCTTTCACAGTCACAAATAAACATTCACCTGCATGAAATATGACACAGCCTATGACTGAATAACCACTGCTTTCTATACCTGTTCAGCAGCAGTCCTTTGAGTGAGGTGATCTCGGCCTTCACATCAGCTATCTCGGTACTACTACTGCTTGATGTGATGGCTCTGGTGGTCACCACACTGGCTGTAAGGCTGTCTAGTTTGACTTGTTGCTGTTCCAGTAGACCCTGGACAGACGTCACTTTTGTCTCTAGCTTCTCCACTGTGAACAGAAGAAAAAGCCTGCTTCATTACTGCATACTCTACATAACATGAACCCTCCTGCTGTGTTAACAGCCAGACAGTCAAAAACAAAGTTAATATTCCATCTTAGGAATAGTTTAATTGCGGTACCCGCTGCTACATGTACATCAGATTCGAACCAGCCAGCCGATCCCATAAGCTCGGTGGTCGAGTGGTAAGACGTCTGCACTAGAAAGCAGGAGGTTGTGGGTTCGAGTCCCATTCGAGTGATTTCTCAAACTTTCATTCGAGTATACACTGCTTATACGTCGGTGAAGGGCAAAACCTAATATTGATTAACATCACCCCGACGCAAAATTCCATCTTTTGAATAGACAAAAAATAAATCCTCTTCCCCTGCCAAGCCTTTTACACAGGTTAATCACCAACAGTCAGATCATATATTTCAAGCAAGCACTGTGACTAGTCAAATACATTCAACAGACAAAAGAAGGCATGTGATAGGCACAGCTGTCCTATCAATCACCTACAGTCAAAGCATAGCTGTATCAAGTTACATAAACGGTCCCAGCCAGTCAATCCTGCCTTATGTAGGCTGGGAGCTCTTAGCTGTTAAAAAACAGTCGATTGATTGAATTTGACTGAAAGGATAAATTCAACATGTGCTTTTTTTAAATCTCAAAGACCTGAAAAAAAAAAATTTGCGGGTGTTAATCTCCCACATTTCTTTTCCATTTTCGCCCTCCTCAACGACCTAAAATTTACTGAATGTTGTTACACAAGGAATTGTCTTTCTGGCCGTTGAACAGACTGTATCAAACAAGATGGTTAGACTTCAGTGCACATAGAAACAAAGGTCTTTCTTGGTAAGTTGGTAACTGCCATAGCACAAGACAGAGGAATGGTCAGGCGTGTCGTAAATAACATGTTGAGGAGGGCAGAAGTCTGTATCCAAAGTAATGGTTGTCATTATGAAGATTAAAGGGAAGATACAACATTAGCAAACATCACAAAACGAAATGATCAAATTATGATAAAATACCTTACTGGATTGTTAGGGATTGACTGTTTAAAGCATCCTGTAAAATCATGGCTCCTGGTGTGCTGACATTTTCAAGAAAAGTGGCATTTTTCCAACGCTGATCGGCCGACCAGCGCTGGAGAAAACTGGCTTTTTTTCAAAAACTGCTTGCAAATTCTTTGCTGCAAAAACTGTAAAAACTCTTTGCAATTGATTACACACCTGTGAAGGGGTACAAGCCTGCTAGACTGATTCTTTGACCTTACAATTCCCCAAAGTCTATAAATTCTCTGTTTCATCTTAAGTGGGGTCAGGGATCCAGACTACAAAAATGTAAATGGTTTTCTTGGTTTTTCCAGCATCTACAAGCCCAAAACGTGAAACAAGTCATTTTAACAATATTTGCTATAACATACTCATCATCCAAATTCATTTATTCCTGAAAATTGGAGCAAAAACAAATGTTGTACATTCCCTTTAACCTGTAATGACATTTCCACAGTCAATGGTGATTAAAAAATCCACATGTAAGATTTGTCTCTTATTGCCTTTGATCCAGTTAAAAACATCGCATTTGTGTGCGCAAGCCGTTTTTAAAAGCTTGCAAATGTAGCCCTTGATAAGTCATACATGAAAGTGCCAAATGATCGTGGTGTCATTTAAAGCCCGACAGGTTTATCTACCCATATGTATGGAGTGATATTCCAAAAATATTTGTCGACATTTTTCTGAGTGTATACTTCTTTTTGATACACCCTGTACACAAGTGTCTTAAAGCATGTATGTTCAGTATATGTGCACCAAAATGGTTTTGCAATACAACTGCATTCGTTTATTTCAAATGCACCAAATTGAGAATGTCATCTTTTATCTGAGATCCATTTTTATCTGGGAGTTGTTTAAAAGTGAGACTGTTGTGTGTATATCATGTATTTACACTTTGATGATGTTCAAACTAAGTAAGCATTGATAAATTTGCCAGAGTGAATTAAAACGTCTACCCACCAGTCAGCAAGACACTTTTGTTGAGTTCTTGAACAGCGGCCTCCAGCTTGTCTAGTCTCTCTTGTTCTTCCTTCCGAGAGCGCAGAAAGGGCATCAGGAAATTCTGCAGCAGCAAAACATTTTCACAAATGCCACGAGATGAAGAGTGTGGTTCACAGAGCTATGAAATGCATTTGCAATGAACCTGTGTTCACAGGAATGGAGTGCCCATCTTTCTTTCGAAGCGATTGGGCCAGACTCCAGTCCATGAAATGCTGCTGGGGGATCGCCACAGCTCCTCCACAGCGAGTATGTTACCTTCCCAGCATTGAACAATGCCGGTACCCATTTAACACCTGGATTGAGAGGAGTAATTGAGGTAAAGCGCCTTACTCAAGGGCACAACACGCATGGCCACGGCGGGGCTCGAACCCACAATCTCACGATCGTGAATCCTGTGCCCCACCGCTAGACCACACATGCCCTCTAAGATAAAGCTACAAATCCAAACAAGGCCAAGATTTCGGTCAACCCCTTATGTTAGCAAGACAGTGCCTCCGATATTCCTTGCATACCTGGATCAATTTGTAGACTCCATAGCTCATTCCACCGATGATGACAGCAATGGCCGTGTAGTCTCGCCAGCTTGTCAATCTGGGCGGCACAGGCTGCCCGTAAGGAACTGGTTGAGAGCAAAAATTAAAAGCAAATGTTAACCAAGCCCACAGCATCGTTTATTCTATGTTTTTGAGGTGAGGACCCTTTTAAACCTAGGCTCTTTTGACAAGGATCCATCCTCAATCCTGCAAAATCCTCCCATTGCCACCATGTAAAAATTGGATTCAGCCTCCATCCTCCAAAATCATCCATTATTTCTTGAATTTGTTCAGTGGATGATGACCACTGCCTCAATCCTGCAAAATCCTCCAACAATTACTGTTAATGGGTTGAGGTAGTGCTGATGACATTTAGAAGCAGTGCTGATGATATCGAGCATAATGCATGGGTCAGTTATGCATGACTGAACTTAAACAATGCTGGGTACAGCCTACAAACTCAACACAATGCATCCTCCAAAATGAACCTACACTTTTAGGCCATTCAGCTTCAATCCATTCAGCTTCAATCCACAAAAATCCTCCAAAATCATTTGGTGGATTTCGAAAGATTTTGGAGGATTGAGGAAGGTTAAAGGGAATATACATCATTTGCTTTTGCTGTAATTTTCAGAAATGGATGGAATTGGGGGGTTGGAAATATAAAGCAAATATAGTTGCACTGACTTTTTGGAGGTTTTGGGTTCGAAAATGCTATAAAAACCAAGAAAAACGATCATTTTCCTGTAGTCTGGTTCCCTGACTCCATATAAGAAGAAACAGAGCAGTTTACATACATTGGGGAATTGTAAGGTCAGGGAACCAGTCTAGCTGGCTCGTACCCGTTCATAGGTTTGTAATCGATTGCAAACAAGTGCAATGGTCAATTGGGGCCAGTATTTGAAAAAAAGCCAGTTGTTTCCAACGCTGATCGGCCGATCAGCGTTGGAAATTGATACAAAAATACCACTTTTCTTGAAAATGACAGTATACCAGGTGCCATAATTTTACAGGATGCTTCAGGCTGTCATTTACCAACATCCTATTAAGGTATTTCGCAAAAACTTGGTAGTTTTTTTTTCGATGTTTGCAAATGTTGTATATTCCCTTTAAGGTCAATGCTGTTGAAATACATTTGATACCATTGATAGCTCAGGGCAAACAGGTGGATTCTATCATGCTTCACTGCTCTCCACGGTAGATTTTGGTTTTCACTCTTTGTTGTTCCTTCTGGTTTGAACAAAGCTTGCTTACCCATCTGCTGATGCTTCATCGGAATTCCCGGTGGAGGGACGAACATAGACTGATTACTGGGTGTCTGTACAGGGGCAGCCGCTGGTACCACATCTTGCCTGGTTCCTGAGCGATCAATAGCTATCTCCATTTCTTGTGTAGTGAGGCCTACATCCAATAAATAAATAAATGCAAATAACATGTAGTCTTTGTTCACAAAATCATATTTTTAACAAGTTTTACAGTCATAAATGACAATGGCATGGAGGAAGGCATACACAGTCCACATAGAAAAATAATTCTGCTCCGACCACAGGAGATGCACTGGTAATTCGACGGAAAGCTGAACACAGCAGGAGTTAGGTTTATAATTGAAAATTTACCTTTCTTCTGTAAGAAAGCCTTCTTCTGAGATAAAGGACCTGAGCGCACCTGGGGGTTTTGCAAGAATCGTATCGCAGTTGCAATCTGAAAGAGAAACATTCCTAAACATTATCTCTCCTGGACACGATGATCAATTTATTTGTGAATCTTCATCAAATAATAAACCTTTTTGGCAACAATACAGGGTGAGTAAAAAAAACCCCCAAATGTCAGGACTATTTTCTTAATGAAGTTCTGCATGTAGCACTTTCAAAATCTAGGATATGAAAGCCCAATTAATAAGCTTTCTTTTAGTACAAAACCATTCAAAAATGTACTTTTCAAGTTTACGGAATTTTGAACACAAACACCGTTTTAAAGTTCTGTCCACGGGTCACCGTAAAGGTGAAAAGTGTTCTTTCAGCAAAACGAAAACAATTCACATAGGGACGTACATGTGATTTGTTTTCGTTTTGCTGAAAGAACACTTACATTTTTGGTGATCCATGGTGTGTACAGAACTTTAAAACGGTGTTTGTGTTTAAAATACCGAAACTTGAGAAGTACATGAGTGATTTGAATGGTTCTTGTACTGAAAGAAAGCTTATTAATTGGGCTTTCATATCCTAGATTTTGAAAGTGCTACATGCAGAACTTCAATAACAAAATGGTCCTGACATTTGGGTTTTCCTCTTTTTTTGGACTCGCCCTGTATTACCATCTCAGTAACCTTACTAAACATGTTTTGTCAAATTACATTATATTGGTTAATTATAATGCTCTTGTGCACAGCAACAGTCCTTACTAATCCTGTAGTACAACATAAATTTACTTGAAACAAAAAAATCACTGTGTTAATTTCAATGGCCACATCTTTTGATTTTAGTCATACAGGTATGTTTTCCTTTTTACCATGTTTTCCCTGGGCACAGCATTGCTAGCAATGGCATCGTTTTGCAGAGTGACTGATGCGTCTGGCTGTTGACCAGTTGTCATCTATATACATGTACAAAAAAAGAAGAAGCATTATCAACAAAGAGCAACATGGAGAAGTTACTTGTACATATGCACATGTGAAGATCAGGCTGGGCCGGCTAGCTACGGTTTGAAATGACGCACATGTCTACGGGATTGGCTTCTTGTGTGACTCGTAGCCATACAGCCACAGGGTTCCTTAATTGGGTGCCTCGACGGTGCCCAATGGAGGTGTCCTGTGATTGGCCCGTCGGATACTAGCCATGCACGCGCACGTCCGATTTTCCCATACGTGTAACTTCACCATGTTGTTCAGTACGGAAAGCAGATTTTTTACAATTATTTTTTTGCACCATCGGAACTGATTCAACCCATGTGTTTTTTAGCACATGGAACGTGAGTGTGTCAATAAGTACCAGACAAAGTTTGGGGACAAAATGTAAAGCGGTTTTTCAGCACCACAGAAGAATTGAACGTGTTGTTTCCTGTATTGTATTATGTGGTAGTAGTGTATAGTTTGCATTGATATAAATGTACATGTACTTTCTACGGGGCTCCACACCACAGTTCAGTGATCGTGTAGTTGCAGCTGGTTCCTATTTTAATTTATTTGACTTTAATACCAAACAACTTGGTAACATTATTAGAACATGCAGGTATGCCATAACTATGATATCGTTAGATAGAGGGTAGACCCTTAAATGTGGCATCAATAAAAATGCCACGCTTTTTGTGGATGTTAGATTCTTGATTCTTCCTTATGAAGCTTTCTGTGAATTCACGCGAACGTAGGAACTGGCATTGCCAAGAAACTTTATTACCAACATGGCTGTCACCCGTCATTCAATTCTGGTCAACAGCGCATGCATGTGGGTGCACTTTGAACTGATGATTACTGAATGACAGGTAACAGCTATCGATATGCATGTTGGTAAAGTTGACGCATGCGCAGTGGAAACCAAGAGAATCATGACCACTGACCTCAAGCAGATTCAGGAACATGACGCGACAGATTCTCTATTAATGACTGGAAAGCCAATTTCATAAGCTACATTTAGATGAAAAAAACAATTTGAAATTACTCAATCCGTTCACTAAATATCACCATTTAGACACAATGACCCTAAAACCTCTTTCGTCCATAAATTGCGATTTCAAGAATCCTTGTCGCAATTGTCTTCATACATCACGAGCGATAAAACCTCAGTTTGAAAGTTACAAATATTCAACAAAGTCCTTTTGAAGGCCAGTCTTTTAAAAAAGGGGGATTTTATAAATCAATATTGTTTGCCTCACAAGGGTTGTTAATCAAGATATTGTGTACTGAACAGTTGTTGAAACAAGTATTCGGTGTCATTTTCTTTGTTGTTCCAAACAGTCAGAATACACAATAAATTGCTTTTTTTTTTGACGAAACAGGTTTTAGGGTCATTGCGTTTAAATGGTGATATTCTTTGAACAGATTGAGCAATTTCAGTAATTTTTTATTTAAAAGTAGCTTATGAAATTGGCTTTCCTGTATTTTACATGTATGTTTTGCGGCTGATTAATACGGAGTTAGTCCAGTATTTCAGTAGTGAGTTCAGCGTAAAACGTAAACATGACAAATGTATCTGAAAGCAAGTGAAAAATGGCTGAAAATTTTGTGATATTAAAAATAGCTCCTGTTGCTCACATTCGACTTTCAAATGATTTCTGAAGATACAGAGGATTTTTTTCCAATGATGGCTAATATGGTGTGTATCAGATGCTAAGTTTAACATTGTAAAATTTACTTTCCAATTCGACATACTTCGCCGAAGTCTTCGGACGTTTTTTTTGTGAGCAGCAAAAGGGAGCTGCCATCGTCAACTTGCTTAAGGGATGTCATTAAAGTGTCTTATATGGCCTTTCTCCTTTCTCTTATTTGACTTATGACCTTAAAATAAAAGACCAGATCTTGCAGTTTATGAAACCCACAATCCATTTATACCTTATTTGGTGCATATGGGTGGAGCTACACCCAGGGGTGTGAGTGACCACTGATAAAAATAGCTGAAAACAGCTGAAAAAGGTCTAAAAAAGCTGAACTTTGGAAATCTCCTATACTTTTGTACACGGCAAATGAGGGGAAAAAAGCTGAAATCCAAAACAAAAAAAAGCTGAAATCAAGTGACATTGAATAAAAAGTTTACCTTGAGTGATGGAGAGACCACAAAACAATTTTCAAAATTTAAGCTCTTTTTATTTTGATTTTACGACATCAAAAGTACCAATGTCACTTTTCCTAGTTCTGGATCGGTTCAATCAGTTCCAAATCGATCAAAACTGCTTCACGCGAAGAAAAAAAATGACGCGAGAAATTGTTTTCCAGTCAGCATGGCCAGAGCCAACCGAATCAAGCATATTTTCTGATAAAGTATTATTTCATTTTCCAAAAATAGTTCATTCAAGAAAATTCCAGCAAATTTTAAAAAGAGAAAAAAACGTAAATGATTTTGAAACTTTTGTCTAGGCCCCTAAGTCGGAAATATGCCCAAAACTCCTCTTCTAAAAATTTTATCAGAAAAATCTTTGTGAATGTGTATCAAGGTAAGGAGCAAGTTACAGTTTCCTTTTCAAAATGCACATCGTCCAAAAAAAAATTATTAGAGACTTATCCAAAAGGGGTAGGCTTTTATTTGGAGCTATCCGGAATTAGGAAAAATCCGGAAAAATTTCCAAAAAGTGCTGAACCAGAATCGGCTGCATAGCCACTGCAGCACTCATGAGCATGTGACGACAGTGATTGTTTGTTCTATTTTTTACCAACCTTAGCTTGGTCTTCGGGCAGTGACTCAGTGCTCGTCATTGTTATGATTCACGTTCATTCACTGTCAGCTACAAATTATCAGCATGTCTTACCCATACCGGGCAATAAAAGGTGAGAAAAGTTGAGCAAAATCCGAGAGCGCAGAACTTCTTCTTCTTGCAGGCCGTCATATAACTGTCTGCTGCCCTCAAGAGTTCATTGGTTATAATATTTCCTTTCACTGGTAATCAGAATGATCGAATATAATAAAACAACGAAGAGTTCGCGCGGTACCATCGAGTTTATTTTTAGATTGTAAAATGTCAACTACGCGCTTGATACTGCGCAATAGCCGTAGCCTTGTTGCCGTTTTGTGATTGGACAATAACGACGTTGTGTTCAATGGATGTACGTATCATGTACATTACGTACGGGCGTGTACATACTTATACAAGACCAGATCTTGCAGGATTTTGTTGTGACATATACGCGCAGGAACAACTTTATCATTTCACAAAACCCATACGTGTGAAGATCTTGACAGTTCGATGTAAAATGGAAATGGCATGATCTTATCCAAACACATCGCAATGATTCGTTGGACAATTGTGTATAAAGCAGTTGGGAATGGAAGAATAACTTCTTTCTTTTAGATTTTTTTATACATCTAAATTTATTAATTTTATATAGGCCTATACACATACATACTTTATTTAGAACAAAAAACCCTTATTTTATGCATCTAAATTTATTAATTTATACATATACACGTTTGCGTATAAAATTTGATCCCTGGTTTCTTTTTAAGTATTGTTTTAATTTTTGTAAATCAACCCCTTTCTTTACTTCATTCATTCATTCATTTTTATTTTGCCAATATAAAAACAATACATGAAACGCACGTCGTACTCGCGTACGTTGGAGTTATTAAACTGCGAACAAACGAACGTCGTTAATCGTCCAATCACAAAATGGCAACAAGGCTACGGCTATTGCGCAGTCGCTTGATGGATTCGCAGCATCAAGACGTCAAATTTGGTCCTCCTTCAGACAAACACAACACCGATATGCATCGAGACGTGAAAGTCAGTGTGTATGATCCTCAGCCTATCGATCACAGGCGAACTAGGTATCCTTACTGCGTCGTATGGACACCGATTCCGTTTTTAACGTGAGTGGCAATCAGCACCAGCGTCGCGATCCGCAGGCCAGGGTGGATCCGGAGGTGTGGCGCCGGCGATTGGGGGGGGGGGGGGGGGGGGGGGGGGGGGGCGGGGGCGGGTGCTGCTTGGTGTGTGTTGGGGAGGGGGGAGGGGGGGGGGTGAGGAGGAGAGTTGGCAAGGTGTGTGTAGGTACGGTGGCTTTTTCGATTATTATCAATTTCTATTCATCTCAGAAATCTGCAATTATTGATTGTATTGTAACTAGTCATGCTAGTTGTCAATGGTTGTGGAAAGAACTTGCAATCTGACACAAGTAACAAAGTGGTACCAAACAAAGTAATAACATGACCACCCAAAACCATCAATTTCTATCTTTTACCATTGACTACACGCAGACACCTCCATTATCCATATGATCTTACACACAAAAAATTGGCAAAAAACCCCAAAACAAATCCCCTACCTACCTACCCAATTTTCAAATGCCAGAAGTATTTTTTTTTTTGGCCTAATGAAGTTTTTCCTTCATCATGTTCATAGCCCTTCAGTCGCTACTAACTAGTACTACTAGTAGTAGTAAAGGCTAATCCTATAATCTCAATAAAGGTTGGTCATTGCAAAAGTGTTGAAAACACAAGAAACATTTCAGATTTCGTTAAGAAATCCTGATGGATGTAGTTAATCCAAGTAACTAGGACTCTACAAATCACCTTTTTTTTTTAGATAGTGGATATTTTGCCGGAGGTAATGACGGCAAACTAACGATTACTAAAGGTTTGCCGGCGGCAATCCATATCAACAGAGGGCGCTGTACTCTTTAAAATAGGGCTGAATTATAAGATGTATTAAATTCCCACCAAAAGTTGTGTAGCACGTTTGGTGTAATGGTTAAGCAAAGGCTTTAGAAAGCGGGATGACTCGCGTTCGATTCCGACCGCACCACATTTTGAAGTTTGTTTTCTCATCCCCAAATAAATAAGAATATTCTTCTTTTATTATTTTAACATGTCTCAAACATTTTTTGCAGAGTATTACATTTTCTTTTTCAGATTTGTGGCTCTGGAGGATTTTTTTTAAAAGGGAAATAAAGTCCGAAATTATAAAATGGTCTGAATCCCATCTTGTGAATACGAGGTAACAACGATAATTTTGGCATGGAGCCAGACTAAAACTTGTCACCGGAAAATGTTTAAGTAAAAAAAAACCAGTAACTGCGCATGTTCAGTGCATATCCGGCAAACTAACGTTTACTAAAGGTTTGCCGTCTCCGGCAAAATATACACTGCCTTTTTTTTAACATTTGGACATGGTAAAAAAGGCGATTTGTAGGTCCAAATATTTAAAAAAATTCAATTTGTAGAGTCCTAGTTACTCGGACTAGATGTCTGTCTGTCTGTAGCTGTCTGATGTCTGTGTTTCTGGGCTAGACTTGAGTTATATCCCTGCCAGTCTCCCGTGGATAAAACTTTTTAAAGAAATCAATATTAAAATGTTCATTGTGACAAATAACAAAAATTTTAAACAAATAAAATAAAATAAAAATGGTGAAGCTGCTGGGTTTTTTATCAGGTTAACAAAATAGTTGACTGTGATTTAACAATACATGTCAGTTTGATTTATCAAACATTGCATTTTCTATTTTTTTCTGTAGATGGATTTTCCCGTTTATTGGCCACATGGGAATAGCTATGTCATCTGGCGTCATTCGGGACTTTGCAGGTCCTTATTATGTATCAGTAAGTTAACATGTTCAACAAGTTTGTCCTTTGGCCTTTTAATACAAACATTAGTTTTGAATTGACCCAGATTGGGATCTTGAGTGCAGAAAAACATGCAACACAAAATCAGGCCAACTTTATTCACAAAATTCTCCAAAATTTTCATGAGGCAGAGACAAGGTCCTCAGTATTTCACCAGCCAAGTTTGAAGTCTCAATCCAATTTTGAAAGGAGACCTTTTCTTCAACGATTTACACCTGAGAGTGATGCAAAATGATTTCAATTTGAAGCCTTGGATTAGATTGGTGTATAGTTTAGAAGATTGACCATTCAGTAGTCTGTTGACATGACTATGGAAATGTGTGAGAATAGAGACTGGGTACCAGATGTTTCTTTTGACACAGTTGATTGATGCAGTACTTAAGGTACTAGTTGTTTCAGGTGCCTGTCTATGTTCTTGTATTGCATGTTTTTGCTATCTTAAGTTTTGGGACTCGCATACACAGTATTGAGAGTCCCAGATTTTCAGACTAATTGCCGAGCACGCAGTTCTGATGAAAAATATGGATAAAGGCAAAACCTAATAATATTGAAATCATTGGGCATGATCTGAAAAAAAAAATCCTCTAAAGTCATTAGATACGATAGAGATAGATACAAAAAGAGATATTTAATTGAATATTTGATGAAAGTAAATAAAAGATTTTATTGCTTGTAATTGAAGGAAGATGACATGGGCTTTGGAAAGCCGACCAAATACTGGATGTTGGACCACGCGCAGGCCAAGTCCAACTCATGGGATGTCAGCATATCGGAGGCTTCAGAAGAATACAAAAACAGAATGGTGAGTTGCAAGAGTTAAAGAGGTCACAAAATAGGCTGCTACAAGCTTGTCACTAAAATTGTGAATCGATATGCATTTTCTTTCTTCTATTTTAGCACAATCTGTGTTGTGATAACTGTCATTCGCACGTTGCAATGGCGCTGAATTTGATGCAGTACAAGAGGCAGAGTTGGAATATGATCAAGCTGGCTTTCCTCATGCTGATATATGGCCGATATGTTGGGTGAGTCAATTCAACAGAATCTATCACTACCAATCAGAATCTATCATTATCCATCAGAATCCATCATCCATTAGAATACATCAACTAGCTTGTGACCGACTACAATGACTTGTGACAATACTATGACTTCTCATATATGGCCGATATGTTGGATGAGTCAATTCAACAGAATCTATCACTACCAATCAGAATCCATCATTATCCATCAGAATCCATCATTATCCGTTAGAATACATCAGCAAGCTCGTGACTGACTACAATGACTTGTGACAATACTATGACTTTTCATATATGGCCGATATGTTGGGTGAGTCAATCCAACAGAATCTATCACTACCAATCAGAATCCATCATTATCCATCAAAATCTATCATCCATTAGAATACATCAGCTAGCTTGTGACTGACCACTACTGTGACTTTGTGACAAACGTTTTGCCTCATTTTGTGCCAATCTGTATTAAAACGACAGGCTTGTTGGAGACGTTTGTCTCGCTAAAAACCTACTTAAAATGACTTTTCTTGTAATCTTTGTTTGCAGGATTGGTGGATTTCTGAAGACATGGTTGCCAGCGATCATATTGTATGGCATCATCATTGCGTTGGTGTTGATTCTGTGATGGATAGTTACCGCAATGTTCTGAGATCCAGAGTTAGTAGGAGTTGCTTAGTTAACCAGCACTTGACATTCAATGGGGTACCGAAGTGTGACGTCAGCTATCATTGTTGTGGTTCACGCTCTGATGTCTTCACACACTAAAGCCTAGTGCATGGAACAGAATACGTGGCGCACTTCGGTACTCTATACAAGGGTTTCATAGTAAAGTGCACCATAAAGTGCATGTAAAAATTGGATTCAGCCTCAATCCTCCAAAATCATTTGTTAATTCTTGATTTTGTTCAGTGGAGGGACGACCATGTTATTCTGTTAATGGGTTGAGGCAGTGCAGATGACATTCAGAAGTCGTGCTGATGATATCCCTATTTGGATTGCATAATGCAAAAGTCAATTATGGCTGAACATAAACAATGCTGGGTACAGCCTACAAACTCGACCAATGTGTACTCAAAAAATCAACCGACATTTTTGGAGGATTGAGGGTTAGGGTTAACCTTTTTTCACCTATTTTGTTTGTTTATATAACAAAAATTTGTTTACTGTAATAGGGTGCATGATTGCCCAACTTTGTTGTCACACCGTGATGGTCCACTTTTAAAACACACGTGCTCAGAATCACTTGATCACCAGAAAAATGGCTTTATATTTGAGAGTTTTTGAGATCTAGCACAATGTTTTTTAGTAGGACCCATCCAGCTAACTTAGAAGATAATATGTCAATATAAAGAACCTTCAACAACAGAGCGTTAAAAATAAATTTTGATGTTGGTTCCTTTCTGAATATCGCAAAACCTTTGCATGTATTACACGTCATCCGACGCGAACTGGTTAAGTATGGTTTTGGTGCACTGTGTTGTGTAAGACACATGAATTGGTGGGAGTGCAAAAGCTTTTATGCTGGGGTGTGAATAAACATCCATTTTGAAGGATATTTCACTCAAAATTCTGAAATATCAGTAGTACTTGTTAGATACTGTAAATAATTAACAATGTTTCTACAATGCCTGAAGAAATCCCTGTCATCTAGTTGGTAGGTCGTTGATCACACGTCAATGAATAATTCGTCCCAACCCATGGCCCTGTTGCTCCGCAAAAAAATATAAGTTCTATTCCATGGTAAATATAAGTTGCATCGCAAGGTCCTTGCTCTATGCTGTGACGAATCAGACGACGAGGATTCATTCAGGTTTTGTAAAAAACATGTAACACAAAGACTGAATGTTTCACATTCGTGCAATGGAAAGAATAATTTCATTTGTTGACAGATGGAATATTCCGTCTGTCTGTCGCCAAATAAAATTAATTTTACCACAGAGTACCGAAGTGAATACATCATGCGCACAAAATACGTGTTAAAGACGTTAGCACGTATTTCAGCCTGTGAACCAACACGCGCACGTACTCCATTCATTTCCACTACGTTTTCTGGTTCTAAATGACGTCACACTTCGGTATTCTATTGCACTTAAAAACATTCATCATTTGTATAATGTTTTAAAATCTTGATACAAGTGTACATTTTGGTTTTGAGTTGTGTTGTAAACTCTAAACAAGAAATTACTATTTTATTAATGATCAAAACAATAATACCACTTGAAGCAATAGCAGTCTGTTGCTGTAAGAACTGCAGCCAGTTTTAGTCTCTGTGCAAAGAATAGTAGATGGTAGATGTAAAAATTGAACATTAGTATCCTTTCAACACCCCATTTCACAAAGCACTGCGACGACTCGCGGTGCGTCGTACAATACATTTCACAAAACTTGCAATGTGTTGACACGTTGTTAGTTCCTTGACAATGATTTAAAACACGTCCCAAGTTACGACATGTCCAATTTCAAAGTAGCTATACAGTCCACCGTGAGCTTGTTTCCTTTAAAAGTGCATCACCCGTCCACCATTTTGTTTTACATTTTAAAAACTATTCGAGATGCGTTCTGATGACTCTTTGTTGAATATCAGAAGACGATTTACTGTATGCTGAACAAATAAATACAACAGTCACCGTGTTATGCTATAAATACACCGACACGTTTTGTGAAATGAATCGCAGGACGCTTTGCAGCTGCGATGCATCGTAGGGATACGACGCGTCACAAGATACGATGAGTTTCGTGAATCAGGTGCAGGCTTCACAACATAAAAAACAATGAGGAATTAATTCTCAAGTCTGTACGAGTTCTTAAGGATTAGGGGTGGGCACTGGAGTTGGTTACCCAAGAACCTGACCACTGATGTTAGGAAGCAGTTCCAGATTATGGGATTCAGTACCCGTAACCAACTTCACAAATAACTTAGTAACTTCCAAGACAATGAAAAAGAAACCTTTTGAATACCATTCATGGGAGTTTCCAAAATGAAAACCAGGCTTCAAAGAAAACCAAAACAGATTTCATGTTAATATTTTATCACACCACAGATGACCCTCATGAAAACTGCAGTTCACACCATAAAGCTATGAAGCCCTTCAGACAACTTTTGGGGTTCGAATCTTGGGTTGGGTTTCTATCAAGGGTACCCATGTTTAACTTCAATACGTACCCGGTTCCCGTACAACCTGTAAATACACACCACTACCAGTTTTAAAAGCCAATCACATTTCTTATGAACACTTTAAGATGGAATAACATATTGGAACATAGCTGTGCCAATTTATTTCTGATACAATTCGAGTCTGCAATTTTGATGGGAGTTGCATGTAAATACTGTATTTATTTCAATTGGAATTTGTACATTTGGTTTTGTTGATTCAATAAACAAGAAGAAATTATTATTCATAAATACCCGAGTCAGTTTACCCATTCCTACTGGTCAAGAGCCCATCACGTGGGTGGGTTTAAACGGGTGATGAAACACCGACTGGTTCTAACCACTTTTTTTGTCTGGCACTGCTGCATTCTGCGCCGCATTGTGCAGTATGTGCCACATGCGTGTTAACCTCCATATAAGGAGATGTTTAGCACTACTCACGCGAGATACATACCATGAACATACAAGAGGGGTGTTTCACAAAACGTGAATTAAACTTGTTGAAACAAAATTGTCGGAAATTTATATTTTTATTCATTTCGACTTTTTGACCGCAAGGTTTTTATGTGTTTGGCTGGTATTAATCAAGAACATTTACAATTAGTGAGGGATCCGGTCGTGGATGGCCGCAGCCCTCGGCTCGAGCCATTATCGGCGACCAGGACTCAAGCCAGTATAACTGGCCAAGCACATATTATTCCCTTATTAAAAGGCAATTTGTGATTTAGGTTAAGGCCAAAAAAAAAGTCTCTGGTTTCTGGTATGGAGCTTGCCCCAAAAGTGGTGCGGTGACGCAGCTTAAAAAAAAAAAAAAAATTTTAAACTTTTTTTCTTCTTCAAATGTTGGCTGATGACTGCAAATGGTGCCCGACTAAATTTAGTGCAAAATATATGGGAGTCCAGAGAGGCCACATGAAGTTTATACTCAATCGAAACTCCATCTAAAAACACGTTAAAATTGTGCAGCAGCAGGATTCCAGTCAAACCAGTGAGTTTGGCAGTTTTGAGACATCATCTTACATTGAAAAAAACCCTTTTTCATTTTGCTGACGCGCATGGCTACGGCAACCCGCGAGCATACCAGAAACCGGAGACTTTATTTTGGCCTAATCACTTGCCCATGGGCTCCATATCAGGCACAAATTACGTGAACAACATTTGTGTTAAACAAGTTTTCTATGAAATGGTTATGTTCTTTGAAACTTCTTCTTGAACTTTTCTTGTCATCCTTATTTGTCTCTCCTTTTCTTTGTCTTTGGTTTGTCCACATGTAGATTATGCTCTGAAGCAACACAATCTTGTCCTCGAGGAGTATCACTGGCTTTCAGTAGTTTTGTTTCTGCTTCTTTTAGTCCGGCTCCACTTCTTTTTCGTTTTCTTCTTTTCCCTCTGTTACGCTTTGTGCCATCATTTGTGCAATCACCTTGGTTTGACATTTCACGAGGGTCACTTACAGTAACTGTGTTACTCACAAATCCCTGAATTGGTGTGGTTTGATTTTTCCGCCTTTTGTTCCTGTTCCGCTTTCTACCATTCTTCAATGGCTCAGTATCTTTTCTTGTCTGTTCCTGCTTAGCAGACATTATTTTCCGCTTTAGCACTGCTACAAAGAATCCATTAGTGCAGTCTTCCTTTGGGACAGCACGTAAGCAGGCACTGACATCCGGGCTTCCCGTCTTGAGCGATGTTTCCATAGGGACATTATCATCTACAACACAGATGCCTCTGTTTTTCCATGTGGGGAGCGCCAATTCTAATTCAAAGTTGGTACGGGAAGCCAGGACTTGCAAGACAACTCTCTCATTCTCTGTCTGGTGCACCGAACAAGTGGAATACACAACACGCTCCACGTGCGGAAATGAAAGCGCGTGACCCAGCAATTTGGCTTGGATCGCTGCAAGCCCTTCCAGCCTCTCAGTGGAATCTGATTGGCTGTCGTTGGTCAGGTGGTCCAGTCGACTTACGATCCCCGAGCCACTGCAGGAAGGGTCCATCAGAATGTATCGAACGTTTGAGAATCGTTCTTCTCCCGGATTTACCTTGAGAAAATCCTGGTTTATAATTTCTACGTTGGTGGCGCCAGACAGGGCTGTCATTTTAGACAGCGTGGACACACGCTTAGGATCAACGTCAAAAGCAAAGACTTTCCTAACGAGAGACAGAAAAGGGAATTTTTTTTAATAAAAACTGTCTCAAGTTTTGTTGAGAATAAAACTAACCATGGGACCCCAATAGTCTCTGTGAACAAGAAAATACTTGGCAGTCAAAAATGCCAAACGGATACTTTAAAGGTAGAGTACATCATTTGTCATTTGTGCATTTTGTTCGTTTGAAGCAACAAAAGTGCTTGAAATATAAAGAAGGGTGCTGAACAACTAACCTGATAAATTTTCAGCTCAGCTTCAGCTGTATATTCCGAGAACATAATACTCTAACATCTCGATTTCAAATCAAAAGTTGCTGAGTCATGTTTTGAATTGCGCCCTCATTCAGCCGATAGTAGCTACGCGATGACACGCACTGAACGAACGAATTATAGCAATCACGCATGTGTGCATCGTGTCAACACTTGCGCGTGCTTCGCTAAATTAATAACGAACTACTAACGGAAATGTCCAAGAATGCTTCTTTAGATGCATCATTGGAAATGGCCTTCCTTCATCGATTTCTTCAAAATGGCAGCTTGCCAGAAAAAATAATTTCACAGGGAGTTCATTCCCCTTACTATATTTCAACCAGGTATGCTTTTCAGCAATAATTATGTCAGTTACTTTTGGGATACAGCTGCAAATGATGGACTGTAGCTTCAAAGGAGATCCAAATAAAGGGTATTCTGAAATACCGTACAGTGTTGAGTTCATAAAATGTCTGCTCACATTTACACAATTTTTAAGAAGTACATGCTGTACTCAAACGTCTAGCCATACACATGCACTCATACTCGGGTAGTCATGAATTTCTATACACCCAAGGACAATGCTTTGTTTCCCTTTGTCCCTGTAATATAACACTCTCCCATAGACTAAGCACATAACCGTACGACCAAGGACCGTTTTCAACAACAGACCTAACAAATCTTTAGTTCTCCATTTGTGTGTTTGTCCTCTATCGTAAAGCCGTGTGATTTTGGTAAAAACAATCCACAGAAAATTCACTGCTGCAAGAGCATGAGAGACTTACCCTGTGTTCTTCAAACTGGCTGCCAAATGTGATGTCTTGTTGCCGGGGGCAGCACAGGCATCTATCACATGACTACCAGGGGGCGGCGCTAGTAGGTACGCTGGTAAACAACTAGCCTGAAAACAACAAAAGTTAAAAGGACTTTGTTGTATCAGTACTTTTTTAGTAGCATTTATATGAATCATTAGTTTTTGTCCTTTGTCATGCAAGATTAGATAAGTTTGCAAAATTAAAAATAACATGAGCGATTTCACAATGGATAAATGGCAAAAATATAAATAGGGCCATGTTAGGCAAACAGGGCGCTGGGAAGAGCTAATCCGCTTCACAGAATCTTGCGAAGGAAGTAAGGATGGCATTCTGGGTAACTTATCATGACCTTCACATGCATCTAGAGCATGCTGCGTATATTAAACAGCTGAAGCGAGTTTGTGTGATGCATTCTAAGTCACAGGTCATGAAAAATCTATCCAATGAAAGCTCAAGAGATCAGCCGTTCCAAGCGTCCTGTTTGCAGGGCGGGGGTACGGGCGAACACCATGCAACACAGCCTAGAGTGAATTGATCGCTTGTGGGGTTAATCCTGGTTGTTTGGAATCCATGCACCATTACATTCTCATTCGAAAAACAAGATTTGGACATAATATTTTCTATTTTACCTCAGAGGGTAATATTTTAACCAAAATAGTTCGAAAAAGAGACAGAAAAAAGAAGCGTGCATTAATCAAGCGCGCAACAAACTTTATCCCAACTCTAATAATGGATGGTTCCCAGTGATACAGCCGGGTTATCATTGGCTCTCTCGATGGAAACATAATGCATATGCATTTCACTTCACGCATAAATGAATAACTGTCTGAATTCATATTAGTCAAGTCGTTAGAATGGTCGGATGCCGGATGTAAACACGATACAGGGCGCAAGCTGGTGTCGTGCTTTGGAAATATTGGGGGCCTTGTCGGACAAAACACAACAGTATCTAACGACTTGATTTCAAGTCTAATTTTCTGCTTAACTACCACCTCATTGAGACTGGCAACGATTTTTAACACAAGAAGTCTTTTGGATTGAATTTAGGCTTCGGAAAAGTTACAGAAAATGTTAACAAAATTCCGCTGATTGGAACAACAATGATCCTCAGGAGATATCCTGGATTATTCTAGCCTTGATCTCAAAGTTTTTGGTTTTACCTTATCTTGAAGTATAATGGCTCCAGTCTTGTACAGATGATGGTCATGGAAGTCGGTGGCTGGAGGAAAGACTAGCAGATCTTCTAAGTGAACATCACACATGAACTGGTGTGGCTCCAAAGTTGTCAGCAAGTTGGCATGAATCTTACTGTATATTACACAAACAAAATTCTGACGACATAAGTTTTTTGAGAAGTATACACTTACACAAATACATGTAACTGAGCAATGACTTGTAATGATGTTGCGCATCTGGAAAAACACTTTCAAAAAAATTCATTTCCACAGATCAAAGATAATGTACAACATTTGCAAACATAAAAAAAAAAAAACTACCAAATTAATATGAAAAACGTTTAAATGTGACTGTAAGTGAAGGCAAGTCTCAAGCATCCTGTGAAATTGTGGCACCTGGTGTGCTGTCATTTTCAAGAAAAACACTTTTTTTTCAACTTCCAACGATGGTTGGCCGACCATTGCTGGAAAAAACTGACTTTTTTTCAAATACTGCCCCAATTTACATTCCACATTTTGTTTGCATATTTACACATCCATGTATGGGTGCAAGCCAGCTAGTCTGACAATTCCCCCACATATCTATAAATTGCTGTTCCGTCTGAAGTAGTGTCAGGGAACCAGACTACAAGAACAGAATTTTTTTCTTGCTTTTTCCAGCATCTACATGTATGAACACAAAACTTTAAACAGGTCAATGAAACAATATTTGCTATAAATACTAACCCCTAAATCAATCCATCTCTGAAAATTACAGCAAAATTAAATGTGGTATACATTGTCTTGATGAAATACTTAAGACTACACCTACCAAATGTCATCAGCATTTCTGGCTTCTTTCCTCTTGGTATCTGCCTGCTCTCTGCTTAGAATACAGTGGTAGCTTTCCTCAATGAAGGTCTGTATGACATCATCAACAGTTGACTTCAATAGGTTTACTCTTACATATCGTGGCAGGATGACTATTAAAAACAAAATGAAGAATAGAGTAGTTACTGGTTTTACATCAACTCTGCACAGTGAAAATGTTATTCATAAATACCCAAGACAGTTTAGCCATTCCTATTGGTCGAGAGCCCGTCATGTGGCCGGTCTTAAAAGGATGATAAAGACCAGCTGGTCTTAAATACTTTTCCAGTGTCACATGAAATTTGGACTCCTATGAAATCCAGTGCCTTTTACAGTTTTATTGGTTGAACACTCACAATCCTCATGTAGGCATGCGCAATACTACCAGTGAGTCAGTATTTCATAGTCCTAAATTCACAACGCACTCACCACAGCTACACCTGCACAACGTGCCAATCTCCATAAAAGGAGAGGTTAATGTCTTATTCGCGAGCTGGACACTCCATTATATAGTTAGAGGGGTGCTTCGAAAAACACAGAGTACAATTGTTGAACAAAATAGTTGGAAATTTTTAATTTGAGACTTGTTTTGACTTTTGGACAGAACAGTTTTTATTGTTTGACCGAAAAGGTTTTTATGAATGGGAATAAATATGTGCTTGGTCGGTATTAAACACTATGTTTAAGACCGGTTGGAGTCTGGATGCTGAAAATTACCCTCGGCTTCAATTCGAGTAATTACCAGAATCCGGACTCCAACCGGTCTTAAACATAGTGTTTAATACTGACCAAGCACATATTTATTCCCTTATTAAAATTGGATCGAGGACTGTTGGACTGTTAGATTAACCATCCTGCTATTTTTAAACAGTCACAGACAATAAAAATTTCCATCCACTTCCCCTGCAATACGTTTAACACAGGCTAGTCACCAGCAGTCAGATCATATGTCAAGCAAGCACTGTGACAAGTCAAACTCAGTCAACAGACCATGAACAGACAAAGCAGGCAAGTTGTGGGCACAGCTGGCTTATCAATCACCCGCAGTCAAAGCAAAGCTGTATAAAGTTACATAAACAGTCTCGGCCAGTCAATCCTACTTAATGTAGGCTGGGAATTTTTAACTGTTGAAAACAGTCACTTGATTGATTTTGACTGAAAGGACTACTTGGCACAGAATGCATGTTTGCATAGGAGGGTAAATGATGCAGAAATCAAGACGTTTCAATTTGAGAGCTCCTTGCCAGTATTACCTTCGTCCTTCACTGACTGTGGAAGGAGATCCTTGTTGTTGACCACACCCATCTTAATCTTGATCCTGACGAGAGCGGACGTAAGAGCCGACTTGTGTCTCTTGATGGCAAGACGGTACTTCCCTCCACACTTTATAAAAACAAATTTTGAAAAAGTGCCTGATTGTCTCTGAACAGATCACCAAAATCTAAACAGTATGAGGTTGATCACAATCTGATTTTGAGATGATGGACTTTTTGTGGAGTCTACATTTTCAGGGTGACTGGTTTGCTTAGGGGCTTCATATAGGAATGGTGCAATGTCAGGCCAGTGTGTGACCAAACGTTTACAAAACTTTCTCTATACATTTTATAGCCTTGGTCAAGATGTTCAATGATAGTGTCCAATGATCCATGGTCTGCCGCTAACATAAACAGAAGTTGCACGCTATCCACTCATGTGCATGTAAACGGCCGACCACGGATCATCGGACACTATCGTTGAACGCCTTGACCAAGACTAAAAATTTTAGGCCATTATTCCACAGGTGCCAGGGGCCCAGGAGACAGAGTCAAGTATCACATGAATCCAGACAAATATACAATACCTTCCCCACAAAAGATTTGGTCCGGAAAATATATGATTACTTTTGCAATCGGTGTATCATTCCGTTGTCCACCTTGGCCGCGACTGAAACTGATTGATTTTACAATGATACCCATCATGCCATTCCCTTTCACAGGGGGTTGTGTGCAGGCGTTTGTTCAGATTTCTGGATTGAGAATTTCTAGACAATGCTCTTGTACATGTACCTTTTAAAAAGGAAGCATTCACTTTCAAAAAGTGTTTTTTTATTAAAACCCTAACCCCCTAGGCATTTTTGCTAGTAGGATGTAACCTCAATCCTGCAAGATCCTCTATGATTTCTTGAATGTAGTCCTTGGAAGATCGAAATCCTCCGACAATCACTCTCAATATGTCGAGGCAGAGCCAGTGACATCCTGGAGAAGTGCGGAGGATTTCAAGTATAACCTAGGCCTAAATTCATGCACGGCTGAGCATAAACAACACAAGGTCCGGCCCAAGACCTTGACACAGTGCATTCTCCGAAATCAGCAACACACTGTTGCCAAGTAACCTCCATCCTGCAAAATCCTCCATTTGGCAAAGAGGATTTGGGAGAGTTAGGTTTAATCGAACCGGACAATGTACCTAAACCAACACAACAATTTCAATGAAAAATGCATGACCCAAAATGTAATTGACACCTTTTCAGAGCCATATTTTCAAATCACATTATTTCTAACAGTCCATATTATTTTCTGTTTTAGCCTCTGAAGAAGAACTTGCTAAGTTCGCAACGTCAGGCCACATTAATTTTTAGATTTATATATTTCAGGTCCATCCAGTCAGTAAGCAGTTTGCAGCAGTCTTACTTTTTTCATTTTTTTTCTTTTTTTTCACAGTCCATATTATGAGCAGTCTTACATTGTTGTGATACATATTGCACAGTACTGGCATAAATGTAAACAAGACAATGATACCTAGTGGCGATGTCTGGTCACCCTTCTGAGATTCTGAGAATAAATCTCCGTACCTGAATACCTTTGCCAAACAGCATTTCGTACAGCAGGACCTGGGCCGTGGATTTTTCTAGCCATTTCTCTTGCTCAAGAAGCTTGGTGTTCTTCAGGATCTGATCGATGATGCTGGAGTACTTAAGGGTCTGACAGACCAACGCATAAAGCTGCTTGATGTTCTGTTTGGACAAAATGAGAATCATTGGAGAAAATCAATTTTACATATTTACCGGTATGGCTGTTTTGGGAGTGAAATCTCATTGTTTTGATTGGCCATTAGAAAATTCAAATGTCTTGACACCCAGAGATGAAACTGGCATATGGCAAACAAATCGGAAAATAGGCCAAACAAAAATACGTGTCCGAAATCTGGGCTGCGCTGCAAGTTACAGACATGTACATTGTACATGCATGTACAATATACACTTCACGTGTTTTCACTGCATAAAACGACTGAATTACGGTTAGACTAATAGAGTCATCAACAAAGAATTTCACTTCTTACTTGAGAAAGTCGAGGAAAAAGTCCGAAAGACAAGGGCACCGTTCATGGTGCTTCAATCATGTCCATGATTCAACCACACAAGACCTACTCCACTTGCATTCGTACGTGGGGAAAAATCAGGCATTATCGTCTTTCTCTTCCAACAAATGTCAGTGAAATGATTCGCTAATGCTCTCTTCGCTATCCTTGAGATAATCATCATGATTTTTAAAGTATTGCATTTAGTACAACTAACCCTGAAACCTCCGAAAATCACACAGCATAATGATTTTATCCACTGTATGTTATTGTCTTGGTCAGGCAAGGCAATAGAGGAAAAAAGTATTATTAAAACCCTAAGGCCAAAAAAAAGACGGCTCCGGTTTGGCATTTGTAGTCGGTGTTTTATTTTTGTGATTGTGTGTGTGTGGAAGCCAGATGTGTGTGTGGAAGCGATGGTCGTGTACCGGTATCTGGAACCTGTAAACGCTTTTAAAGATATAGTCCATCATTTGTGATTTGTGCATTTTGTTCGTTTGAAGCAACAAAAGTGTTCTAAATCTAATGAAGGATACTGAACAACTAACCTGATGAAGTTTCAGCTCAGCTTCAGCTGTATATTCCGAGAAAAACTGCATTCTAGGATCTCAATTTCAAATCAAAAGTTGCTGAATCATGTTTTGAATTGGGCCTGAATTCAGCGTTCGAGACGCATTCTCACTGAGCCGATTGCAGCTATATGCGATGTCGCGCACTGATCGCGCACAGCAACCGCGCGAGCGTATGCGTTGTGCCAATGCTTGCGCGCGCTTAAATTTAAAAATTTTCCCACGGTGCATCTTGCCAGAAAGAATAATTTCACAGGGAGTTTAGTCCACTTACTATCTTTCAACCAAGTATGTTTTTCAACAATAATTAAGCCAGTTACTTTTCGGATGGCTGCAAATGATGGACTGCATTGTACAGCTTTAATTAGCGCCATATGTAAGGGAGCAGACTAATGACCGGCCTGGCAGCACATGCACGATGTCGATGGTCTGACGTTACCCTTTTCTCTGAATTTTGTCTTGACTATCCAAATTTCCTGAAGAATGTTCGCTTCGGTCGAGATCGTACATGTAAGTGGGTGCAGAATTCTCAAGCCTTATGGCCTTACTGAGATCACCTAAAGCTCCACCCTGAAGGTAATTTTTGAGAGTTTTAAGGGGATCGAAGCGTCATCTGCAACCTCAGCCAACATTTGAAGAATAAAAAGTAGGGGGAAAAAAATTAAAAAGCCGCATCGCTGCACCACTTTTGGGGCAAGTTCCATACCAGAAACAGCAGACTTTTTTTTTTAGGCCTAATGATCCCCATCCAGCCAAACTCCAACACCAGAGTTTGGTGGAGTCCAGCTGTTTAGTATACAGTTTAATAGCACAGGGTGTTGGAATTTGTAAGGATGAGGAAGGTTCCTTGTAAATCACCTTAGGGGGTTACACTTACAGTCTTGTGGTTGCCAAGGCCAAGGCGTCACTGTTCTTTAATAACGTATGTTGTTTGTATGGCCGGCGCGCTGAAATGTCCCTCTACAACTCCTTACCTTATATTATAAGGAGATTGGCGTGCGCATCGCGCATTCTGTGCGATGTCGCGCAAAACGCAGCTGGGCTGGTGTTAGCTCTACTGAGTGGAGCGTTGAACTACGGTGCCCTCCGTACAAACGCTCCACCAATTTGGCATACTTTGGTGACAGGTACACGGTCGTCATGACGGTATGCATTTTGTGCATACCCTCGCGAGGACAAAAGGCCCAAAAAAACTGATAAAGAGAATACAAATGAGAAAGACAGTAAACCTGGATAGATCCACACATTCATGACATTCCATAAGACCCCTTAAATTGTTCCAAACAACCGGTAATTTTGAAAAAAAGAACAAAATAGTCTGAACTTACCGCTCACAATTAAATGTGTCTGCCGAGTTGTACAGTCCATCACTGACATGACTGATGCATAATTCATCGCGCCAGTGTGTGACGTCACCATTGAAGAAAAACAAGTTGCGCTTACTCAACAACTGTTTTATGTAGTCATATGTGCCCCGCGCCGTCTGACAGTGTGGGCTTTTGGCCCGGGACACATGACTACATGAAACAGTCGTTGATTAAGCGCAACTTGTTTTTCTTCGATCGAGCAACGTCGGTGACGTCACGCCAGACGCCCTCATTCGGCAAGTCGGAGCAAGGTCTGAGCTTCACGGCAAACACATTGAGCTGTAAGTTTTCTGACTGTTTTGCTGGGTTTTTTTTCAAAATGTCCGCTGTTTGGAAACAATATAAGGGGTCTTATGGAATGTCATGAATGAGTGGATCTATCCAGGGTTACTGTCTTTCTCATTTGAATTCTCTTTACTGGTTTTTTTGGGTCTTTTTGTCCTCGCGTGGGTATGTATATGTACACTATCATGCTACAGTGAAGCCGTCACCAAAGTATGCCAAATCGGTGGAGCGTTTGTACGGAGGGCACCGTTGTTCAACGCTCGACTCGGTAGAGCTAGGCTGGTGTAGTACCGATTCACTGGTTCGCAAAGTGTGACTGTAAATATGGAGGTAACGTTAGTCCAGTCCAGTAGTTCACTCATGATTTATGGGACTAGGAAACCGGAAGCAGAACTGTTTTTTGGGGGGTTTAATTTCAGGGGAAGATTCCCTTATCTTTATCTGGCCATCATCAGTCACTAATATTTTTTCCCTCAGTGACCTATCTCTAGCCCTAACCCTTCAGAAAGTAATAATATGTCCTAAAATGTCAAATTTAGCAGGGAAAATAGGTACAACTATAGAATGCAGGGCCACTTTACTCTACATCCGCGCCTCCGTACGGCTGCGTGGAGGCGTGGAACCGCAGTCGACCTACCTCCGAAAATCGATCGTGGAGTCGTGGAGCCGCGAGAATTGCGCCCTCTATCGGTGCGCGTCTCTGCGACTCCGCGACTCCGCGCCTCCACCACTGAGAGACAGTGCCCCGTCGCCCTCCCCCCCCCCTTCCTAATTTGCGCGCCCAATTAAAGCGACTCTGCGACTCCGCGACTCCGCGCCTCCAGACAGTGCCCCGTCGCCCTCCCCCCCCCCTTCCTAATTGGCCCGCCCAATTAAAGTGACTCTGCGACTCCCCGACTCCGCGACTCCAGACAGTGCCCCGTCGCCCTCCCCCCTTCCTAATTGGCCCGCCCAATTAAAGTGACTCTGCGACTCCCCGACTCCGCGCCTCCGCGACTCCAGACAGTGCCCCGTCGCCCTCCCCCCCCCTTCCTAATTGGCCCGCCCAATTAAAGTGACTCTGCGACTCCCCGACTCCGCGCCTCCGCGACTCCAGACAGTGCCCCGTCGCCCTCCCCCCCTTCCTAATTGGCCCGCCCAATTAAAGTGACTCTGCGACTCCCCGACTCCGCGCCTCCGCGACTCCAGACAGTGCCCCGTCGCCCTCCCCCCCCCCTTCCTAATTGGCCCGCCCAATTAAAATGGATATGGATGCTTCGTTCTCAAAAGATTCCGCCGAGAATTGCGCCCTCTATCGGTGCGCGTCTCTGCGACTCCGCGACTCCGCGCCTCCGCCACTGCGGCCACTCCAGTGCCCCGCGTCTCCGCGATTCTGCGACTCCAAGACTCCGCGCCTCCGCCGCTCCAGACAGTGCCCCCAACACATTTACAAGCACGCCCTCCCTTCCGATCCTTCATGAGAAGCTTTGAAGACAAGTGCAGTGCATTCCTTCGCTGTACTTAGCACTTTTTGGCAGGTTTGCATATCTATTACTCCTATTCCATCCACGCCTCCAGGCAAAATAAAAAACCTTGCTTCGGCGTGGCCCTGCCATGCCTGCATTCTATAGTTGCTCCGGAAAATATTGAAGTAGGCTATTTACTGAGAAAACACTTAGCAATAGCATGCTTAGAAATGTTCAGAAGTCACCACTGCACCAGTCTCATACGGTTTGTGCACACAGGCATGACAGGGCGAGGGTGACCATGACAAGTGTCTATCATGGGAATCTTTCCTTTCTTTTTACCTTGCAGTCGCTGGAGTGAACCAGTGATTTGACGGTTCCCTGTTTCCTCTGCACAAGGTGGATGATTCTAGATGCTTCCTTATACAACATGTCTCTTTCTCTTCAATGCTTCGTCAACTTTGCGACATGAAAACATTATTAGTAGTACGCCAACTAAGAACTAGCTGTTCCCATACATATGCGGTACGGTACGGTACACGTGTGCAGTGCATAGAGCTGTATAATTATACAGCTCTATATGGTGCAGTGCCATATGTAGCGCGCCCTCTTTTGAAAGAAAGATTAAGTGTTGACAAAAAAATTGATGACCAGTTTGGTTTCTCCCCATTGTGTTACGTTTGAAGATAAATTAGTAGACAGAATTTAATTAAATGTCACAGTTTTTTCTTGAGTTCTCGGGGGCGCTCTTCAGAAAATATAATCAATATGTATGCTGGCGCATTTTAAAAATACATGTACTTTAATTGTTTTTCCACTTTTCATATTAATTGAATGTTCGACAAATTGGGTGTTCGACAAATACCTCGAAATCCGATATTTTTTTCTCATCCGGAAAGGTGGGGGGTCGATTCAATAGCCCATTTCCCTTGTCAAAAAGTGTGTGGGGGATATATACCCCCACCCCCCGGGATTTACGCCACTGGTCTTGGGCCACTTTCCTTGAAGCGCAGTTACACACACAAAGGATGGGTCAACTATAATGGTGCAGCTAATTATCAGTTATCATGTGAACAAAGGATTTTTGGAAGAACAGGAATATAATTTCAGGAAAAAAATGGCTTAAGTGGTTTTTCAAGTCCTGTTTTGCTGTACTATCTTTTGAACAAAACATCTTATAATGAAACCAACTATAAAGCATTTGGAACGGTCCTCAGCGATAATTAGATATCAAGTTTGAATACTGCCCCCACTTTTATTTTTCTGAAAACATGTTGCCCGATTCGACGTTATGTTTTTTGTGGGACAGAAAAACCTGCACACAATTTCTTCCGCCTAATTAAACATGTAAAACAACAGTCCTGGAAATTTGGGGAAAGGGGATCAAGACATGGAAAATGGGGTGAGCAGACTCTCCACCGCTGTGGTACCCATCTTCCAAATGGGGGCGCTCTTCAAAACTTACCATTATTATGTATACAATATTATTATATGGACAATTTCACGGCGCATTGTAATGGTTGTTGAGCGGGTTTTCTTTGGTGGGATTGATGTCAGGAGTGAGAATTAACTCTATAAACACTTCAAATCATTGTTGACAAAAAAAAAATTGTCAACAAAATCCGCCAGGGAGGGGGGCAAAGTTTCCCCCTGCCCCCCCCCCCCCTGGATACGCCACTGCACAGTAATACGCCAGACGACGAAAAATCCAAAGAAACGTAAACGTGAACGTTATTTTCGTTCCGATTGAGACACTGATAAAACGTCGGAATCAATTAAAAAAATTTCGGAGGTGTCTTTTTCATCAAGTGTCTTGCCAAAATTTCACAGTCCTATCTGATAAAAAAATTAAAGTCCTTTTCCTGTCGATTTATTGTTATATCTTGAATATCAAAAACTTATTTGTAATATAAAAAAGTGATTGAAAAGACGTCCCCCGGTGAGCTGTTTTTACCCCAAAAGAGACTGGATACAATTCGGCCACAAGAGGGCGTGTTATACGAGCTAAAGCACGGACATGCGCACAAACCTAATGTTGCTCTGAAAAACAGCGGTGTCTCGTCATCGGTACGCGGTACGGTAGGTTGGTCAGTATCAAATCAGGGCATAAATGATTCTTGTGCGCGTGCGCAAGGTATACCGCCCCTAAAGTGGAAACAAGCATTTTGATGGATATTTAGGAAAAAACCCAGGGTGATAAACACCCTAAAAGCTGCCACCGCTGCAATGCTATCACATACTTTCTAACTCTGGAGGTGTACGTGTATACATGTACATTGCCAGCTATCGCTACGCTTGTTTCTCTCATTCAGTACCGATGACCAACTTTTTGCGCCGAGGCTGATGGCCTAAAGGGCGTTGCACACATAATAATCACAGTATGCCATTTATTTCGTACAAGTCCCGTCGAAAAAATATTGTGCACAGGCTAGGCCCAAAGATCCTATAGCGCCGCATATGTGAATAAACGTACCGAATATATGCTTCAATTACCTGATTATCATCTTAAGAATGCAACCTGATTTCCCACAAAATTATGATGAAACTTGTTGTCAAGTTGTTGACTTTTTTAACCACGATATAACGCAATGCGGAAATTCACGTGAGGGCGTCCTGAACACCGCGACTCGATCATCACTCTAAAATGGCGGCGGCTCGGCTCCATGGATGCATACCTGCAAATAAACTCCCATAGACACTAGTGCTAAATGCCCATACTTCAAAATTCTTTTAAAAATACTCAAAACTCTCACAGGTATTCAAGCTGCACAGAAAAATGATAATCAACATGTCATCTTTCGTTTTCTTTTCAATTTTTGGTGGGTTGACCATTGACTTTTCGAGAAATTCTCGCCCAAAGAAGACGACCCCTATTTTCCCCAAAGTGGAACGGCAGCCATCTTGAAAAACGATCCCTCCACAACATGGCAAAATAGCGCCACTTTCAAGCCCAATTGTATCCAAAATGCTCAGAATTGGAAGCCCCGAGTCCGGGCCAGAGGTTCATTGCCATATCTCTTCAATTCCCCAATGTTATGGCTCCCAGAACTCTCTAATATAGAATATTTTGGGGGTATAACTTTTATTCATGAGCTCGGCGGACGGATTTAGGCCTATTTACCGGCGTGCACCCCTACGCTCAGCCAATGGGCGTTCAGTACACAGTAACCTATCTTGCGCCAACGGCTTACAGCTTTTGAGGGAAAATACACCAACAATCATTAAAACAAATTAGGCAGTTAGACAAACATTGCAGTTACCGCCAGTAACGCCCAAAAAGTAATTGTCAAATCCACAATCATGTGCACAAATAATCCCACAATAAAAGAGGCCTCCTTTCTGTATACCCCATTTTTTGTATATATATTTTTTATTTTCATTTTTTTTTTTTTTTATCGTACATGGATTTGAAATAAGCGCATGTTTTTACCAACGGAAGCTTATTGAGCCAAGTTTGTTTTTTAAACCGACGGATCGTCTTACTGCGAAATATTTTTTTCCCTGAAGATCTCTATATAGCCGTGTATACGAAAATGATTGAAAAACACCAATTAGAGAATTTGCGGCTTTGAATATAAATTCAATAAACGACAACCTGAAAGACAGAATTTTTATTAAACCCACTATACCATAGGATCAAAAGATGCATTATACAAAAGTCCGGCTTACAAGTTTCAGAAGATACAATTTATAACGATTAAAAAAATTCCAAAAACACAATATTACTATACCGAACTATTTGTAAATTAAAACACTTGTTAATTTCGCTATACTGAAACCAGTGAAGACATTAAATTCATCAAAATAAAGGGCAAGTGAAAAAAAAACGAAACCCAAATGGCAGGACCAATTTTTGAATGAAGTTTTGCCTGTAACACTTTTAAAATCTAGGATATGAAAGCCCAGTCATAAAGCTTTCTTTTAGTACAAGAATCATTCAAATCACCCGTGCACTTTTCAAGTCACGGAATTTTGAACGCAAACACCGTTTCTATGTTCTGTCCACGGATCTCAAAAAGGTAAGTTTTCTTTCAGCGAAACGAAAACAATTCTCACATGGATGCGTGTGAATTGTTTTTTGACACCCCGGCAACAGTGTCATTTGGACCCGGGAAAGCGTCGCCTTTTAACCTGAATGTATTAAGCAACCAGAAGCAGGATTCTTGGTCATATCTGAGAAGAACTTAAAATACATGCAGCGTTCCGTTAATCTGCAGGTTAAACTTAAGGCCAATACGCGCAACAGTTCAATCAAATCGTCTTTGATTGAGGAAGCATTTTCCTTTACTTGCAAGTGTTTTGAAAGACTTGTAAATGTCTTTTTTGTGTCGTCATCGGCGCTGTTGTATGCCATTCTTTCTCGCATCTTGGCACCATCGGGAATCCTGACATGACAGTCAGTAAAAATGAAGGAGAGGTTGCTTTTTGAGTTGTACAGTTTATGGTTCCCCATGCACATGGCCTAGCAAACAGTCGACAAATAATACATGCACACTTTCCCCTGATACCAGAATTATGAAATTGTATCACATAAATGAACAGCAAAACTGAATTTTCGAAACACCGGATAGCAAAATGATGGGGGAAAAAACACACAAATCCCCGGCAACTGAGTACTTGCTGGCGATTTGGTTCGTACTCGAATACGGTCTTGTACCAAGAACTGATTTGAATTTGCTTATAAAGGGTGAGTAAAAAAAGCGGAACCCAAACCCCCAAAAATATATTTCATATTTTAAACAACAGTTGCAAAATAATGACTGGAAAGCCATAAGCTACTTTTAGATGAAAACATTACTGAAATTGCTCAATCCGTTCTAAGAATATCACAATTTAAACGCAATGACAATTTATTGTGTGTTTTGACTGTTCGGAACAAAGAATATGACACAGAATACTTGTTTCAACAACTGTCAACAACTGTAGTACACAATAACAACCCTGGTTAGACAAACAATATGATTCATAAAATCCACTTCTTTTTTTAAAGACGGGCCTTTCAAAAGGACTTTGTTAAATATATTTTAATGTTTAAACTGAGGTTTTATCGCTGGTGATGATTGAAGACGACGATTCTTGCAATTTAAAATGCATAGCGCCGGTTGTGGCAGCATGTGTATCTGAGCTCTCCTGAATTGACCGATATTTTGGGGAAGATCTGTCCTCATCCACCAGACGTTTGAGACGGTAACGTTAATAAGTCATAGCTCACATTGGACTGAGTCCTTAGCATATCAGGAGTCAGCTTTCCACTGAATTTTTGCAAGATATTTTGCATCTTTCTGGATGTCAGTATGCTCAATCCACTGAACCCAGCATATACTCTTCATGGTGCTACACACACTACCATTGTTGTTATCACTTTGTTCCTTTGTACTTAAGCAGTGTACCTACCAACTCAACTACAGAGACAACAATACTCTCCACTGTCATCCGGCTTGGTGGCCCAGCCTGTTGGCATTCATCTAATTAATCTGCCTATTGTTATGGACTTAAACAGCACCCAACTGAATATGGCCACTAGTCAAGACAACTTGCAGGCAGGTACTACAAGTATGTACCAATACAGTATCAATCAAATGACTGACATCAGGGACTCACGCATGCCCAAAGGAAATGCTCACTTAGATCCTTCGGTAATGAAGAACATAGGTCACCTTGGTGTCAATGCAATGTTAGCTGCCCGCCGAGTATGTCGAGGTGGTAAAAACGCCCTCTTTTGTTGGCGCACGGAGCCCATAGGCCTACTTTACAAAAAAATCACTCCAGTTGAACTGTAAGTTGTCTTGTCCCAAATTTCAATCGGATGAAGTGAATTTCCCCTGGAAGGGACGTTAGAATCGTGAAAAAAAAAAAAAATGATTCCGCCCCCAAGATCTCGGCCTTCGAGTGACGAAAAATTTTGAAACTCTGTACATGCATAGAGCAACTCATCATAAACATACCCAAGAAATTTCATGACTATAAGTCAAAGGGTTTTGGAATTATGGCTAATTAATTATTCATATGTACGAATGGCAATTCTGCTCTGTGTACACGACGTATATGGGAAAATTCAGTTTTCATAAAATTTTTCGCTGTACGCCAACCCGTGGTCCAATTTTTATGTTTTTGGTATCAAAAGATGCGCGAGGCTCGATGCTAAAAAGTCATAACAGCTCGGGTCACGAAACATTTTTTTCAAGGCTGTCGCGGAAAAAGTTGAAGGGGGGGGGGGGGTTCCGCCCGCCGGCCCTTTAAGGGTTTAACCGTAAACTAAGGCCGGGGCGGAGTCCGCCCCCCTCAACTTTTTAACTTTTTCCACGATAACCTTGCATGCAACAAAATTTTTATCCCGAACCGAGCTTTCCCGACTGTTTAGCCTCGAGTCTTGCGCATCTTTGGATACCAAAACATAAAGTTCCGACCATGGTTACCACGCTGCGTGCCGTGAAAACTGAATTTCCCCATAAAGCAGAATTACCATTGGTGCAAATGAACAATTAATTAGCCGATTATTCTAAAACCCTTTAACCTATAGTCATGACATTTCTTGGGTATCTTCATATTAAGCTGTTATGTGCATGCACCGAGTTTCATAATTTTTCGTCACTCAATGGCCGAGATGGGGGGGGGGGGGCTGGCGGTTAAGGGCCCCAGGACATTTTTGGATTCCAGATACTCTGTGGCGCAATCTGAGGCATTTCTTGGCCACTTTCCCTTGACTTTTTGAATGAAATGTGCTCGTGTTTAGCGAGATGGGGTGGGTCATCAAAGTTGATAACATCACAAACATCACATCAAAACTGTAGTTTGACTCTCTTTCGAGATTTACCCTCTTGATCCATGATTTTGAGTCGTCACTAAGAATCGTCACTCAATTCGTAACTGCCTGCGAGCGAGCACGAACTTGTGTTTTGTAGCCGTCAACCGCCGTACATACGGCAGCTCGTGCCGACATGACAGAATGTACAATCTTTTGCCATGGGTTGCAGAACCGGATGTTGGCTTTGCGGGGTTTTGAGCAGCGATGTTTATTATTTACATTCTCCATTTTTCTTCTTCCCTCTTCCTTTCCCCTCCTCCTCCATTCTTCATTTTATATTTATCTGACAGAACCATGATTTTGCCGACAAAACAAGGGGGGGGGGTGGCAATTAACATGTTCCTTGTCAATTTAATTGTTTGCAGAGTTGGTCAAACTTACACTAGTGACATCTCACAATTTATGTGATAGAGAGCACGAATCCTGAACACAATGCAGATAAAAAGTAGCTACATTTAGTTGAAAATACTTATCTGAAATGATTTTATTTAAAACAAAAATATAAACTGCTGCTTTAAACACCGAATTGACCTGAAATGATACAATCTTAGGATAAGTACAGCCTGATGTTGTAGTCTTACCAGTGTTCTTTATTGGCCAACAGACATAGGAACAACAGATGATATTGTTGATAAAAATATTACTGATTACATGATTTCAGAGAAGCACTTGGTGCTCATCAATTTCAAAAATTAATCTCTTTCAATTGCATTAAAAGTGAGGTCACAAATTAAATACTAAGAAACTGCTGAAAGACTAAATATTGGTCCAAAACTTAGTATGTTTCAAACGTATAGGTGTGGAAGTTTGGACTAGTCAAATTTCAGTTGGGATTGAGATACATGATGCAAAATGTCACTGGCGACATTATGTGCCCTGATATCTGTTATTCCATACAAACATTAATTTTACATGCCAAAAATACTCTAAAAAGTACTTAAGATTTATTTCTATTTGCTTTATATACAATGTAAATCGATAAAAAACCAAGAGAAAATACAATGCAAAAGTTATATTACATTCTGATTAAAAATATTGATCAAAATATAGGGTTCTCCTCTCAACAAGTACTATAAAAGTCGATGAATGATTATGAGACTCACTAATTCATCCATTATTCGTAGTCTAGTGAGTCCAATCTTTCGTATCTGATTCAAATCTTCAAATAGAACGGCAAATAGACTAGGTTCACTTTCACTCGATATTATGTCAAAGAAAGAAAATGACAGAAATGGAATCGAACCTGCGACTTCTAGAAAAACGGTTGTTCTATAAATTTAGGGTCCAAAGTGTGACATTTTTCCTGTCCCTGTTACCTTGGTACTTTGTAATTTGCCATTCAAGTATCATTAAGAATGACTTCACAAATGATTTTTTATTGTTGGGTACGTACGTGTAGTTAAACAAATCACAAAGTTTGATTTCAAAGTCTGAAAAATGTCAGGCCGGGATGTTAACGGGGCAGGAAAAAAGTGGAACCCAAATTTATAGGGCCTTTTTGTTTTGCGCAGATCGGATCGCGATCAGTGATCCAACGTGTCGATAGCTGCTCCGAATAACGTTTGAACGGATTCTGCCCATGAGGTGGGTTCGCAAGATCAAAGATAATGACTTGCACAGCGGAAGGCGAGAAAAAGTGGTATTATTTAGTAGATTTGGAGCATCAAATGAGCTTTTGTGACAATTTTTCTTCATAATTCTTTTAGAATGTCTTTTCGTGATTAAAAAGAGTACGACTAATTAACTTTTTCTGGAAATTATAGTTAGCTTATCATTAAAAAAGCCTTTCTACGTACAAAATCTTAAGCAGAGAAAATTTGTGTGCGGCTCAAGGATTCGATACGGGAGAGTAGTTCTCTTTGTTTTCGCACGGTCCTGGATCACATGATCTCGATCAGGATCCAGTAAGAAACAAACAGGCCACAGATTGACCTATACAGCGATCGGCTGTGGGACCCAAATACCAGTATCATCTCCCTTGGCCTGTTGGTCTCCTATAGAAGCGTTTCTTATCCACCCTTCCTGTATGGATACCTTTCTTGTGGCAGCGTATATCAACCAGTTTTAGGTTCTTCCTGGTGAAGAGGAGGTCGTAGAAGTACGGCACGTTGACCTCCTTCTGCGCTGGACAATTGCGAATGGCCTCCTCCAGACCTGGTATCACTGAGCGACTTTTCTCAATCCTAGGACAGAAAAAAACAAACAAGTGAGCATTAACAAGTGCATTTCAACGTTGTGAAACCTAACTTAAAAATCCATTTGTTACACAGACTAGAGAATCTTTGCTTCAGATTTCAAGTTATCAAATGTTATTTAGGAGCATGTCGGAAGAAAATCACAAGCTTGCTCTAGTTGGATACAAACCTTTGACCACCTCCTTACTTATGAAGGTGTCTTTACCATACAACCTAATCTTGCTTGTGTTAGGGGAGTATTCCACTTCTTATTTTAACTGGGTAGCCATTCAGTGGAATCCACTAGTCTCCCATGGGGCCCAGTAAAGAGAAGCCACAGTGAAGAAATTACATTTGCCGTCAAGGGCAAAAGTTTACTTTGGCCTGACTCACATGCGGTACCAATTTTCATTGGTATGTGCATGAGCTCGCAGCATCTTTGCAAGGGCGTTATTGAGTAAATTTACAAGGGTATGAGTGGTCTGTATTCATAATAATGGTGTGTACCGGTATTTCTAAGGTAATGTCAGCTACCTGAGCAGTAACGGTACATCGTCACGTCAGTGCAACAAGGTCGTAACTCGATTCTGCAACAAAGTCGTATTTCGCGCGAATACGCTCCGTGCAACAAGGTCGCATCTCGACGTCCATTGACTTTGCGTGTACATCTGGGTTATTTTAAGCGAGATACGACCTTTTGACATTCTGAAACTCGCGTTTTGGGTTTACGTCATTTTAGGAAATACGACCTTGTTGCACTGACGCGACGACATGTACACAGCTCCAGGCTTCCATTTCAGCACAAATCAATTAAATCAATTACATACTGTCTGAGAAGAATGCTTTTTATACATATACTGTTTTCTGTCTGAATTGTTACAAAGTGTCTTGCCCAAGGGCACATGCACCATAACCCGAGGCTGAACCCACAACCACGAGGCCACAGCACTCCACAACATACGAGGGAGCAATACATGTACTCAAAATGTGACAGAGACTTACACATGATCTAGATTCCAGGTGCTGAACAGGATCATGCTCTCCTTGTTGAGGTATGGGTTAATAGAGTGATGGTAGCAGCATTCAGTAGTGTCATAAGCCCCCTGACATGAGAACCATCCTAGGAGGTCGCACAGACGGGCCTCACAGTCTGCATTTCTCTTGAAATACACACCATGGTACTCTTTCTCTTTCAGCCCATCCTTCAGCGCTGTGATGACCCTAGCTCGTCGATCTAGAGCAGCTCTGGTGTAGTTTGTTGACTCATTCGCTAACATCTCTTTGGTCTAGGCAGTGAATTTGAAACAATAGATAACAACTTTTGCTTTAAACAAGCAATTTGCAACAGCTCTGATTCAAGCAAGCTTTATCAACAAATTAGATGCAAATGCGTGGAGCAACATGTACCGGTATTAAGCAAAGAAATTTTCTAAGGTTAAATACGGTTACAGGCCAACATGTTACACTATTTCTACAAACTTAACCACCTCATGACCCCCCCCCCCCCAACTCTTCAAAATCCAGCCACATGCTTCGTTGGAATCTGTTGGAGTGAGTACTGCACTAGTAAACTGATTATGCTTTACATGGGGTCAGGCATACCACCATAATCAGATCCAACAGTTTGGGTGCAGAGTTTACCATGTGGTGTTGGATTTTGCAAGAGTGAGGAAGGTTCCTGGTACACCACTGAATGTGTTAAGGTGTTAGTTTTAAGCTCGAAATTGCTACATGCACACACTATATCCCACTTAGTGACACAGAGAGTCATTTATTAGGGTTTATTTAGACTGATCTACAAAAGCAGTGAATTAAGAGGAGCTGTTTTGCCAAGTGAGTCAAAAAAAGGAAACCCAAATGGTGCCCCCCCCCCCCCCCCCCCGTTTTTTTAAGGAAGATCTGCAAGTAGCACTTTCCAGATCTAGGATAAAGAATCATTCAAATCACTCAAGTAGTTTTCCAGGAATTTTGAGCACAAACACCGTTTTTTAACCTTGTCCACGGATTACTATAAAGGTAGATGATATTTCAGCAAAACGAAAACTATTCAAATGTCAAAAGACACATCAGAACACTCTCATATAAACCATGATAACTGGCACTTATCATGACATTTATTTTAAAAACCTGCTGCTTCCAATGTTAAAATAAACATGGTTTAGGAGTTTATAGTCTTGCTCTGCCTTCTACATGGCTACCCCGGAGACTTATTGGATTATTCTGATATCATTTTCAGGATACGACATGGTTTCGTTTTACTGAAATATCATGTACCTGAAATATACATATCTATTTTAATTTTTTTTAGGCACACTGACCACAGCAACACAAACTAAGAAAGGAAAAGTTATCCACGTACCTTTGAAAAATAGCCTCGCACTCTCTCCTGGGCCTTGACAAACATCACATGGGACTTTGTTTTGAAGCGTTGGTCCATACCTGCGGCAGGTATCATAATACTACATCAACAAGGCCTTAAACTGAGTCAGCATCTTGCTTGTCTTTCCTGAGCTGAATCTACTTTTCCCCCAATGTCATCATCATCCGCCATATGGTTTTTATTTTTGGGTGGGCTTTTATCAAAAATGAATTTGGCTTACATTGTACAGGGGAAAAAACCGGAAAGGAGGCTGAAAATTCTGTGTCCAAATTCTAGGCAGCGCAACAGTTATACATGTATACGTACCGAGTACAGGCATACTATAAACTTTGTGTCCATGTCCATATCGCCTCCTATTTTGTTTTAGATCCAAATGCCACTTTATGAAGTGAACAATGTTTCTGTGTTTCATAAACAAAGAACTTCAATTCTTACTTGAGAACATGCAGAAAGTGGAGGGATATTTATGTCCAAGACAACAACTCCAACTCCACAACTCCACTTGTTTAAAGCATTGTATTTTGTACAACTAACTCTTAAACCTCTGAAAATCGCGCAACATCATTTAGATTGTACTGTCGGACTCTTAGTCATGGTCGCCAAACTCCACTTTGTAACAATCTCGAACCTTTGTATGCAGTTTCAATCATTTCATACCGGTAGGTTCTAAGGATGTGACTTTGCGTTAAATTATGTACCGGTAAACGTTTAGCAAATATTTTAATAACTGTTCAAACATTTAGCAATTTCACAAAGGCTGACGCCTGCCCATGTATGTCCGCAGACTGGCGTGATTGACATAATAAATCAACAATGATTGACAGCGGTCAGTCATTAAAAACATCAAAACTTAACGTGTACCTCAAATGTTATCAAGCACTGCGTTGCTTTCAGGTTTTGTAAATTAAATAGATTTAAAAACATTGTTAATGTCATCGGTATGTTTAACAGAAAATAAGATCATATGAACGTAGGAAGACCCTTTTTAAATTTTTTTGGTTTTGTTAAAACATTCTGAACAATTTGTAAATTAGGAAATGACATTGTGTGTAAACTTCGCATCCACAATCGGTTAAACTTAATTCCAGCAGTAAACTACTTCAATCCAGGCTAACTTATTCTATCTACCACACAATCTCTGCACTGACGACTGGTAGAACAGATTAAAATTGCACTTGCAATACAGATGTCGTAGTGTCATTTCCATCAAATTCGTTCAGCCTAATTTTAAAAATCAGATTTTACATGGAATAGATCATCAGAAAAATCTTACTTTTTGATAAAATTAAAATTGGAAAGTTTTATCCCTGCCTAGTGATATTTTAGAATGAAGTCTTGTGAATGTTTAAAAAGTGAGATTTTTGCAAGATTGCAGCCTATTTCAGTGACCAATGCTAAGAAAAAACCTACCTTGAAACCATTCAGGGTCTTCATCTCTTCTTTCAGCTGCTATGTTTCCTTGCTGTGAATAGACAAACTCCACTAAGGCCTGGCGGGTAGTGGACAGTTTCTCCTTAAGAAATGCTTCAATTTCGCTTGACAGGTTCCCCTGACTCAGTGCTGCGAGTGCGTCTTCGAGGCTCCTCTTAAACATGTCAAACCCTTGTAAAATAAAAGGTTTTGGATTTAGCTGATTCAAGAATGATAGTAATTTGATTCCTACATGTATAACAAGATGGAACTAGAAAAAATATACACAATAACACTGACCTGATACATCAAGTCATTTTCATCAGCCACTATTCAAGCCAATTTATACATCCCTATGGTAACTCTGAATGATGTATAACAAAGCTGAATGCCAAACGTCGTGGACAGAAAAGATGTGTCCAAAGTTTCTGGGATTTGTGGACAAAAAGAAGAGGAAGAAGGAACTTGTAGAAGAAAGAAAAAAAAATCAGAACAAAAAGAAGAGGCTTTTTTGCAAACTTGCTAAAAAGCCAAAATGTTTGCATTGACCATACAAAAGATATCCCCACTCTAAGAATGATTGCTTCCACAGGAATACGGGCTGGCCATCATTGGCCCTCTCCATGAAAACGTAGTGCGTATATATGCGCATAAATGACTAACCGTCCGAATTCATATTAGGCAAGTCGTTAGCGAGTCGAAGCCTGGAATAATTGTAAACAAGTATCACAGCGAGCACCCTACTAGTAAACATCAAAGGCCTGGACGGAGAAAACACAACTGTCTAAGGACGTCTCCTCAAATCTACTGATAACAGAGTAATGACATAAAGTCTGCATACCTCCAAGCCAGGATTGGCCTATTTCCACAAGAACCAGGCAGGTGTTGGTCTGTAAGGTTTGGAAATAGTCGTCATCTGTTATCAGAGTTCCATCCTCTTCAAGGTGAATTTGGGTGCCATCATAGGGTATCTGGGTTCAAAATGGAAAATTATAATTACTATAGGAAAATGTAGGTCTCAACCTAGACCCGTGAATGATACCGGTAACCTGCAGGGTACTAGCTCTGCAGCGTTCTGCAGAGCTAACAGGTACTCGACGGGCTCCTATCAATCTGCGTGTACAGCTGGTCGGGGTACCAGTGACCCAGGTGATCATTAAAAGTTGCAAACGTTCGGACCAGCCTCCATAATTCTCTTTGATATGTTGATTGGAATATTCACTGTATTCTTCACATGTATACTTAGTACTTAAAGGGAAAATACAACATTTGCAAACATCAAAAAATAAAACTACAAAATCATTTTGAAATACATGTACCTTGCTGCCCCAATTGACCATCGCACTTGTTTGCAATCGATTACACACCTATGAATGGGTACAAGCCAGCTAGATTGGTTCCCTGACCTTACAATTCCCCAATGTATGTAAACTGCTTTGTTTCTTCTTATATGGAGTCAGGGAACCAGACTACAGGAAAATGATTGTTTTTCTTGGTTTTTATAGCATTTTCGAACTCAAAACCTTAAAAAAGTCAGTGTAACTATATTTGCTATATATTTCCAACCCCCCAATTCCATCCATTTCTGAAAATTACAGCAAAAGCAAATGATGTATATTCCCTTTAATACAATGGGACAAATGACGTTCAGGTTGAAAATGTTGAACACGTCGAAGGGTTTTATTTCACATTTCTATGCGTGGCGTAGTTATTGACGCCACATTCACAGGTCTAGTCTCAACCCAATGTTAGGGAATAGGGACAGAAATGGGATTTTACAAAATTGGTTCTTGTGTTTGTGTGGAGGTCTAAATAACATTAAGGCAGTGGATATTTAGCTGGAGACGGCAAACCTATAGTAAACGTTAGCTTGCCGGATATGCACTGAACATGCGCAGTTACTGGTTTTTGTACTTAAAGACATTTTCCAGTGACAAATTTTAGTCTGGCTCCATGCCAACATTATCGTTGTAACTTTGTATTCACAAGATGGGAATCAGACCATTTTACAATTTCGGACTTTATTTCCCTTTTAAAAAAAATCCTCCAGAGCCATACTCTGCAATAAAATGTCTAGGACATTTTAAAATAATAAAAGAAGAATATTCTTATTTTTGGGGGATGGGGAAAAAAAACCTTAAAAATGTCGCCACCGGGGATCGAACCTGGATCTTCCCGCTCATGTGATCCGTTGCTTATCCACTAGGCCCTACACAACCGTTGGTGGTAATTTAATATATATAATTCAGCCCTATCTTAGAGAGTACAGCACCCTCTGTTGATAGGGATTACTGCCAGCAATATACATGATATATATCCACTATCTAAAATTAATATAGTCTTGTCATTTAGCCTTCGAGAAAGACTCTGCTAGGGTCGAAATGTCAGGCCACTAACTATTTTTTAAAATTAATATCCTGAGAACTCTTTTGATTGCCACAGTCACAGAAATGAACACATTCGGAGAACGCGGCGGCAGTGGCTATCGTTACGGCAGCCGTAACGCATTTCCCATTTTCTATCGTTACGGTAGACTGCAACTTTTATAAAAACATGAGAAGAAAATATAAAATTAAAAGGAAAAAAGTGAATTTGAACGTTATGAAATTCGGACTTTATTTCCCTTTAAAAAAAATCCTCCAAAGCCTCAGGTTAGAAAAGGAAAAAAATTCGAGTGCAAAACTGAGGTGCGAACCTGCAACCTCGCGGTGCAAAATCCTACCATCTATCGACTGAGCTGACGCACTACTCGCTAAAACGCGAGGAAAGAAATAATTATATACCTGCGTGCGTATCAAAAAAGTATCGTAGAGGGCGCTAAACAATGGCTGCCGTAACGATAGCCACTTCGTTTGGAGAAAGGGTTGCATAGATGCACTTAAAAAAAAAAGGAAAAAAAGAGACAAAACTTTTGGGTTCATTTTTAATGGAAAGTGGTACAAAAAATATGCCAACTGCGCGATGAAGCGCACATACATAATACATATACCGGTAGGAACAGTAGGCCTATAGCATGTATAGAAAGCATTTTCTTGACTCTCTAGGCCTAGAGATTTTGTACACAGCTGGTGTGACAGGTAATTCTGTCCCCCCCCCCCCCCCCTGGTAAAAGTGTCCCCCCGGACACATTTACCGGCTCGTGACCCGGTAAATGTGTCCGGGGGGACATTTTTACCTAGGTAAATTTGTCCCCCTCCAGGTAAAAATGTCCCCCTGCCCAACGGTGAAAGTGTCCCCCTGGTAATGTGTCCCCATACAGTAGTATGTACTGAGAGCGGCAGCGTCTCGCACGCGCCAGTACATGCTGCAAGATTTGAGGCAGTGATTATAACATGTGTACATATGCGTCTCCCTCTACAATGGAAATTCGTCCAATAGGAAATTTTGTTACGCGCTATGAGGGAACACAGACCAATCCAAGGAGACGTTGTATCATACTATCAATGAGACGAGGGCCATCGCCATGCATTGCCGCTGTGTTGAACTATCGCGGTAGAATCGCGATAGACTTCACTGTACTCCGAATCGAAACATTGTGTTCACGTATCATCTAATAGACTAAATTAAATATTTTTTATATTCATGAAGGGCAGACTAAAACTTAAGTCCAAAATGTATACCTTGTATTGTAGAGTGAATTCATCAAAACAATAACCTTCCGGGTTTCAAAAGAGGGGGATAAAAAAAACCCTGGGGGACAGAATTACCTGGGGGGGGGACAGAATTACCTGGAGAATACAGAACCAGAATTCCCTGGGGCACAATTGCATTGCAGAATAACCCGCCACTCGATCTATCCACCTCGTAGCTGGCTACGAGGTCACGGTTGATTGACCTCAATAAACATTCTCAGCGCTACTTGTATGTACTATGCGTCATGCTCCATTGCACTCCCACTTCGTGACCGCGTAGCCGCCAACAGGGTGGTTGGTTTGGACTTATTTTTTTTCAGCAACTCCCATTCCTGTTGTGTTGCTTCGTTCTCAAATAATGGACCCCCACTCAGTATCCGCGTTGCTGGCAATGGACTTGAATTGTTTCTTTTGCAGTGATTCCAACTTCGTAGCCAGTGATTTTAGAGGTGTATTTCCGAGTGGCGGGGTAAACGGGGGACAGAATTAGTCCGAGTAACTTGGACCCAACTTATCGCCTTTTTTAACATTTTGGACATGGTCTGGCGATAGTGGGGTCCAAGCTAATACCGCGACCTGGACAACATCATCCTGTCACTGTCCCAAAAACCAACATTTTCCAACAAAAAACATCAGATTTCACCTTCAAAATGGCCTCCAAATTACTAGATATGCCACCTGAAGTACAAGTAGACATAGATGATTAAGATGGGTGTACTTAAGTTTACTTACGATCCGGAAGAAAAGTGAAATTTTCCGTTCAATTCTGAAGACCCCCTCTGCCTAGGTTGTCGTTGTTGTGCTCACGTTCAAAACTGCATGATACGCTGTGTGTACGCGTTCCCAATTGGGTAATGGTGTCTGACCTCGACCTCATGCAAAGGTCGTGACGGCGCGCTTGCGCACAATGCACTGCATGCACGGCAGATTCCCCTGCGCCGCGCCGACGACTGTTTCCTGATGAAGAGTGCTAGCCAGCCATGCGCCTGGCTAGCCAGCGCGACTCCTAGGCGTACCGCGAACTTACACAGCACTCTTCATCAGAAAACAGTCGTCGGCGCGGCGCAGGGGAATCTGCTGTGCACAGGTGCATGCAGTGCATTGTGCGCAAGCGCACCGTCACGACCTTTGCATGAGGTCGAGGTCAGACGCCATTACCCAATTGGGAACGCGTACACACAGCGTATCATGCAGTTTTGAATATGAGCACAACAACGACAACCTAGGCAGAGGGGGTCTTCAGAATTGAACGGAAAATTTCACTTTTCTTCCAGATCGTAAGTAAACTTAAGTAATAACAACCATGGAGGAACCTACTCCTAGAACTATGAGGCTCCGCGTGAGCGGAGCTCACGCGGAGCCTCATAGTTCTAGGAGTAGGAGGAACCATCTTAATCATCGATGTCTACTTGTACTTCAGGTGGCATATTTATAGCCCGACTGCGTCTGGCCGTACAGTACTATCGCAAGCTCTGTAGTACGGCCAGACGCCCGATGCTTCCACAGAGACTGAATTTTGTTGGCCGCCGATGTAGCGATATTGCTACATCTTTCGATCGCGATTATCTTTTCATCCAGGACACAAATTTCCAAAGTTAAGGTTCGTAGTCGTAGAGCAACTCATACCTTTTCGAAAAAACGTTGTTTGGTCTCAATATTTTCATCCATCTGGCCACAAGACGAATTTCAGTCATCAGATTCCACAAATATCGTCCCCCATGCGATCCCTCATGCGATTTCAAAATGGCAGCCGCGCTGTAATATATGCAATATGCAGGCACGCCCGCACAAACTCATGAATATGCATAAACAGTCTGTGACGTAAGACCTCGTGTTTTTGGACGTGCGTGCGGCGCGCGGTGGGGCCGTACGTCCAAAAACACGAAGTCATACGTCACAAACTGTTTATGCATATTCATGAGTTTGTGCGGGCGCGCCTGCATATTGCATACATTACAGCGCGGCCGCCATTTTGAAATCGCATGGGGGATCGCATGGGGGACGATATTTGTGGAATCTGATGACTGAAATTCGTCTTGTGGCCAGATGGATGAAAATATTGAGACCAAACAACGTTTTTTCGAAAAGGTATGAGTTGCTCTATGACTACGAACCTTAACTTTGGAAATTTGTGTCCTGGATGAAAAGATAATCGCGATCGAAAGATGTAGCAAAATCGCTACATCGGCGGCCAACAAACTTCAGTCTCTGTGGAAGCATCGGGCGTCTGGCCGTACTACAGAGCTTGCGATAGTACTGTACGGCCAGACGCAGTCGGGCTAGCATATTTAGTGATTTGGAGGCCGTTTTGAAGGTGAAATCTGATGTTTTTTGTTGGAAAATGTTGGTTTTTGGGACAGTGACAGGATGATGTTGTCCAGGTCGCGGTATTAGCTTGGACCCCACTATCGCCAGACCATGTCCAAAATGTTAAAAAAGGCGATAAGTTGGGTCCAAGTTACTCGGACTAGGACAGAACTACCTTCCACACCGGCCGCTAATATGCCGAGTCTCCTTCTTTCGAACTGGACCGCGACCTGGCAATTGAAAACCAAAATCTCACCTTTAATTTATCACATCCTTTCAGTAACGCCTCTCTCAAAGTTCTGGCTACAATTCCAATTTTGTCTGGCCTCGAAACTCCTCTTACTTTCAGAGCTTTTGGGACTGACATCCTTCGTGAAAATCGTCCCTGGTGAAATGAAAGCGCAAATCGTGAACTCCGGAGGGCGCTATGCCATGCATGCGCATTGGGATACCGGGTCGCGCTACCGCAGGCTAGGTACAGGGTCAGACAACTCGACCGTTGAAACAACTCGACCGTTTGGGCGTTAAATGGAAAGACAAGTCGTCCGTTGAGACAAGTCGCCCGTTTGCAATTATTTTTTCAGGGAATATTCGTCATGTTAGGGTACATTGGGTTGAGGTTGCTTGACGGGATACTCCAATTATGCTTAGGTTTTACTTTTCCAAGCTGAGAGAGAGCATTTGGCGGTCGGGTACGGGATGGGAAGACGCCGAGTTTGTTTTTTTCCGTGGGGATTTTGTTGCCGTGTCCAGCCGGGGGTGGCGGGGTACGTGTTGGGGGCCGGGGAAGCCTGCTGGCTCGATCGGGCCAGGTTGATGGGGCTGGGGTTAGTGCGCTGAACGGGGTTGGCTTATTTTAGTTATCATGCCCCGGGAAAATGATGGCACTATGTTGGCACATGGAATGGGCGGACATTAAGAGACCGGGTAGGTTTCGGATGACTGCGTCGTCTCAACGGTCGAGTTGTCCCGAGTCGACTTGTCTCACTCCCCCGGTGTCTTTTTGCGAGGCAGCCCGTCCTTCAAAACCAGCAAATAACGAGCCTGACATTGCCTTAAACTTTACAGAAGACGTGCACGGGCGTCTAGATACTGGCCGGCCAGAGGGTGTCAACAAAATAATGGTGCTAGTCGGCAAAATAGAAAATAAAACATGGAGAGAGAAGGGGATGAAGAGGGAAGCAGAAAATGGAGAATGTAAATAATAAACACCGCTGCTCAAAAAAACCCCGCGAACCTAAATTCTGCAACCCATGGCAAAAGATTGCAAGCGTTCATCTGTCATGTCGACGATTCAAAATCATGCCGGATCAAGCTAAAGAGGGCAAATCTCGAAACAGATTCTAGTTTTTATGCGATGTTTGTGATATATCCAGCGGCGGGCGGAACGCTTTTCAAAGTGGGGAGCATCATCACCAAAAAGGGGCACTTGTTCAGAAAAAGGCGTTTTCCGTCGGTGTGAAAGAGGAATAATTGTGAAAGGCTATGTTTGTTCACATTGCAAGGAATACATGTTACCCGCAACAAAATTCACTAACAACACTGATATACACTTTTAAAAACGTCTGCGTAAAAATAAAAAAATCTTATTTCCCTTACTCGAAAACAATTCATATAATCTAGCTTTTCCTGAAATAGTCTCAACATAGCCGTATTGTTATCTAAGGTAATTTTTCACATGAGAGAGAACATTTTTTTTATCGTGAGAGGGGCACTAGTGTTGCTTTTGATGGTTCAGTGACCATTTTATTCGCGTGAGCACTACATCATTTTGTACAGGCCAGTTTTCCATCTTGAGAGTGGCACAGTTTTAATGTTGCGAGCGGGCACTAATTGCGCTTTCGAGGGGCAGTTTTCCATCTCGATAAAGTTATCGCGAGAGGAGCACTATTGTTTTTGATGGTCCGATGATTTCCCATCTAAAATTGTATTATTGCAAGAGGGGTGTTTGCGCTTTCGAGGGATAGTTTTCCATCTCGAGAAGGTTCACAATCTGTGAATGCGCGAGGGGTGTTTGTGTTTTAAGGGGCACTCTTACATTACAAGAGAGGACAGTTTTGTTTGCATATCGAGGCGGCCCAAGTATGATCGCGAGAGGGGCACTTTTAATTGGCCTGAATATATCAACTTTCCACCCCCACCTCCCTCAACACGAGCACATTTCATTCAAAACGTCAGGGGAAAGTCGTCAGGAAATGCCTCAGATTGCACCACAGAGTATCTAGAATCCAACATTTCTCAGGGCCCAATAGGCGCGGGCCCCGGACCAAACGCCTTCAGTGCTTCGCGCTCGCGTAGAAAGAGTTCCACTTTAGGTTTAAACATGGAGGTAAGATATACCTCCCAAAGTTACAGATCATGAGCAGGCCTGAACGTACCGCCTGAACAAGATATGTGCACACCTACTGATATGAGCGTCTACACGCAGTCAGTTTTGCGACCGTATTGTCCAAAACTTTTCAATATGATAGTGTCAATTTTTGACTATTTACTTACGAAGTTTAACTTATCCGACTGAAAAATATAATCCATGTATTCAAACGTTATAAAAATGATATCAACATAATTATTAAGTAATCATTCGTATAGTTGTGAAAGAAATTAGATTTGAGACAAAGGGTTCATTTTGGGCGGAAATTATCAACCGGGATATTTTCAGAGTTTGTTAATACAGCCCCGATACAAATAATCATCACCGAAGTCAATTCCTGCTGCCCATAATTAAAGTTCGCCCAAGTAACAACTCTGCAATGTTGTTACATATACACACAACAGCTTAATCAAATAACACATATTCTAAATCAATGGACAACTTCTTCACAGATAACCAAACTTGTAAATAATATCTGACACAATATTTGAGCGGTTCATTTTTAATGTTGACTGTTTTCTTCCTCTCTCTCAAACATAAAAAAAACACCACTTTCACCAAAATAACCTTTTTCAACATCGAATTTCTATTTATTTGGTATATATTACACATCATCACACTTAATAATTATAATTCTCAAACAGATGCACTGCAAACGCCACCCGGAAGGTATTTCTGCTATGTACATTTTGATACATAGAAATGGATTCCATGAATCAACTCAAGTGCAACAGACTTCAACATTTTCAAATATTTACATAAAATAATAAAAAAAATCCACGACACTTTTTTCGTTACCTTGAATTTAATTCTGAACTCCTATAGATATTTGTAAGATGGAATTTTTGCGTCAGGGTGATATAAATCAAATTAGGTTTTGCCCTTCACCGACGTATAAACACTGTATACTCAGTGTGTTACCTTCTGAGTGAAAGTAGGAAAAAAATCACTCGGGTGGGACTTGAACCCATGACCTCCTGCTTCTAGAGCAGATGTCTTACCACTCGACCACCGAGCTAACGGGATCGGTTGGCTGGTTTGAATCTGAGGTATACATCTTATAAGATAGTTGGGAGGTACACATCTTTATGATATGTAGGGGCGGATGTAGCTTTCAACAACAGGGGGGAGGGGGTATTGTGTTAACGAATTTCTGTGAAAATTTCAGATCAAATTTCCCTCTCTTGAAAGTATTTTTTTAAGGTTATTTTGAGAGGTGAAAACTGCACACTTCAAAACTTCATTAGGACATTCCTTCGTCTTCAGTCAAAAATTGGGAGGGTAAACATCATTGTCTTCGTTTTTTTTGTTGAAGAGTTGTGTTTTTAGCTTTTTTGGATGTTTGGTTTCGGTACCCTGTTTCTTTTTTTTATTTACATTTATATAAAAAGTATTTTGACTGCGCACTTCTGACACCATGGGAATAAAATGGGCTATGACATTTTAGCAGGAAATTTGAGTATGAAGCATAAATGGCATTTGAAAACAAAAAGGTAAACAAGTAGGAACTCCTGCAATTACAGGAATTACATTCATAACTCAATTTGTTTTCTTCAAATTTCAGCAAATTTTGACCATCCAGGTTTAAAACTCGGAGAAAAAAAATGTTATTTCATGTGAAGGTGATTTACTTCCCCATGTTTTGTCCAGTTATTCCAGTTGCTATGCAACTGTTGCTATGGTGATGTTGCTATGGCGCTGCTATCTCCTCGGTAACCACCTGGGCTCGTAGGAGGAGGTTGTATCTCTCAAGCACGTCTCCCTTCAAGTTGAAGATAACACTGGCTTCTATGACCATGTTGGGCTGCAAAAATAGAAACCCCAACAATACCTTTCTTTTAAATATATTCAATATCATATCCTTTATCTCGCTGGGCCTACAAACCAGCCTACTTAATAATAATATTCAGGGATCTAATCATCCGAACTTGCAGCTGAGAAGCTTAATTGCGGAATACATGGCTACAACATGCAGAGATGCCACAGGGTCTGCTTGAAAAAACCTGAACTTTATTTTTGTGTGAAAAAGCCACTCGCACACAAAGTCCCCGTTGTCATCTTCCTCTTGTAGCCAAGCCCAGTTCCATTTATTTATTCATTTTGCTTCTATGGCCTTTAAGCTGTCAGTTCGTTCAATCACTGTGAAGTTTCCCATAGTCCTATTATTTATTCTGCCTACCCAAATTTTCAACGTTTATTCGACACGAAACATCCACGATTCCACAACACTGTCAGTGCAATATTTTTGATTCCAAAAAGGTATCTAAATATTTCTTACTGTCGGTGTACATGACCTTTGCACTACGCGATGCGTACGCGGTTGGTACCCGGCATTTCTTTTATTCACATATATCACTGCGATCAGAAACTACCAATAACTGAAATTGTAGACTTGATTTCTTGCATATATGTGACCCGCTCCGCAAAAATGAGTCTGTTGTGGCAAAACTGACATTTTGAGTTAACTACATTAATAAATGGGAATGAAATAAGCTTTCATTTGGTATATCATGGACCCCTCTAGGACATTTGGTTGCATTGTTGTGCTTGTTTCATTCTGTAAAGTTTTTGCAAAGCTAGAAGTGTCTCAATGGAGAAAAAGGGCTTTGAAAAATGACGAAAACACTGTAACTAACCAAGAAAAGCACCAAAGATTCATAATTTTTTTCTTTTTCTTACAATATTTACATTTTTGTGTAAGATATTTGAACTAAAACTACCAAACAACCAAAATAAAACAAAAACAAAACTTTCCAAATTTTGAGCAAATTTTTACTGTTTCCATTTCAAAATGGCAAAAGCTTGAATTCAAATTATGCGACATCTGACTCATTTTTGCAGAGCGGGTCACATATGGTGTATAGTTGGGTTCCAGCAAAATTTCGAGCTTTACATAAGTCTGTGGACAAACATTGATATGCTCAGTATGGTGAGATAACTCTCTAGTAATGTTATTTATTGTTACTTTACTCACATCATGTCCTTTGGGTGGTGCCCAGGTGATATTGACTGGTCTAGTCATGCCGGCTTCTACCATGCCACGTTGGGTGTCCACGCTGAAACCCTTAGGTGTCACCATGTTCAGGTTATCAAAGAAGAACTCACCGTTCTATCCAATGAGAGGTTCAAGCCGGGCATGGAAAAGATGAAAAAAGCAAGTGAAGTTAACAAGCTGAATGAGGATATGTAATCGTTGAATAATTGATCTATGATCATTGATTTATTTGATCAATCAATAATGGCTTATTAAATAAGACAATGCGTTTTTTGTGACACTATGCAAAATTGAATTTTCATTACAACCTTGTTGCTTAGAAAAAACCTTCAAAACGATTACTGAGGCCTCACAAATGGGTAAAAAGCAACCCCTAAAAATTAACGATGAAATGGATGAACTAAAAATGGAACTCGTAAAAAAAACCTCAAAAAGGCACATGTTTATAAACTCAATGCAATATTGTAACCGGTTTTAGCCAACAATTTCTAAAGCTGCCTTCCTGTCGAGCTAGCAGCAACAAAGAACAGTCGGCAACTGACTTTTCAGGATCAAGCTGCGCCCGAACTACGATCGTCAACAACATCCCACTTGCCGATTTTTGTTTTGCGACCAGATATTAAGACGATCGTCATCAGTTGACGCTAAAAGTAAATAAACAGTCGAAAGAGTACAAAAATTCAGACATAACGTGTTCCTGACAGGCAGGAATCAATCGCAGTCGACCTGTGTGAAGTTACGACACATCTGGATCATCTAATTTTATTGGGAATCGTCGTCGCGTCGTGCGTGACGTGAGCATGGTTGCGATGATTTTGTGTCGAGATGCCGCTCGTTCCACGATAATCACATGAACCAATCGCAGTCGACCTGTTTGAAGTTACGATGTGTGTGCGCATCCGGATCATCGTTGTCGCGTCGTGCGTGACGTGAGCATGGTTGCGATTATTTTGTGTCGAGATGCCGCTCGTTCCACGATAATCACACGATATTTCAATCTGTGACTTGAGCATTACATTTCTGCTTTGATGCCGACAGTTCCGATCTGAGGCCGGCTTAAGGAAAGAAGACGACCAAGTGGAACTAAGAAATAAGATACAGACCTTCTTCTGGCTGACGGCCATGGTGCGTATGCATCCCACTTGTAGCTGTCTGGTCGCTGCGATGGTCTGGTCTTCCTTGCCCAAGGCACGGAAGGATAGAAGTAATGGAATCGCAGGAGGGAGAGCCTTAGGGTCTGTGACATGAGGTAAAACATTTCAACTAAATTAAATACAGGAATGATGTCAATTTGAATTGAAATCATTTATAGGTTTTCCCGGATTATATTAATAAGCAGCCAATTTGTATGTACAGTGAAATCTCAATAAGTCAAAACTCAGAAAATGGGCTCAAATTTTGAGTTAAGCAGAGTTTTGAGTTAGGAAATTTTCTTTTCAACAATTGACAGGAATAAGTGCTTACTTTGAGTAAAAGGGTTTTCGAGTTAGCAGGATTTGACTTATTGAGATTTCACTGTACTACCATTTCACGCTTGAAATCAGCATTCAATTTACTAAAATTTGCTGTCATTGTTCTCAAGCACAGTTGAAATACCGAACTGACTTATTTTCATCTACAACACATTCCTGACTATATATGCAAACGTTCAACCCAATCGACATTGTACTTCTCTTGATATAGACCTTTATCATGCTGCCTCCATTTATAGTCTTGTTCCCTGTATCCAATAATAGATACTGTTTCTTGTGAAAAAAAGGAACCAGACTATTTTCCCCTCCAGCCTCGCTTTGGTTACGCTGATTTAAATGGGAAAAATCCAAATGACCGCAACATGATAATGGTCTATAGGCCGTGGGAAATGCACTGTTAAGATGATATCACAACACGTGATGACATCATCATGACGTCACATCAATATGAACAACTTTACTACGGGGTCTCAGTCTGCGCCAAGTTTCATCAAGATAGAAGTCTGTGTAATGTGACAAGTGGCACCGAGAATGAAACATGTACACAGTCTATTGGATTTGGGATAGAAGAATAAGAAACAGCAAAAAAAACCAAAAAAACAAAAACAAAAACAGAACAAAAACAAAATGCCCTATTCATGAGTAATACACAGGACAGCTGATATGCAAATGTGACCATTGTAGGAAAAATTCCTGACCTTCTTCCTCCTCTGTTACAGGAACGACGGCTAGACTCTCGACAGCTGGCTGCATCGGGTCTCCACCCATGACGTACATGATCTTAGACTTGGCCGCGCCTTTTAGATGGATGGCGTGGGCCTCGTGTTTGCCGTACAGCACGATCCGTGCCACGTCAGAGAAGCATTCAGATGGGTGGTCAGGACGGAAGAACACTGTGATCTCTGTCTTGCTGCCTACAAAGAGAAATGGCCAAGTTTCTGCAGATTTCAAAACTCCAATTGCAGAAGATACACACACACACACACGCATACATATGAATTCACAAGGTAGCACTGCTTTGCAAGGAATAACTGCTTGAACTGATGAACGCACTAACACAACCAGTAAATGGGTAGTTATGGGGTACTATTGTAGAACTTTACTTCGCTACTTTAGTTCTCCTTTGTTTCTATTTGAATCTTGAGCTCTATGAGCTCCGTGTGCAAACAATAGAGGGAGTTTTTGAGCCAATTTTGAGAACCCATGGACGGGATACACAACATGTGTTAGCCTTGGTCAAGGTTCTCTTCGTTATTTGTTTGTACGCAGTAATCAATCGGCGGCATATCCTCGCACGCTATGCAGTGCATGTAAAAATACAGCACGAACAGCGACCTCATGCGGCCACTATTTTATGCAAATCAGTTGGACCCGATCGAGAGCCTTGGTTCAATCGTCAGCGAAAGCTTACGTTTTTCTTTATTTTGCGCTGGATTTCTAGCGCATGATCTCGTATGCGAATACAGATAAGTGTAGGCGGGGCTAATATGTAGAGTGTCCAATTACACCTTGGTAAATCCTGACGTCATTAAATTATTTGCAGCTATTCACCTTTTGCGGACGTGACAGAAACTACATTTTTTGTGCATTGGTGCCGTGTGCAGAGACACACAACGTATGTGTATGCATTATGTATGGTGCCACGTTTCACCGCTATGCAAGTTTCCACGAAACGATCCACCAATACGAAAATGACATTTAAGGTCGGCTTAGGCTATTAGCATAATGAGCACCACCCCAAAACCTCACATGGACGATTGAACCAAGGCTCTCGATCGGGTCCAACTGATTTGCATAAAATAGTGGCCGCATGAGGTCGCTGTTCGCGCTGTATTTTTACATGCACTGCATAGCGCGAGGATATGTCGCCGATTGATTACCGCCTACGGAAGAATAACGACGAGAGCATTGACCAAGGCACGCATGTGTCTACTGGTTTGGATGCCTCTAGTGCGAAGTATGCACCACTAATTTGATAATGAATGTTCATAATACCATAACTTCTTTGCGTGAGCGTCAGGCGTCGTTGACAATGTGCTACAATGTTTTACATTGAGGTTTTGCATTATATTGACTGCATTTGTTACTGACTGCATTTGTTACAGAACTCTTGGGTTTATCAAGCGTAACTTATACTCATGTTCAAAAAGTGTCAAAATTCAGGTATAAATCACTAGTACGTCCAACAATGGAGTACGGCAGATCTGTTTGGGATCCGTCAACAAAAGAACTCACACAAAAGCTTGAAGCAGAGCAAAACAAGGGTGCTCGGTTTGTATGCAGTGATTATGGTAGAACATAGAAGTAGCGTGTCAGCAATGAAGCAAGAAGGATGGGAATTGTTAGAAGTCCGCAGAAGAGTGACCAGGGTCTCCATATTCCAACAAGCCCTGTCGGGGCGCCTCACCATACCAACGCAAAAAATTCTATACCCGGTCCAACGATCATCAAGACACAGCACATACACTCAACTTGCAATCCATAACAGCAATAGAAGACAAAGACAGGTTTAAAGCAGCCACCAACCAGCACTACAACAAGTTACCAATCAGCAACCGAGAAACTGCACCTCCCTACTCGATTTGCTCCTTTCAGGGGCCCTGAGTAGTATCCTACCAGAAAAGTCCAGAATCCAAGTGTGACGTAATTCATACCTGGTTGAAGAGTGCCCTCACAGGGCACACAGTCAAATACGCTGCTCCCATTGAGGTTAGCCTTGCCAACCAGTCTGGAATCTGCCAAAGCATCACGACGGATGAAGAGTGGAATGCCCTGCTGGTCAGCGTGCTTCTTGAAGGAAAGACTAGCCAAGTTGATGGCATAGTCCACAGCGAGTGAAGAAACATTCTCCAGCTATAAAACATGAAAACATGAAAACAAAACTGTGAAGAAACTCAAAAAATAGCACTAAAAAAAAGCTCGTCCACAACAAAAAACTGAGGCAACGTAGCACCAAGGTTTTAGCGAGATGGTTGTCTGGGTAACCTTTGGACACAATCTAGGCTTTTTTTAACATCTCCTTTCTTTACTTGAAAGCATTTTAAGCATGACTTCAAAAACTTGGATGCCTTCTTTTATCAATGCAACGCAATTTTCAAATGCTGACTGAGGCCCTATATGGCACCTGTAAAGCCGGCCTCAGGCCAACCTTGCAACAACACAGATCAGTCGGCGACTGACTTCTCAGGATCAAGCTGTGCCTAGGACCGTCGGGAACAACTCAGTCGCCGATTTTGTGTGACCTGAGTGCAACTGCGACGATATTAAACGATCGGCATCAGTCGGCACTCAAAAAAAATCAACAGTCGTAAGAGTAGAACAATTTCAACTTCTGCGACGTGTACCGTGACAATCACACAATTTCTCAGTTTTGTGACCTGAGCATTACTTTTCTGCTTGATGCCGACGGTTCTGTCGTGGCGCAAGCAAATCGTGGGTTGACCTGAGGTTGGCTTTAGTCACATGACAGTGACTTGCCCAATCAAATGATCTTAGTTATACACTAAACCAAAGTCGACCAAACTCTGTATAAGAAAGTTCCGTGCTCAACATGATGCATACCTTGAACGTTTCAGAGTTTTCCTCTCCTGCTAGAACATAGCCCAGATCCAGCTCAGGTTCCTTGAGTGAAATGTTGACGAGGGGATTGATTCCCTGGCCTTTCAGACAAACGCTGAGAGTTGCAGACGCACAACGAATGTCCAGCACTTCCTGGTACTGCAGGTTAAAAACAAAGAAAAGAGGAAAGTAAAGAAGACGAAATGTGAATCAGTGAAAAGGGAAATTCCATCGCTACGGACATTACATTTAGAGCCTAAGACCAATTTGAAACAAGAAAATAAAATACTTGCGAATTTCATATATATTCCGTACAACTCTAGTTTAGGCCTTAATGTACAACGTGACATGGTTAATGCAACGTTAGCTGAATTCATTAAAGGGACACTGGGTCCTGGAACAGCCCAATTGGGCTACAAAATGCTCTTTGAACGAGAAGATGTTAATCGGAAAGAACATTTTAAAGTAGGATATAAACATCCACACAACTATCCTTTCAAAAGTGGGCGTTTTTGTGTTATTCCTGTATTATGCGTGCGAGAACGAATTTCGGGGTCCACTTTTGCGACCCCATAAATTCGAGCTGTTTGGATGCTAGTTGTGATTTCATTCATAAAGTTTTCGCCTTTTGCGGACGTTAAGGAAACCAACTTTTTTTGCATTGGTGATTGGTCACCGCTGTTCACGAGACACACAACGTGTATATCGTACACTGAGAACGACACGGAAAAAGTATTCGTACTCCGTCGTGTCCGATGTAAACAACCGGGCATTTTCCCTCTTTTCTCGAGAACGGTAAGACATTAGGTTGGTTTCCTTTCAACCAGATGTTAGAAATAGGCTAAGTAAACAATCCAAAACATGAAATTTTCGAGGATTTCAGGACGTAGTGCCCCTTTAATGAGATATAAACACAGTAAACGACTGTTACAGACGTTACGCATTCAGACATAGGTTTTCGATTTTCAGTACGCAGTGATAAAAGTCTGTGAAGCTTCTTGCAAGAATTTAATGAAATAACCATGAAGTGGTAGATATAGCTTCACTCTGTGAAACCACCAATGATATTTTACAAAAAGGTACTTTGATGTTATGGAAACATCAAGTTTTTGTTGTTACGGATGTTACATTATAACGTTATGGACACACAAGATAAAAAACACACCGAATCATGGTATTCTAAGTTCTGTGTGTTATTTTTGTGAAATATGAAACTTTCTCACGGTCTTAAAAACAAAACAATCACAATAGATGCCAAATTGACTACCTAAATCTATCATTTTAGCCCCAAAACCATTTTTTGTTTGGATAAAAAAATACACATGACTACATTCTATCTCAATGGCACACCACTCCAAAAAAGGTCTTGTTTTCCCCTTTCATTTGATACCACATTTGAGCTCATGATGCTTGTAGTGCTGAAGATTTCTTAACTTGTCCACTTTTCAGCCATGTCCACTTTCGCGTGGAATCACCCAAAAACAAAACTGATTGGGACTTCAATTCTTTACATATCGACCAAAATGGCTACTCTTGAGACAACAGGCAATTTAATGTCAAAGGTCATTTAGAAATCAAAGAGAAGCCAGGCTGGAGAGAAGACTATTTTGTTCCTGTTTGGTTTGTTTTTCTTTCTGAAGACGGAACTTACCACTTTGGCCTGTAGGGGTGCAAAGGCAATCAGGAGGGTGTGTGTGCCGTCAATGGGAAGACTCCGCAATGCATTGAGAAGACTAAAGGGACCGTTGGTATCCAAGATGGAGGACTTCAGCTGATCATTCACAAGTCAAGGAATGCTACATTATTATTGTTTTATTATTATTTTATTTCTAGTACTGAAACCAAGGATTCCTCAAAAGCATCCTAGGCACTGTAGCTCGCAAGCCTGAAGAAACCTGTAGAGAGCAGACAATGAGAAGAAATAGCAGGGTGTTTTTTTTAGAAGTGGGAGGACACCCCAGAGGAACATTCTGGGGAAAACTTCGGAATCAGGCAGGGACTGAAAACCCACTCCACACGGAGTAGGAATGAAACCTGGGCCACAAAGGTGCGTCTAATGGTTCTTCCAGTAGCTAGCTGTCAAGGACCGAGATTGTTATGAGGCAAGGGCGTCAATCGCTTCTCAAAAGTGGAAGGGGGGGGGGGGCATACCTTGATCAGAATTAATGCGAGCGCAAAGCGTGAAGCCCTTACGGCGTGGGGTCCGGGGCCCGCTTGAGGGCCTGGGAAAGTTTGGATTCTAGCTGACCTGTGGTGCGATCTGAGGCAATTTCTGACCACTTTGCAACAGATCATCATTTAAACATCATTTTCGAGTTTGGAGTCATTGAATCAGCTATTCTGAGCTACAGAATCAAATGTAGGTTTCAATTTTAATCTAGGGACGAACAAAGTGGGGGAGACAAACAATATATCCCCCACTTTTAAAAGTGTGTTGGGGAAGGGGGGGGGGGGGGGACATGTGCCATCCTCCATCCCTCGCTGATTGACGCCCATGTTATGATGTTTTACTGATCTGTGAGAAAGGTATTCATTTGTCACTGTTAATCCCCTGTTAGTCTTGTGGTCTGACATGTGACTTGTAGTGGCCATGACTACAACGATACCTGCTCCATTCACAAGCACCCCCTCACCGGCAAAGGAAGTACAGTTGGGGGTGACCGACCGACGCCATCTTGCCTGACTGCAATTTTGCCGTGACGCGCGGCTGCACCACTGCGTGTACTTAGTACAAATCCCCTGGTGTATGTGCGTCACATCCAAGGAACGGTGCACGTCAACCAGCTAAATGTCCTGCCAATGGGACGTCGTTGCTAGGTAAAAGGGCGCCCTCTTTCGTTTGCGCTCAGAGCCCATAGAACCAAGAAGTTGACTTTAACCTTACTCACATATTAATCTGGTCATAACGAGCAATTTGAAAGGATACATCCAAGACTTGGTCCGAGATATTCTGGATGGAAACGGACATGATGATTCGTTGACCGACCGATATGTCCCCAAAGTCTTTGGTGGTGCGTCCACGGTCAGAAATGACCACTACAGGAGGCTTGACCGCTGGGCAGTGGACTTCCAGATACAATGTGTTGTGAACACTGAGATAAAAGCAAAAGAGAAAAAAATGTGATTTTGATCCTTATGTGGGGTAATGCTTTTCATAAATTATTCTTTATAGTGACCTAATGCTACATGGTGTCGTAAATGTTGATGAAAGAATGCGTTTACAATGTAAGGTAAAACATTCACCTACTTGTAAAATTAAAATAAACACCAAGGAAAAAAATTGGCAGAGCCCAAGAGCAATACAGGGACATCTACAATATGTTTTTGTATCGCACTAAAAATACACTCTTAAAACCCGCCAATTGCAACTCTTTCAAAACTACCTATGACCAGGAAAACAAAATAGCAGTGATGAAACTTATCATTTAAGCTTTTCAAAAATCCAAGAATCTGGGAAAATCTGGAAAAAAAATCACGGCTCTTTTTCATAGTCTGCAGGGTCTCATCAAGTTCTTTTGAAACCATTTTTATTTTTAACTTTTACATATTAAACAGCAAGCTAACAGTTTAAGTTTAAAAGTCAAAGCATTACAACTCTCCCCTTATTTACAGTTAGTAACTTGACTCACATCTGACATTCCATCATACAGGGTGTCTCACAAAATTCTGAACCCTCAAAGCGTCCTCTTTTTCACAGCTTTAGGAAAAATACATCGCAAATATCTATACATATTTAGAAAGTGTAATCCATTAGCTTGTCAACAACGAAAAACTTTTTCCGATTGGGTAAATATTGATTAAGTTATGGCCGATTGAAAACAAGTTTCACTTTTCCATTTTGTCCACGGCGACTGATATTTTGACTGCCGCAATAAGAACACGGACCGAAACTTGCATTTGTGAAAAAAGGCTACCGAGTAGAGGGCAGAGAAAGAGCAGCATAGTAAAAATCTAAGAAGTTAACCAAACAGTTCTTTTCGGGACTACCATTACTTCCAAAAGGATAAATGACCATTGTAGCCAAAAATAAAAAGAACAAAATAACTAAGGAGAGATTAACATATTAAAGAACACAAAAATACCCTCACCCGAAATCCTAACAAATGGTAATTGAGACCGTAGACAGATTGAAAATCAGCACTTATTTGTATTTGCCATATCTTAATAAATATTTACCTGATTGGAAAGACTTTTTCCGTTGTTTGAAAGCTAATGGACTTTACTCTCTAAACATGTAGAGATATTTGCACTGATTTTTTTTTAAAAGCTGTGAAAAAAAAGGGTTAGGTTTTTTTGTGAGACACCCTGTATAAGCATTTGTGTGAGATCTAGGACAAGGTTTAGGCTACAACACAGACGTTGAATTCATAATTCTGAGCGAGCTTACATGTAGGGAAGTGTCCCTGGATCACCGGGCTGGCCTGAGGCCACATAGCAGGGGATGGAATAACTGCTGAACCGACCAGCAAACTGACGAAGGAGAGAGGTCCTACCTGCTGCAAACTCATCAGATCTGATCAGACAAGAAGAACAAACCAAGCAATCATGATAAGAAATGATTAATAATAATTACTAAATGCTAATCACATTTACTCACAGCTGAGAAGCTTAACTGCAAAGGACGCGGCTACAACCGAGACGTATAAGGCGCCTTACACAGCCAGCCACACAACCCATATACAATGAAATCTCGACAAGTCAAACTCTGATAACTCCAAAAAACTGTTAAGTCAAACAAAGAATCCATTGCCTTCAGTAGTATAACAATGATATACAACCCTGCTTAACTCAAAACTCTGCTGAAGTCAAATTTTTAACCTGTTCCCTTGAGGTGTGACTTATTGAGATTTCACTGTATGACCATGGAACGCAGCCGGAGATCAAAAGTGTTTCATTTTGCGGAGGGAGGAAAACCAGAGCCCGGAGAAAAACCCTTGTGGCACAGGAGAGCCGGGAATCGAACCAGGGCTACAGTGGTGAGAGGCGAGTGCTTTATACACTAGCCACCCATGCTGACCCATGATTGGGGTTGTTTTTGTTTATTTGTTTACTTTGTTGTTGTTTTCCCCAAACTTACCCAGGCTGAATGTCCTCCACCTTGGGTGGGATGACCTGCTGGAGGGTAGGGCTCCCCTTAGACTTGCTTGATGGAGACTTGACGTTACGTTTAGCTCCCTTCTTTCCTTTCTGAAATGAGATCCAAGAAACAACAAATAAACTCCGCTACTGCGTCAAAAAGAGACTGGTCATAAAAGGAAATCAAAATACATCAAAATTAAACAAAGTTTTTGTAGAACGCACCTTTGCATCCTCTTCCTCTGCCAGCCCCTCGAGGGCGCTCTTCTTAGCAGCCAGCTGCGCTTGCTCAAACTCGTACTTGGCTTTAGCCTCCATGGCTTTGGTGATCAGCCGTACCGCCTCCTCCTTGATATCGGCCACGCCCAGCTGGGGGCAGAACTTGACTGACACTTTGACTTTCTGTGGCGGAAATCAAAAGAAGGAAAAATGTGACTCAACTCAAGCAAAGAGTCTCAAGTTGCCAGAACCACTTTAGAATAGGCTTTTTTACACATCTTGCAAAAAGTGTAAAATTATTGACAGTAACTTTTGCTTCTATTGTGCATGATGTGGAAAATGTTCCAATTTTCTAAAATTAGTTTGGTGACTTGAGAATCATTTTGCTGTACTGGGTCACAACTGTTAACCACTCGCCACCAGGATTATTTTTGGCCGAAAAACTCCATTTTTGAAATAGACAATATATATCGGCCAAATGTAAAATTAAGTCAAACACCACAAATACTGACTCTTGAGAGTCATTTGTACAATATTTATACGATACTTCTCACCGCAATTTCATATTTTGCAACACTACAATGCCCTGCCACCGAGCAATATTTGCTACGACGACAGGCTGTGTACAACAGCCAATTTCAAGTTCAACTCAATATCCCAAAACAAGTACATGTATGCTTTAGTTACCTGTCCAGGTTTCACAACACCAACGGCAGGGGAGATAGCCACTGGCACGCCCTCGGGCAACACAAACTCAAACGCCGTGGGTCCGACGGGGGCAATATCCCCCTTACCGACACGAGGCACTGGATGGGTGAACTCGTTAGCGCTGGTGTGAGAGTTGACCACACAGAGAGATGTGATGGATGAATCTTCCACGGCGGTCGCTGCGAAGTGAATGGTGGAGTGGGAGAGCTCTAACGGAGGGTGGACACCGACGGCTGTACAGGAAATCTTGAAATCCCTGGAAAAGAAGTAAATCGTTAACAGAAAATTCAAGGAAAATATTGTTAGTGAAAAGACACTCAGAAAAAAGCCATACTTTGTGAAAACTCACTTTAGATTGATTTGCCTTGTTTTGGTTATATACAATCTTGTATTTGTGTCATTGTGTTGAGATTTAAATCAAAGAGACATCACTTTAAAGTTTAACAGAGGGCTTTCAGCCTTTCACTAGCACATGCGACACGGCCTACATCCGGGTAATGGAAAGTTAGTGTCGTAAGTGTTGAAAGTTAGTGTCGTCCACTGTAGCAAACAAAGATCGTAAAGTGCCACGTGCAGTAGATAGTAGGCAAGACTTCAAAGCTGCGGATAACAAAAACTTTGAGAAAAACACAAAAGCCAACACCGTGCTGGGTTGGTACCATTATAGCCTTGTCTGCACTGGACTTTTTTTGGTAAAACTTACCGAGACTATGGGTACATTTTAAGTCCAGTGCGGACAGCCTGGGACGTTTTCCTCTCAGTTACTTTTCCTGAGTCCAGCGGTTACTTCTACTGGCCAACTGCTGCCCAGGAAAATTGACTGGGTGCCCAGCAAAACTGACCAGGTCACTTTTCCCGAGACGATAAGTCCAGTGCGGACAGTGCGAGTCGGTACAAGCGGCTCAGGAAAGCGTACATCCGGCCTGAGCGCGAGAGGTCATGCATACAGAGACTGCACAAACCTACACGTGCAGTGGCCGAAAATTTTGTAGAAACACGCTGCGGTGTATCTGATCAAGTCCGAGTGGTAAAATCTCGTTATAAATATATTTCAACGGAAAAAAATACATACGCAGAAAAGAGAGATCACGTTCTGGGAATTAAATTTGCAGAAATTCTCTTTCTTAACCAATGTTTGTTAGGTATTTTCTACGATCCAAATTCGTCTTGTTACGCTACTGAAGTCATGCATGGTACATAATGGTCCGGTACCGAACGTAGGCCGAAGTCACTGGTTCCGGTCCTATATCATAGCTTTGGTTCTGTTAGCATGCGATGGGAACCAACGAATACTGATGGCACTGCTGCCGCACGGAACATCGTACAGCGGCATGGCTTCGATGTCGTGTCACAAATGCGTCAGAAAAATGTATGCTTTTTCGTCAAGATTTAGCGTGTCAACATGAAATAATATCGTGTTAACGATTATGTTGTGCATGCAAATGGCGTGTGTAATATTACTGTGCGTATCGGCGGCTGAAAATGTGATCGGCATTTTGTTTTCTGCGCACGGTGAGTCATTATACTGACACAGTGACAGCTCAGTTACTTCTCCCACGCGGTCTGGGTAAAATGTCCCGTGTCGAAAGTCCAAGTGCGGACAGTGGTCACATTTGACCATTTCTCATTTTTCCGTCGTCTCGGTAAAACCTTCCAAAAAAAAAAAAGTCCAGTGCGGACACGGCTTATGACAACCATACACGGCACATGTACTGCCCATTGTGCTATTTGCTATCGAATTTGCTGTTATTTTACAGGAAAATAAGCCTATCGTCTAGTACACAATGCACGGTGTAGTTGCTAACCAAACGTTTGCCTACTGCAATGGTGGCTGACCACAAGGAAACCGGATAGTCACATGATACTTTGACGTCACATGATCGGACCCTATTACCTGTTGATTCCTGATTTGCATGTCAGGTCAAAGTTGTAATTTTTAGCTTTCTTGGCGCTGAAGATGACATCCAGGTCCACAGTTTCCAGTGGTAGCAGTGTGCCAAATCCGTCATTGGGCTGAACATCCACGTACTACGGAAGAAAGTCAGGAAAACCAGAATATGAAAGGCATGTGGCAGTTTGACTCCAAACAAGAACTCAACCGGGCATTCTTTGACACTCCAAATTCACTGCGCAAGTTGACTTCAAAATCTTACAAGATTTATACCGGGATACATGATTTCCAGGCATAAAAAGCATTAAACTTTAGGATATTTGAAAATATGGCAAGACTTGCACAACTCTAATACTATACAAATAATTAATCTTTATGAGTGCAATGGTAAGAATAATTTCATGAGGTGACTCATGGAATGTTCCATTCCATGAGGTGAAGCCGAGTGAAATGGAACATTCCAAGACGTGAAGTAGAATGGAACACTCAGTCACAGAATGAAAATATTCTTTCCATTGCTTGAATGTGAAACATTCATTATTTTTTAACTCTGTAAACTGAACTATGAATGTGTAGCATCAGAGCCATTAGAGCGCAACAAGTCGTTGCATCAGTGCAACAAGGTCGTAGCTCCATTCTGCAACAAAGACGTATCTCGCGCGAATACGCTCTGTGCAACAAGGTTGTATCTCGACGTCCATTGACTTTGTGTGTATATCGGGTTATTTTAAGTGAGATACGACCTTAAGACATTCTGAAACTCGCGTTTCACGTACGGCCCGTTTTAGGAGATACGACCTTGTTGCACGGACGCGACGAAATAGTGTGACCATGCAATGGAAGTTCTATTTACGGTGGAATGGAATTTCTATTTTTGCCGTGCGGCAGCGCCGTGCATTGGGATGAATAATTCAGTGACATGTGATCATGACCCACCAATCAGATGATGGAGATTTAGTGAGGCGTTGATTATATATTCTTATTGCATACTGACACGTTACAGGACTTACATCAGGAAGGTTGACGAAGCCAAACTTCTGTGACAGGATTGACCGGTTGGTCAGCTTGACCGCTGCGATGACCGATTCGTGAATGGTGGCATAACCAAAGTCAATGAAGTCCGTGTTGAAAGCCATATCAGACGTGGTGACCACGGCGTGCACTGTGTACAACACTGGAGCAGTCTAGTGAATAAACACAAATCACTTTTAACAAAAAAACTGACCAGCAGCTACAGCAAGACACAAATCACACTGTAGGTTTACTTCAAATCTTTTAGTGACAGAAGTAGAAAAAAAGGGACCAGAAATAAAATGCCAATAGGCTACTTCAGCGTAAGTCATTTTCAGCAAGCTGCACTCAGCACACATGCTCTTGGAGCTCCATAAGAATGCATGCGGTATGCACGTGAGCATCGCAGCACCGCATAAATGGCTTTTAATTTTTGTAAAACAATGGCTTCTAATTTTGTTCGGCAAATTCCAGTACAGGCAGAGTAAAAAAAAAAGAAACCCAAATGTCGGGACCAATAGTGAAGTTCTTCATGTAGCACTTTCAAAATCTAGGATATGAAAGCCCAATTCATAAGCTTTCTTTTAGTACAAGAATCATTCAAATCACACATGTACTTTTCAAGTTACGGAGTTTTAAACACAACCACCATTTTAAAGTTCTGTCCAGGAATCACAAAAAAGGTGCGTGTTCTTTCAGTTAAACAAAAACAATTCACACACATCCCTATGTGATTTGTTTTCATTTTGCTGAAAGAACACTGAAAGTTTTGTGATCCGTGGACAGAACCTTAAAACAGCGGTTGTGTTTAAAACTCCGTAACTTGAAAAGTACATGAGTGATTTGAATAATTCTTGTGCTAAAAGAAAGATTATGAATAAGCCATTTGCGTGTTAAATTTGAATAAAATCTGGAACGCTGACTTAATACAATGCTTTGCACGTTTTAACCTAGCATTCTCCCGACCAAAGAGACTGTTACTATATCACGTGATTCGGGGCAAGCCTTATGCTAGCAACCCCCTGCTCCGGCATCCATGGTGTCTTTGTGCCATTCTCACCCATTGTGAATGATGTATTGGTGCTGAGCGTCTCTTACGTAACTATGCAAGAGCTTGCCCCGAATCATGTGATTAGCAACAGTGTCTTTGGTCTGGAGAATTCACAGTTAAAATGTGCCAAGCATTCTGAGCAAGTCATTGTACCAGACGTTTTTCAAATGTAAATCCCAAAGGGTATAGGTTACTCGCAAATGGCTTATTGGGCTTTCATATTCTAGATTTTGAAAGTGCTGCATGCACAATTCACTAAAACAATGGTCCCGACATTTGGGTTTCGATATTTTTGACTCGCCCTGTAGAGTACTGATTGGTTCTTTTATGCAACATTTATTCCAGTCATCGGCAGGTATGCCTTCCTACCTGATCAGCCACTCTGATGGTCATGGGAGCTTCCAAGACGCCCGTCTCTTTATCAAAACATGGACCAGCTTCCTCGATAAGACTATGCCTGATGGCAAAAAAACAAACAAAAAAAACAGAGAGAAAGACAAGAAACAAGGGTCAGTACTATTTTTTTTGGCACTATTTTTACTCTGAAGTTGGCTGTTCATCATTCAAACAAAGCCAAATAAAAGAAGAGAGCCCCTTTAAACTGAGGTGAATCACCGACAGAAAATAGTTCAGTGAATTTTGTCCCATATAATAATGTGTACTCCAAAATGTAGTATGGTCCTCTTGTGAACTTTGCATGGAAAATGCACTACTGCAGGTGAGGGTTTTAAAAGATCCCTCCCTTTGATCTTAAATAAATTTTTGATCGACGAAATATATTTTTTTTACAGAAGCGCCCTAGTTCAAATTTTCTATTGTTGATGTTTTGCCTGTTCTAGAATTTGTACTGCTAAGCACCCACCTGGGCAGGAACTTCAATTGGGCGGAGAATTGCGACTGGGCTTGTATGTATGCCGTCTTGGGCAGTAACTCCATGTGGTTGCGTAGCTCCTTGCAAACCTCAAACTTGATACGCAGTGCAGTGGTGGCGCGGTTGTTGACAACGATAGCGTCTTGATATAAACGGTCAAACATGCAGATCCTCAGGTCAACGTTCTGACGCTCCACCCAGACGGGAACGTCGATCGCCAACGCTGAGGCCTGGACGTCAATCTGTGTAGAGTTTGGATGACAATTTTGTACATTGTTTATGCTGTAAATTGAGGACACTATCATTTAGGTGGCATGGGTGGCTAGGGTGTAATGCGCTCCCCTCTCACCACTGTGGCCCTGGTTCGATTCCCGGCTCGGACCATATGTGAGGAAAGTTGTTCGTTGATTCTCTCCTGTGCCACGAGGGTTTTTCTCCGGGCTGTTCGTTTCCTCCCTCTGCAAAAATTAAACACGTTTGATATCTAGCTGTGCTCTGTGGTCAGACATGGGTGGCCTAAGGCGCCTTGACATGCCTGCGGCTCGACCACGTTGTAGCCGCGTCCTTCGAAATTCAGCTTCTTAGCTGTGAGGATGATTAGCCTCCCAAATTATTATGAGGAAATTCCTCTTCTCAATGAGGACATGTACACAAGTGAGGACATGTGCTCAAATGAGGGCATGTACCCAAATAAGAACATGTACCCAAGTGAGGACATGTACCCCAGTGAGGACATGTACCCAAATGAGGTCATGTACCCAAATGAGGACGTGTACTCAAATGAGGACATGTACCTAAATAAGAACATGTAACCATGCGAGGACATGTACCCAATATAGGACATACACCCAATTGAAGACATGTACCCATGTATAAAGGACAGTCCTCAAATGGAAAACGTGTACAAAACCAATGAGAAATGCTGCACAAAGAAAGTTGAAGTTCCAATAAAAGATCGAATGGGATGCTTTCAATTTATACCATACACAAATGTGTGTGTATATCTTTATTATTTACTTGTTTTTACAGAGCGAAAATGTTTTTTAACAAACTCACAGTTTCAGAGAGAGGGTCCGTGAACCGAATCTCAAAGTCTACGTCCACAGCGCCAGGAATCGTGGGTTGGAAGATGACCTCTAGTTTGATGGAGGAGAAGGGGCCGATCTCGTCACCGGTCACCTGACCGACGCGCATCCCATCCCAGATGCTTGGATCCTCCAGGTCATCAGGGGCTAAAGTAAAAGCTTCAGTTGCTGGAAAATAAAAAGAGATAGTTGAACAAAACAACAATTGATAATTAAACCTGACCCTCCTATTCCCACAGTGCATCAGGTGTAACATTCTGCGGGACGTTACTGCTTTGAGCCATCAACACCAGTGCACAAACGGCTAATTCTGAGACAACGAGAGCTAGTCCCATTGAACAATGCCACAGTTGTATCCTGCTGCATTCGGTGACCACGGACTTTTAGACAATTTGGCCTTCTAGCCAAAATACACTGTCACATGTAGGGGTCATGTACAAAATCTTCATTTCCTTAATAAGCCTAAAACAGCTGGAGTTTGTGCTCATCTTACAGGGAGGATACCACCTGTTTTGCAATTATGATAAACATTCCATACTTTTGTCTGTGAACGAGTGCCTTTTTCGCATTCATGGTCGATCAAAGAAAGCTGTAGTGACTGGTTTGAATACCTTCTGCATCATCCACAGTGATGGTCACGACCCCGGATCGCTTACTCCTGGCTGACAATGGTTCCTTAGTCTCCTCTCCAGCAGCTAATTCTGTATCGTCAAAAGGAAAAGTGCCATGAATAGTGTTATTCAGTCACAACTGCAACTTTAAACATTGTAATTATTCATTGATGAATGCATCAAGACATACAATGCTTGGATGGTTAAAGGTGCAGTCCATCATTTGCAGCTATCCAAAAGGTAGCTGACGTAATTATTATTGATAAACATACTTGGTTTACAGATAGTAATGGCACTAAACTCCCTGTGAAATTATTATTTCTGGCAAACTGTCATTTTGAAGAAATCAATGAAAGAAGGACTTTTCAACGATGCGTTTAAAGATGCATCATTGAAATTCTTTTTAATTGAACATTTTTGTATTCGGCGAAGCGGGCGCAAGCGTTGACATGATGCACACACGGTTGCTATAATTCATCAGTTTAGTGCGTGACATCGCGTAGCTGCAATTGGCTCAGTGAGAACGTGTCTCGGACGCTGAATTCACGCCCAATTCAAAACATGCCTAGGCAACTTTTGATTTGAAATCGAGATGCTAGAATATCGTTTTCTCGGAATATACAGCATTCACTGAGCTGAATTTCATCAGGTTAGTTGTTCAGCACCCTTCTTTAGATTTTGAGCATTTTTTTGGCTTCAAACGAACATAATGCACAAATTACAAATGATGGCCGTTACTTTTAAGGCGGTACAAGGAGTACCAGACTGGGTGGCTTGGGTCACCACAGGGTCCAAAGGGTTCAGTTACAAATAGAGTATCATTTGTTGATCTTAGAAACTTTGGTGCGTAATGTGCACGTACCTTGTGCATTCTCCCCTTCTTTCTTAGACTCAATGTCATCTGATTTCTCTTTCTTGTCATCAACGGTTGCATCATCCGGAGCCTTGGATGTGTTTGGCCGCGTGCTCATATCAGCAGTAGTCTGATAAATGGTCAAATTGAAGAATTTAAGAAAATAAGCCAGTTCAGTATCTCGACGAGGTAAAGGTCATTCGGGATAAGATTTCTGTCTCGACTAGCATCTCGTAACCTCGATGTTACGCAAATGCACATTCTGCTTGAAATTACCGCATGAGCGTCGTGCGACTGTCTCTCTGCGCGGTCGTGCGCCTTTGATGAGTGTTCGATTATACCACATGACATGTGGCCTATATCATTGCGCGCATGCGCAGTTGAAATACCGAACTGGCTTATTTAAATTTAAAAACCCAAAATATTTGATACTATTTGCATAAATGGAGTTTTTCAGCAGTAATGATAAGATTTTGAAGTGAAATACGAAGAAAGGCTGGATTGGGGTAATTACCATTTAGAAACTTTAAAAAATCTTGTGTCTTCCTAATGTAGTGCCATTAATTTATTCATGACAGGTTTCAAATTTTGCGAAGGAAACCCAAAGCATTCTGGGAATTTGATTTGAAGAAGAACTAACTTACCAAACGACCCAGGGAAGTACCGGCTGATGTCAATGTATTTCGTTTCATCCCTAAAAAATACAAATTGTTTTAATTTTGTTTGCATTTTATTTGGAATCTGCATCCTCTGAACACAGGCTTTGTATTTTGGTTGCGTTTACGCACACAAAACTATCCGCCCTGTGAGTAGACTGGTTCCAGGCCCTACATCATCGATTCTAATAGGAGGCTGGAACCAGTCTACCCTGCAAGAACTCAATAATTGTCGTGCACTAAATAATTGAAATTTGTAAATAATTATTCTGTAATTAAAGTTGAGCTGATTTGTATATTTGACCTATAATTCAAAAAGAGAATAACGTATGTATTGGTGTAAAAATGTGAGGGGTGCTGGCAAAATGATTTTTCAGATTTATTGATATTTATAATCTTTAATATGTCTACTACACATGATTTAAAGAAACAGTACAAAAATTGTGGAATAAGGAGAAACTACTGACATTTTTCATTCTCACAAATACAAATCTCAAACTTTACAGGTTTTTCCCTCAATATTTACCGGCTATCTTGACATGTCGATAAATGCTAATTTTAAACAGCCATAACTTGTCAACGGAACACCCAATTGAAGTGCACCGAACAGTATTGTAAGGAGAATTATATTCTCCTTCCTTATACCAGCAAACCCTCAATTCAGCCTCTGCCCAGTTCTGTCCCATTCGCAGGAACGCCTCACAAATATCAATTTAAAAACCCAAAACGTCAAGCTTAAGTCAAAAACACCAGGGATAATACATCTTTAATGCACAACCACATCCATTCACAGTGCATGGATAGGAGTAATCAAGGCACACAGCAACGAACCTGTAATCTTGAGGAACTCAAAGTTTGTTCCCTTGGCTCCGTTGTTGGTCAGGGTGATGGTTTTCTTCAGTGTCTCTCCGATCACTTGGGTCCCAAAATCTATGCTGTCCATGTCTACGGATAACTGAGAGCAAAAATAGGGAGAATTTGAATTTATTACTTCCTAACATTAGGGGGCGTGTGGTAAAGTGGTTAGGGTTCGTGACTCATGATCAGAGGGTCAGGGGTTCAAATCCAGCTGCTGGCCACAAGCTGTGTCCCTTGGCAAGCCACTTTACCCCACTTGCCTCTCCCCACCCAGGAGTATAAATGGGTACCGGCATTAGCTGGGGAGTAACCTGCGATGGACTAGCATCCCATCCGGGGGTTATGTCCTTGGGCAAGCCACTTCACCCTCACCTGCCTCTCTCTACCCAGGAGTATAAATGGGTACCAGCATTAGCTGGGGAGTAACCTGCGATGGACTAGCATCCCATCCGGAAGTTGTGTCCTTGGGCAAGCCACTTCACCCCACTTGCCTTTCTCCACCCAGGAGTATACATGGGTACCAGCACTAGCTGGGGAGCAACCTGCGATGGACTAGCATCCCATCCAGGGGGAGTAGAAATATTCTCAGTTGTTTCATGCCAAGGGTCTGATGGGCCATATTGGCTTGTGACAGACTTTACTGTGCTGTGCTTCATTATTTGCAGCTTATGATGCTTTTGTCTGTTGTCTGTGAAAATTCTGTGAAAAACCTGGAATGCTCGACAATATATGCTACGCGCTACCATAAGTTTGTATCAACTACATTGTACATGAACAACATGACAGAAAGTGTAATATTTTTAACACTGTTCTACGTGGTTGGAAACAGTATTAATGATTTCAAGTAAAATCAAACTGACATTTTGTAGCAGGATATCATGAACCTTAAGTCCCTATGGGGTATGACATTTTTTTTTATTGGAGTGAGGACTTTTAGGGTTAAAGAAGTTGATTTTGTGAGATACTTACATCACATTTCTTTGTCGAGCAATTAACTGGTACGCAGAACGGTCCGGTTTGAGTCAAGAACTGCACCTCACCCTCCAAATCCTCATTGATCTGAAAACGAAACATTAATTGTTCCATTTTTTAATTTGTTGTTATACACAACCCAATCCCTCCAGCTACGGTCAAGCTTGACAAATAGTGCTGGTGGGAAATCAAAAATCTCATGAAAAAATCAACAACAGGCTAGGAGCACGCATAGCGACATTAATACGACTTGAAAGAAAAAAAGCCTTAAAACGTAATAGGGACTATGTATGGCCTATCAAAAAATGGGGCACAGCCTCCTTAAACTTCTCTGAATCCAAGCTGTGTTGTGTTCCAGTGTTGGTTTTGAGTAAAAAAAAAAAAAAAAAGAAGACAGGAATAATCCAAAACTAGAAAAAGTAAGGCTGGTCCGAAGAAGTTTTCTGGATATTGTCAGGATATGTGATGTGATCAAGCTACATGAGTCGTTTGTCGACCCTGGTCAAACAATTTTTATTATAGATTTGAAAAGAGCACAATCTCAGCATTACTGCTGTGAAAACTGCATGCTGGTACCATCTTTAGATCAAAAATTATGGAAGTCGGAACACCAAGAGATGTGATGAAGTGATGTGATGAAGTGGACCTATTTTGGCCTGTATCTCCACATAAAAATTCCAGACAAACGACTCATGTAGCTTGATCGCATCACATATTCCAATGTAGTCATAACAAATATTACATTTAAGGTTGAACAAAGAAATTGACTGGACCGGGGTTTGAACCTGCGACCTCTGGATTGCTGTTCCGGTGCTCTACCAACTGAGCTATCCAGCCCTATGTTGGCGGCTCCCATTTTGTCAATGTTTTTGTTCAAGGGGCGCAAGTCAGAAGCATTGCTGATGTTGCTAGCATCGTGACTTTTGGGCACTAGTGTCTGAAAAAGTTTTCAGTGCTACGTCTATAGACCGTTATCATGTTGCGGCCATCTTATTTTTCCACTCAAATCAACATAACAAAAGCATTGCTAGAAGGAAAAATAGTCTGGTTCCTTTTTGCACAAAAAACATTATCATTCAGTACTGCTATTGGATACAGGGAACATGACCAAAATGGTGGCAGCAAGATAAAGGTCTATTGGCAGGAAGTACAATGTAGTCGTAAGGAACATTGGCCAAGACAATACCTATACACAAGAGATTCATATGAGGCTAATCAAAATAGACCCGTTGCACTGGTGTCCCTCGCCTTAAAATTTTTCTCATCCCGCCCACTCATCCTCATACCAATCCCGCCCAACTCCTGAGGAAGATTGTGAAATATCACTTGTTCCTATGATACTTACCATTGGTTTGAATGTGACCACCATTTCACAGCTCATGCCCGCTGACATCTGGCCTGGCGGATCAAACCTACAGAAAAAATTAATGAGTTAATGTTTGAAAGCAATACAGCAGTAAAAGCGGAAATTAATGAAGTGAATGTTCATTTTCAACTTGGTTTGCGAAATCATCAAAATGGAGCTTAGGGTTGACATTATGGTCAGACAATTGAAATCTCGAAAGTTGCTGTTAAGATTTTCTGCACGATAATACTGCCACATTCGGTTCAATACAACAAGATGCAAGTGTGTACAGTGAGCGTTATAGCTTTACGGTAATATGGAGTAAACTGCAACTTTCGCGAGCGTCATAAACGTGAAATATGTTTATTTTCCCATGTAGCCATGTTTTCGTTTTGAAAATTGCCCACAAATGACATTCACAACCTTTCTTTTTCATTGTCTGAGAAGTTACTGAGTAATTTGTCAAGTTGGTTACGGGTACCCGATCCCATAATCTGGAATCTGTTTAGACACCAACGGTATGTACTCGGTACTAAGTTCCGATGTACAGCCGTACATCAGACATTAATCGGCCATTTTAGTCAAATCAAAACGGATGCACTTGGTAGCTCAAAATTGATTGTGCAAGATCACTTTGTCAGACACTTTTTGTGTCAACTCTCAGCCACCATGAACCTCTAACTGGCTAGGTTGTATTTTCAGGGCTGATACTTGGGTTAAAAGGGAACACAAGAGATGTCGCACTGCACTCAGGATTTATGTATGCAACGCTGGTGCAAAGATTGCGTCTGAATGACACTTTAAATTAATAGAAGAACTTCCTTTGATAAGATCTCGTTTTACCCTAACCCCTAATGGTATTTTGGCTAGAAACCCTGCTGAACGCAGCAACAAGCAACACTCGTCACAATGACAAGCCTGCCCAGTGCAGCAAGATCCATCAGGCCAAAAGTCTCAAGGCCAAACTGCCTCAGAGTCTGTGGTCGCCGAATGCAGCAGGATACAACTGTAGCATTGTTCAATGGGACTAGCTCTCATTGTTTCAGAACTGGCCGTTTAAGCACTGGTATTGATGGCTCAGCGCATCCAGGTACCAAAGACTTTGACACCTGATGCACTGAGTTGCGTCTGGCAGGGTTAGGTTTAGAGGGACTTACTGCAGGTCGATGAAATCTTTCAGATGATCAGACAGATCAACCAGCTTGATGAAGTTGACACTGTAGGAGACGTTGGTCAGGATCACTTTCTTCTTGTAGGACTTGCCAACGTCAAAATCCTGGGGGAAAAATAGATGAGAACAAAATAGCAACTTAAAACAGGATCAGAAATGTGATCACGCATCCCATTTGCCAACAATCACAATGTGAAAACTGAATCAAAAGTGGTGACCCCTTTTCTGGTCCTCACAACATGGTTTAAAAGAAAATAGTTCAGATTCGTCCATTTGACAAAAAAAATCAACCCAGCAAGGTGGACTTTGAAGCATGATTTTTCAGGTTAAAGGTTCAAAGGATCATTGCTTTTTGTGAATTTTTTTTTTGTGCATAGCAACTTTACTTGTTGAAGTTTCAGCTCAGTGGATACTATACTGTTTGAGAAAAGAAAAAAGTATGCATGCGTTTGTTTTCTATGGAATGATAACATTAATGATGGAATAATTTCAGAGGGTATTAGGTAGTCCTATCTTCACTTTGAGCAAGAATTTTTTTGGTAAATTTTTAAGTACGTTTCTGGTTAATTGCAAATGTTCATACGTGCCGTTAATACATCTAGTTCTTACCAAATCCCCAACATCTCTTTTAATATTAGTCAATTCACATGGCCTATCTACAAAATACTCCCGAGCTGTCCTCTCCATCATGCAATTTTTTTAAACCAGGTTTAAGGCCCGTCTCAATTCATATCCGGGATGAGCTCAAGACAAGTTGCGGACACTGTATCGGGTATAAGTTGCAGGATTCTGAACAATTTCCCTACAATCTTTTCATAATGAAGTTATCAGTATTGATAAGTCATGCAGTTGCTAATGAAAATTTCCCCGGAACATGTCCAGGACAAATGAGAGCTTCTTCCGAACAAAGTGAATGATTCTACCCGCAACTTGTCTGGAACTTGTCTTGGATATGAATCGAGATGGGCCCTAACACGTACCTTGAAGTGGATGATATCAGGTTTGCTGTAGAACGGACACCCCTTGAATTCCTTGCCGGCAGCCACCTGCTTCCTGACGATGCCTGCTCGGTGTTTGTCTAGAGCTGCGGCCATCATTTCTCTTTCCATCTTACTCGGGTACTTGAGATTGTAGCTAGCATCCTCCTCCTTGGGTACCTGGGAGGAAGAGTGAGTTAAAAGGGGAGATTTTGTAACTTGCTTAATCAAGCAAAGAATCTTGTAATTTATTGTGTTCAACTTCTGCTTCTTTACTATTCATAAGATGAAATAAGCGTTGGGGTGATGAAAATTCAATATTTTGTTTTACACTTCACAGACATACAGTAAACTCCAGCTTAACCGACATCGTACAACTTGTCAAATCGCTCAAGTCGGCCGTCTGACTAAAGTCCCGATTGTCCGTAGTGCATTTCCATTGAATTTTTAATTTCTAAGTCGGCTTTTATAAGTCGCCATTTCGCTCAAGTTGTGGTGTTACTCTGGGTCCCCTTTTCATAAAAAGCATTACAAAATCCTTTGTGTAAGTCGGCATTCAACAAATCACGCATCGTGATATTGCATCGTGAGCATATCAATACCAGTACCCCTCTCGGCTGTACGCATACGCTCTGTCCATTTTGGGGGTCGTCTTATTGAATGACATGCCTGGTATATACCGGACCACGCATGCATTTAATTTGTTACTGTGCACGTACATTGTATATGTATCGTGGTCTCAACTATCAATACCCAAGACGCGATGATACAATTCGAGGATTAATTTGCTGGATTCAACTCAAGCATTAAGGAGATAATCCAGGGTAAATCGAAGCCAATTAGTGCAATGAATCATGTGTGCAAAAAGACCATTCATGTAAGTCGGCAAAATGACGACTTACAGCATATATCGGCATTCGCGTAAGCCATCACGAATTCTCGGGTCCCGAGAGTGCCGACTTAGCCGGAGTTTACTGTGCTTTTATCAGTGTTGCCACCAAGTGATTGTGAGAAAAACTCAATCGGGTGGGACTCGAACTCACGTCAGTGAAGGGCAAAAGCCAATATAGAATTGACATCACACCAACGCAAATTCCATCATTGTGGTACCCACTGCTATATCTGATTAAAAAAAAGCCAGTCGACCCCAGCAAGCTCGGTGGTGGAGTGGTAAGACATCTGCACTAGTAAGCAGGAGGTCGTGGGTTGGACAAGGGTGAACCAGGTACCTTGTAAGTCTTGTGTTCTTGGTCCCACAGTCCCTCAAACTCTGGTTTAGCGAGTTCATCCTTCCGATCCTCACTGTCGCTACCGCCGCGCTCGTCACGGCTGGTGGCGCCGTACGGACTGAAACCATCATCATCTGAGGAGATGTCTGCCCCAGCTAACTTGGTTGAGCTGGGTTTCTGTGTCAGGGAGAAAAAAAGGATCAGCTATCACATATTGGTATCTTAGGTCCAAAATCCATGTGGCTGTTTTCGATGTGTGTATTGCGCTGTGCGATTACCAGTTGCGAATCCGTGATGTGTACCCTGAAAGTCCATGTGTACGTATTTCTTTGCACACTCGACAGAGAAAATAGAGGGCATGCAGTAGTTTAAAAAAATAAAGTGTCAATTAAGTTTAGATTAGATTTGGCAAACTACACATTTTACGAAATATGACAAGGTTTAACAATAAAATACACAGATTATGAATATTCAATGCAATACTAATGGAAAATTGAAATTAAGGCAGGCCCTAGTTTGTTTTAATAAGATTCACATACGAACTGCTTCCTTTTTTAATAGGCCAACCATTAATACTTATTTTTACCCCATCACTTCATCATTTCTTTAAGTTGCAGGCAATAAATCCCATGCGCCCGCATTGGATGTGTCATCCATTTCAATCGCTTCCTGCAGCGTATACAATTTGAACGGATAACACGGTGTGGATAAAGCAATGCGGGATACATAGATGTATGCATGTTGATTTTCGAACAACCGATTTTTACGCATCATGCAGTGTGCACTACGTTTAACGCATGACGGACACATAGATTTTCAGCCTTAAATCAGCTGAGAGTGCATCACATGGTATTGCATAGTTTTACTATTTCAACATGCATGGCCAAAAAGACTTTACAACTGCAGCCGCGTTCTGAAAAAGTGCTACACAGCTACACAGCACCCGGAGATCTATGTAGACATGCATATGGGTGTGTGCATTGCATGTACTGTTCTCATATTACACAAAGTTGGTACAAACATTTCCTAATAAGCATCCAGTACAAGTGTATGGAGCGCCTATTGTACAATATTAAAAACTCTTGAGTTTCACTCACTGGGACAGCAGCCTCCTCTACGTCAGCGCTGTACTCCATGGAAGAGGAGCCACTGTACTCTCTGATGATGCGAGCTTTGCGCTTGGGTCGGGTGACACGCTTGGCGCGGTCCCGCTTGGCATCGGGCCAGAGCTGAGGGTACATGGCCTGGCGTTTCTTCATCTGACGCTCCTCACGTAGCAGGTGGGACAGGAGTTCAGCCTGTCGCTCCTTCTGACTGGCCTCGTGTTGCCTGGTAGAGACGAGGACAAATAAGAAAAGAATATGAGGAAAAAGCTTCCTACTGATCACTCAAATCTGTTGAGTCATTGCATCGCTAGACATCCACTCTTACAGAAAACGTCAGAGCCAGACAACCTAACCCTCCAGGGTATTTTGACTAGAAACCCTGCTAAAACCAGCAACATGCAACACTTGTCAAAATGACAAGCCTGCTCAGTGTAGCAAGATCCATCAGGTCAAAGTCTCAAGGCCAAACTGCCTCAGAGTCTGTGGTCACCGCATGCAGCAGGATACAACTGTGGTATGTTCAATGGGACTAGCTCTCAAGTGGCCGTTTATGCACTGGTGTTGATGGCTTACTACAGCGAAGTCCAACAGACTTTTCCACCTGATGCACTGTGTTGCGTCTGGCAGGGTTAGGGTTAAAGAACTATAATTTCAGACATGCCGGTCCGTTTGTGAACCCATTGGGTATATGAAGCCTTACTGTTTTTCTTGCTCGAACTGTTGCAGTCTTTGTTTCCTGAGCATGACCTCCTCAGCGTTCTCTCCCGCTGCCTCTAGCCCGCCCCTCTCCTGGTCTATCATCTCCTGCTCCTGCTGGGCTAAGTATCGGCTCCTTGCTTGCAGAGCCCGCAGATTCTCCTATAAAAAAATTAAAATATCAAGCAATTTGGGTGTTTCAAGCATTCAGTAGTCAAAGGCTAATATCTGCAGCGTCTTAGCTTTCATTGATGGAGCACATACCCTGTTTGATGAGACATCACTTCTTAGGTTCAGCAACGTCTTGACCCGCTGGTCCACGTGGTTCCTTTGTCTCTCCTCCTCATCTGCCTCCTTCTGCCGCACCCTGTGAGGTCAACCGAGGTCAAAGGTTAATAAAGATCAGAGGTCAAGTAAGATCAGAGATCAACCAAGGTTAGGTAAATCATACACATGATTTGAATCGTACTGTCCGATTCAGTGATGTACAGTCAACTCCCGTTATAACGAGCTCGGTCATAACGATAACCCGGATGTAACGAGCACATTCTCCCAGTCCCGATCAATTTGTGTACATTACTATGGGGAAATATTTGGTTATTACGTGCACGGACATAACGAGACTTCGGCTATTACGACGATTTTGGCTGACCCAATGCGAGGAAAAGCATTGTTCTCAACCCATTTACAACGACATCTTTTCAAAACTACGGGCATTGCAGCTTGTCAACGACAGACCTTTTGTCCCGAAACGGGTATCATGCTCCCGTCTTCCAATTCAAGCAACACACTTAAGCTTCACCCATCAATGTACCTTTGTAAAGACTTCAACCCAACGTTATTTCATCTCGCCGATCTTTATAAATAAATTCAATGGGACTGTGATAATCGGCGCAGTGGACCGCTGGTCTAGTCGCTAATCCCCCGCTGCGGTTTCCCTTAGCGTGACCAGGTTTGAAGTTTGCTTACCACTGCGGTACCATGTTTCTATATTATTACAAACTAACAATAGGGGGCGCTCAGGAGTTAAGTGTTAACATTGTAAGGAATAGCCTTTAGTACTACCGCCCGGACATCGGGTGCGTAATTGCTCCCTATTGTTGGCTTGTGGCTATAAAAAAAAATACGAAGTAAAGAACACAGCATCACAAAACAAACGGCTCTTTTCAGAGCCACCACAACTTCCAAAAAGAGATAATTCAGTCTGTCTTCAAAAAATAAAGTTTAAAACATACCGTGGTTCCCACCCCCAAAAAAGAATCCGAAGAATAAAAAAATAAAAATCTTAAACAAATTAAGAACCCCTCCGGCCCCGCCGAAAAAACAATCCCAATGAAAACAGGTTTCCAAGATCTTCAAACGCCCCACCACATATACATTGTACAAATTTTAATCCAAAATTATTACTTTTGTTTATTTATTATTATTATCTTATAAGAATCCCTCCCGACAAACAATAATCACCAATTGCTGTGAAATTACACATGGAGACACTTAAACCCGGAAGTAATATTAGCGCCCTCTCTTGCCCGATTCCAGCAAATGCAAAACGAAAGCAAAATGTCACTTGGCACGAATGTGCGCTATAGTTAACCGAAATAATTACAATTTCAAAGAATCCCTTCAGAAACAATAATACCCAACTGTTCCAAAAAGTCAACAACCAAAAGGCATCTAAGGATCAGGAGTCATTAAAACCCGGAAGTAATGCATGTATTGGCGCCCTCTCTTGCTCGATTCCAGCAAATGCAAAATGAAAGCAAAATGTCACTCGGCACGATTTGTGCGAGTGACCTACTTGCCTGATTCTTCTCAGCGATGATGCCTTTTCCTCCGGATTCAGGTCCTCAAATATTGAACAATGTTCCCTCAAAGGTATTTTATTTATTTCATTTATTCATCACCATCAGTTAAATATTTAATATACATTATTAACAGACGTACATACCAACAAATGACCATCTTTTCATGTCTTCGGACGTGCGTTACACGATTAAAACACGCACGCACATGTACCGTACCTTGTGCACAACGAATGGGGAAAACTGCGCTCCGGTTTTAGCGAGGTTCCGGCTATAACGACAGTATTGTGAAAGTCCATCGGACCTCGTTATAACGGGAGCCGACTGTACTACACAATCACAGAATATGTTTTGACAGGAAAAGGGAGATGAGAGTCACACATACTTAGCCACTGTCTCCTTGAGATATTTGGCCGCGGCCTCCCGTGAACGTCTAGCAGCACTCATGGCCTGACGATGCTTACGATCTCGCTCACGTAATGCTGCCATGTGGTCTCTGTAAGTACACAAAACAAAACAACAAAAAAGAAAGAACAATAGTTATCCAAAAAAAATTAGCAAACAAAGGCATTTCTGTCACTTATGAACGGCATCTGAATTACCTTGTGATGCCATTGTGATTGGACTTCGATCCAGTACACCTATCTTGATTGGGGGAGTGTGGCCTAGTGGTCAGGGGTTTAAATCAAGCTGCTGGTCATATGTTATGTCCTTGGGCAAGCCACTTTACCCTTACTTACCCTCTCCACCCAGGAGTATACATGGGTACTGGCATTAGCTGGGGAGTAACCTGCGATGGACTGGCATCCCATCCAGGGGGAATAGACATATTCTCAGTCATTTCAAGCCAAAGAAACCGGAGATAAACGCTAGCGAAATGGGCCATATTAGTCGTGACAGACTGTACTTTTTTATACTTTACACCTACCATGACTACAGCGCAACTAACTAGAGTTGAGTGTTTCATTCCTACCTTTCTCTATTTCTACGCCTCCGATCTGCCTGCAACACCTTGATGTTCTCCTTCCTAGCTCGTTGTAGGACATTCTCTGTCCTTTCTTGCTCCAAGCGTTCCTCTTGCGTCTCCAAATCCTCTTCTGCCAAGATAAACTTGCCTTGTTCTAGCTCTGCTTTGGAAAGGTCTAGCCTACACAAGGGTTGAAAAAATAAAAGTGGATACTAACTAGTAAAGGCTCTGGATAATTTTGTGTCTACTCTTGCGGGTAGTGATTCCCTTAACCCTAATCTTGCTCAGTCCAACAGGAACCAACTATTTCACATATCCGTTGGATCCTGTTGGATCGACCAGTAAACACCTTGTATATATTCCTGTTGAAATCTGTTGGATTAAGCAGGCAACCGAAAACATTCAGAGTTGGACTCTGTTGGATCCAGCAGCAAACAGAAAAAAGGCACAGTTGGATTCTGTTGGAATGAGCAGGCTAGTCATTTTATACTTTCAGGTGTACCCAACAACTTGGCAGTTGGGTTGTGTGGGACTGTGTTGGGTTCAGCAAGAAACTCATGAGTAACTGTCAGACTCTGTTGGATTTAGCAGGGTAGTCCTGGGGAACTATGGGGTTAGTTAAGCTTGTGTTAGTAGCCGTGATCTCCAATGGACATGTGTCTGGAGAGGTAACTACATCGTGGTTACTGCGTTATCTAGAAAACACTGTGCAGTTGGATACCATTGCGCCTCTAAAATCTCCTGAGATCGGAACATTTTGTAAGAATCGTTTTGTTAATAATTAATCTAAATCAATGTCTGTTTCCATAAAACTCAATGTCTGTTTCCATAACTGCTTTCCAATAAGTGAATGGTTGACAGTCGCACTACGATCAATGAGAGGTTCTTGAAGGATTTCACTGACCGTGCTGTAATTGTGATGTGTCAAGAGGGAGGGGGGGGGGGGGGGGGGGGGAGGGTGGGGGTTGACTTAAAGATTTCTTACTCTGCTAGGTCCAGTCGTTCCTGGATCTGTTTCTCCAAGTCTCTCTCAGCCTCAAGCTCCTTATCCAACTTAACCAGCTTGCTTCGCAGCCGATGGACGTTGGCCATGTTGCCTTGTTCCTCACTTTGAGAGAGCTGCTCTTTGACATGTTCCCCCTCTAACTCAAGGGCTTCCAGCTTGGTGCGACACTTCTTGAGTTCCTCTCTGGTGAAATCAAGAAAAACAGTGCTCCAACAAAATGAGGAATAATGTTTGAAAAGCTCAAATGCCATATAAATGAGGTTGTTGTTTAACCTATTTGCACCTGTAATATACTATATGAATCATCGTCAATGAATCCATGAAATACAGTGTGGGGGCAGTTTGAAGTATTACAGGCATCGTGCGCAAGTACCCCCTCTACAGTTTTCAAAGAGAGAGAGGCACATGTACATGTAGGCAGTACTTTTGAACGCATGTCCTGCACTAGCACTGTACGCCATACACTCAAGTAAAGACACTACATTTCTGCGCTTTCAGATGAAAACGTGCTGCGTGTATTTCAACAATACGAGGATGAATCAGTACGTGACACTTCTGGGTAGCTGATTAAAAATAGGTTTAAAACAAAGTTTTAAAACAAAGATCTTTCCCTGTAGATTGATAGGGCTGTCTGGATTATACCGAATATTCGATGATCAACCGAATACTCTAATAGCTTTTACCGGTTCGAATATTCGAAAGCAGAAAACTATGCACATACATGACCGTTTTTTACTGTCAGATGTCACTACTTGTTGATGGCGACAGCAACTTTTTTGTCCACGGCGATTATTTTTTGTCATCTTTTAGCAGGTTAAAGCCCTTGAAAGTTATAAAATACTTACATACTGCAAAACATGCCGGCTGCCCATAATGACTGCATCGATCACATTTTACCTGGTGCACTTTGCGTGCAACATTTGGCGGGCGCAGCATGCAAGTGCAGCTGGCTTGGTAAACTTGATTGGTGAGATTCGAATATTCGGTCAAAGGCACTTTCGAATAATCAAATACTAAATTATGCAAAAAACGGTTAACTCTATACAATTACATTTAAATTTTGTTAAAATGGACTATCCTTGGCAAATTATGCCACTTTGAAGTTTGTGATGTAATAAAGGTGGAAATGGAGAAATGTCAAATAGTGTGGAGGACGTAATTAATTGGGTGAACTGACCTGGAGGTCTGCACAACATGTTCGCTCTCAAGCACCTGTCCGGCCAGGTTGTCTAGATGACGACGCAGGGCCAGCATCCGTAGCTTCTCATGACGACTGAACTTCTGTTTGGCTGAGGAGGGCCTGTCACTGCCTTGCTCGCTGAGACTCTCCTCCGGTCTGGCAAGGAGCAAACAAAGAAAAGCTGCGTTCACACTGGACTCTTAAGATGATGGTAATAATGAGTAAATCTTACCAGTGTTCAGATTTGGAAGTTTGACTCGGTCAAAGTTACAACAATCATATCCAAACTGCAAGCAATTTTGTCACATGAATAACCGGCACTCCATACATCAAATTGTGCATCACACTTCTGAGGCAGTTTTGTTATAACCATAGAGCTATATCAAATTACTAGAGCGCTAACTCGCCATTCTGCGCGCGGAGACGCTTTGAAGCCGTCCTGGGCGCAGACATTTTGAATTCATGTGCGTGTCTGTAGAACAGAGATGCCACAGGGTCTGCTTGAAAAAAACGGAACTGGGTCTGCTTGAAAAAAACCGGAACGGCTGCTTGAAAAAACCGGACTTTTTTGTGAGTGAAAAAGCCACTCCGTGTCCGACACAAAGTCCCCGTTGTCATCTTTATCTTGTAGCCAAGCCAAGTTCTGTTTATTTTTTAATTTTGCTTCTATGGCCTTTAAAGCTGTCGGTTCGTTCAATCACTTTGACTTTTTCCATATTCCTAATATTTATTCTGCCTACCCGAATTTCCAACGTAATATTCGACACGAAACATGCACGATTCCACAACACTGCTGTCGGTGTACATGATCCTTGCACTACGCGATGCGCTCAACGAAAACATGGTTGGTACCCGCATTTTTTGTATTCACATATATCACTGCGATCGGAAACCACCGATAGCTGAAATGATAGACTTGATTTCCAGGCTGAATGCTACCGGTACGTGTGCTTAGCACACAACACGCCCCCACACGCGGTGAAGCACGCGCGAGGCGCCGTTGTATACTGCGTGCAATTAAGTACGTTGGCCGCTTGTATCGCATGCAGGCCCGGCAACAACATACACAAAGACTGTTTTTAAGACTACTTCAACGAACAACGTTGTGCCATGCGTGCGCCTAAATGTACTAAATCGAGGTAAAAATCAACGCATTTCCACAGTTTTTCTTCTCTTTTTCTGGTTAATTTGATGGCCGGAAAAACCGGAATTTTGTGAGATTTTTTTTAAAAACCGGAATTCCGGTTAAAACCGGAAAAGTGGCATCTCTGGTAGAACATAATGAAATTAGATGGATTGAATTTTGAAAGTGTACTCTACATGCAACGCGCAACTAGAACTCACGCAAACAACTGAAGCGCGTCACTGACGGTTAAAAAAAAAGTGACGGCAAAAAGCATCTGCAGCGAATACGCGCACGCGTTGCGCTGTTTGCGTAGAGCAAAATGACACGCTCATTTGCTGATCGTGCGTTTTGGTTTTGGGCGTATTGGCTTCGATAGCGCACCGGTATGGAATACAAACGCAGATATGCAAATAGCCGTACAAAATGTCTAGGTCTCCATAGGTTTGTGCAAAAACATGGATGCGCCCAGCAGGCATTACTGTGTAAACGAAGTTAGCGCTCTAGTAATTTAATATAGCTCTATGGTTATAACATTACCTACACCATCAAAATGATCTGGAGTTGGAAACTGTATGGAAGGCAAAACAAACAAGTAGGTCATGTTGCTGAAAACCCAGATAACACAAAGTGTCTCCCATCCTAAGCTTTATAGCCCCCGACACATCGACCTGCGATTTGCTTGCTCAGTGCACAAAACTGAGAAATCGTGCGATTATCGTGGCACAAGCATCATCCGGGCACAGAATAATTGCAACCATGCTCATGTCACGCACAACATGCTACTACAATTCACAATAAAATTAGATGATCTACATGTAGATGCCTTCATGACGTCGTAACTTCACACAGGTCGACTGTGATTTGATTTGATTTGATTTGATTTATTCGCAATTTCCACATAATAATGATACAGATTAGTTATGAACTGTAAATTAAAATTAAACATAGAGAGTCCCCCATTCAGTGGAAAAAGCAGCGATAACGCAAAAAAGGGTTGAAAAAACTTATTTCTATTGCAGTCCCAAATTGATTCCTACCTAACGCGTTCCATTGCGTCGCAAAAGTGGAAATTTTTCTACTCTTGCAACTGTTGATTTTTTTTATCACAGACTGATGCCAATCATCTTAAAGGGAATATACAACATTTGCAAACATCGAAAAATAAAACTACAAAGTTTTTAAGAAATACCTTACTAGGATGTTGGTAAATGAGAGTCTAAAGCATCCTGTAAAATTATGGCACCTGGTGTGAAGTCATTTTCAAGAAAATGGTATTTTTGTATACATTTCCAACGGTGATCGGCCGACCACCGGTGGAAAAACCTAACTATATTTCAACTACTGCTCCAAATTTACCTTTTTCAGTCCAAATTTTGTTTGGTATTGGTTACATGTTCATGAACGGGTGCAGGCCAGCTAGACTGGTTCCCTTACCTTACAATTTTCTGGCAACTATAAATTGATCCATTTCATCTTTAGTGGAGTCAGGGAACCAGACTACTTAAACAATTTTGTTTTTCTTGGTTTTTCCAGCATTTTTGAACATAAAACTTCAAACATGTCAGTGTAACAATATTTGATATATACTAACCCCTCAAATACTCCATTTCTGAAAATTACAGCAAAAGCCAATGATGTACATTCCCTTTAATATATCTCAATTAAACTTTAGGTCGCAGAAAAACGGCGACTGATTTGTTCCGACAGTCATAGCTCAGACATAGCTTGATACTGAAAAGTCAGTCGCCGACTGTCGCAAGGTGGACCTTTCAGCAGCTTTATGCTGCCCCCTTTATGCTGACCCCAACTTCCACAAAGATCACATCTTGTCTTACCCAGTTAAGGAGGTGTCGTCACTCTGCGACCACATCTCGGGATCACTCTCATACTCTAACGGTCCTTCACTTGACTCCATCCACTGACGGGTCTCTGGTCCCCCACCCCTGGCCCCTGTCTCGAAGCCCCCTGGAGAGTGTAAATCATCTCCGTCAGGGCTGGGGCTGTCATCCAGCAGGTAGCTATCTCCATCCTGGTTGGGGACAGTCAGCTCCTGTGACATGGCTTCTGTTGTTGTTGATCTTGGTGTTGTTGTTTTGGTTGCTGGTTTTGATTCGTTATCTTGTTTTACAAACTAGACAAAAAAAATGAGTCCAAGAAAGAGGCATTTTAAGAAATAGTGGCATTCTAATACAGTTCTTTTTAGGAGTTACTGTGAGAGTAAAGTTCACGGAGGTTGCTTGTAATTAGGCTTGGACGGTATTTCGGTATTACCGGATAGTCAAGGTTTTTTTTAATAACCGACTAACACCGACTAATGATTCATGAATACCGAAACACCGGTGAACTCGGTATGGAATTTCAATACCGCGGTATTCTTCCTTAGTGTTCAGAATCTTCGCAAAAAGCCTTTCAAACAGAAAAACAAGCAACCTCTTTGACATGTTTGATTCCATTCTTTGTGGTTTCAGGCATCCAGTTTCATGTCTGCATTGTCAATTACCGTTGACAGATTGAACACAATTGTCAAGCTCGACTAGAAAACCTGATACTTCGGCAGCTGCAATACCACAAAGGCCTTTGAAGTTCTGCTAACGCCGCCGTGTTTGCGGTTTTCTTTGTGTGTAAAGTGTCTCCGCTGAAAGTTCAAACAATGTTTTACACATGGGAATGTTTTGACGGTCGTGACAAAAACTGGTCGTCTTAATTGTTTCTCCGTGGTTGTTTCAGAGAAATCTTACATCATCATGCGTATTTTTTGCCACAACATAGTTCCCAAGAATATCGGCAACAAGGAAAAAAACCGTGTCAATCTTGGTTATATGACCGCCAAAACTTGCAGGCTTCAGTCTAGTGCTGGGATGCCTGGATTCACATGCGATGCTGAGCCGTCTGATCCGGGGAAAATGAGAAACAAATATTTCAAGGAAAGCGCAATATCAAAGCCATGATGATGTCTTATCATGGGCCTTGGGAATAAATGTACAATCAATCAGTGTTGGCACCGACGCGCAAAAGGAAAACAAAATCTGGACTCGCCTGAATATACGAGGCAGCGAGTGTGAACCATCCGGGAAAATTAAGAAAAAAAAATATTCCAACGAATGATTTCTTAACGTGGGTAAAAACTTTTGTACGATCTGGAAGCGTACACTTAAGTGTTTACGTGCGTCATGTGCGTGGCCGTACATGCCAGTGCATGATACGCATACACGTGGTCCCACACTGGTTCCGCACAGAGAGAGTCGGAGCACGTGCTTTTCCCCACCCATTGCATTTATCGATCTAAAGCCGTGTCCGCACTCGCCTTTTTTTGGAAGGTTTTACCGAGACGATGGTGAGATGAAAAATGGTCAAACACCCTTTTAAAAGAATCTGATTGGCCATCTAAATCCACGCTCGAAACAATTTTTTTTTCATTCATGTTTAGTTATTCATCGGTACCGACGTTCAAAGGGAAGGGACTCGCCTGAATATGCCGCGTCCTCCAGATAAAAATCCAGAAAAGAAAATACTCCAAAAGAAAGCGTAATACAAGAACCATGATTTCTCACCGTGGGAAAACCCCCCGTGATGCCCGCACGATCACACGTAAAGCTACGCCCGTCCTGCTGGGCCCACAAGCACAATTGCACGTGCTTTTTCCCACGCACTGTGTAGATCAAGCTGATTGGCCATCTAAAACGGCGCTCGAAACATTTTCCATTCATGTTTTGGAATGATTGGTCCGTTCGTTATGAAGGTCGCGGCACCGACAACTTCATATTACAGCGTCCACAATTGCGCATGCGTAATATTGTGATGTTTACTATTATCAATCACGGACCGATCACGTGAGAAGGAGTACGATATTTTTTGTAGGAGTCCGATTTTCACATGACACCGGCGAAGCACGCAAGGAGTCGCTGGTGGCCGGCATAAATTGCATGAGCCTTTTGAGTCACTCACAATGGATACCAACTGAAAAGCATACGTTCGCTAGGATCTGGGGATCGTCGCGTGGTCGGCCTCTGGCATCGGTCGACGATCTGCATTATTTTTTAGTGGACCTTGTCAAGTCAATGACTTACAAATTCGAAAAATGCAATACCACAAAAAGTAAGCTTCCCGTGTTTAATAATCTGTTACAACTTACAATGATATGTTGTTTTTACAAACAAATGGACTGATAATGAAAGTTTGAAATCAAGACACTTTTAGTGTAGGAGATTTGCGGCGTGAAGCATTTGCGTGATTTATGCTGCGCCGGCGGCTTATCAACTCGGCATGTGGTGTCTGGTGGTTAGTTATTTTTCCTTCTGATAATGACGTAACTAATACCCCACTTAACATAAAACCGCGGTTTTAGTGAATACCGCGGTTTTTTTGTCACTGGATACCGCGGTATAGTAAATGCAATACCGTCCCAAGCCTACTTGTAATGGATTTTTTTTTTCTGAGTCGTAAGTCAAGCATCAAATAACTTTGGTCTTTCTTTTGTGTGACACTATGGCTTGGACCCTGCTATCGCCAGACCATGTCCCAATGTTAAAAAAGGCGATTAGTAGGGTCCAAGTTACTCGGACTACATGTACTACTGTACGTTATATTACTAGCCTGCTAGAGTTAGTAGGCTACTGTTGGTCTAGCGTTGGTGACTGTGTAGTGTAGGGCCCCTCTTTAGTTTTGATCAAATTAGAGACAAGGGTGTTTTTTATCATTCCAAAGTGACTTTTTCAACCTAAGGCCAAAAAAAAAAAGTCTCTGGTTTCTGGTATGTAGCTTGCCCAAAAAGTGGTGCGGCGACGCGGCTTTTTTTTTTTTTTTACCTGATTTTTTTGCTTCAAATGTCGGCTGATGACTGCAAATGGTGCCCGACTAAACTTAGTGCAAATATATAGCAGTCCAGAGAGGCCACATAAAGCTTATTCTCGACCATAACCCAATCTAAAAACACGTTAAAATTGTGCAGCAGCAGGATTCCAGTCAAACCAGTGAGTTTGGCGGTTTTGAGACATCATCTTTCACTGAAAAAAAAACTTTTTCATTTTGCCGACGCGCATGGCTACGGCGACGCGCGCGCATACCAGAAACCGGAGACTTTTTTGGGGGGGCCTAAAGCAGACATGTCTTAATTCCAATGACACCATTATTAGTAATATTGAACAGTTTCTTTACAGTTTTGGTACGAACTCCCTGTGTGAAGACTTACACGCACATGCATGCACAGCCCGCACGCGGCCGCATACGGCATGCGCTTGTAAGTCTTCACACGGGGAGTTCGTACTAAAAATGTTTTCAATGAAAGCGTGGATCCGTGGTTTATTTTCGGTAAACACGTCGCCTACGGACATATTTGCCGTTTCTAAACCCAGCGTATGCATAATTCTGGACACAAGGAATAGGCCTATGTAAAGATTTCCATATCTGGCCATCACTTGTCACCCTGTGCACAAACGCTATGCATGCTATGTTTTCTCAATCTCAGTAAGTAAAATAGGCCTAGGGCCTTCCCTGCTATAATTTAAAGTGCTAAACATGACTTTTTATTTTAGGACATAGGACCCTAGTATTATCACTTTCGGAGCAACTATAGAATGCAGGGCCACGCCGGAGCAAGGTTTTTTATTTTGCTTGGAGGCGTGGATCGAGGTCGGCAATGTGAGGATAGGAGTAATAGGTTGACAATATAATAATATGCAAACCTGCAAAAAGTGCTAAGTACAGCGAATGCACTTGTCTTGTAAGCTTTTCATGAAGGATCGGAAGGGAGGGCGCGCTTGTAAATGTGACGGGGCACTGGAGTCGCGGAGGCGCGGAGTCGCAGAGACACGTGCCGATAGAGGGCGGTATTTTTTTGAGAACGAAGCATCCATATGCATTTTAAATGGGCTCGCAAAAGAAGGGAGGAGGGCGACGGGGCACTGGAGTCGCGGAGACGCGGGCCACTGGAGTCGCGGAGTCGCGGAGTCGCAGAGAGCGCACCGATAGAGGGCGCAATTCTCGGAGATATCGACTGCGGCTCCACGCAGCCGTACAGAGGCGCGGATGTAGAGTAAAGTGGCCCTGCATTAGTTGTACCTCACTTTCTGATGGCTGATAGGTCACTGAAGGGAAAAATATCTGATGGCCAGATATGGGAATCTTTCCGAATCAATACCCTGGACGTCAGCTGGGCTATGGACTCCCTACTTAAGTTACACGCACGGGAACACGGCAGGGAATCAAATTCAAAACAAACACATCGTTTCAAATCAATGCAACCAAATAAATACCTCAATAGGCTAGTTCTTAAAGTCTGACACAGCTAGAGCTTAAATCAAACGATGCTTATCTTGCATGTTTTAACAAAAAAAGGAATATATTAATAAAATTCGCAAGTCTGTCTCAGATTTACCGTCAATTTTAGAAGAGTTCAGACGCGAATTTCCACTGCCTTGCACGGCGCCATCTTCGTCTAGGCAACAAGTTGATACGGACTGACATTGCCAACAGAGGGCGCACTTCTCGATCCTGGAGTACTGTAGTCGCCATTATATTTTTCAATTGTATTCCAAAAATACAGGTGTTTTTGAATATAAATTTTGTTTAGTAATCAGTCGTAATGTCATCAGAAAGTCTATTAAATTTCCAAAGGAAACATCAAACACTATGCGGACAGAGTGGTGTCGGACTCGGAGGGCATTTATCCGCGTCGCACACTGACTTTTGCCAACTAACATTTTATTTCAAAAGAGGGCGCGCTTCACAAATCATGGTCATTGGTCACTTAAACTTAATGGAACAAAAACAACATTCTCTTTGTGGACACGATAACTTCAGAAATACAGGTGTTTTTGAATAGAAAATTTGTTCAGTAATCGGTCGTAGTGTCATCAGGAAGAAAAGGGAATATTAAACACTAAATTTAATACTATTAAAGCAGTAGAGTGGTGCAAGCGCGAAAAATAAATCCCAATTCAGGGGCGGATCCAGGACTTTCCAAAGGGGGGGGGGGTTGCCTATTCGTGACTGTTTTACATTAAAACAAGTTGACACGTTATGGCAACCAGTCTCAAGCTCTCGAATACACGGCCAAGGAGTATACAGCTCGATGCTGCCATTTCAGCACAACGCAGCTAAAATCAGTCACAATAACCATCTCTGCCCTCACAGGTATCCATTTGCTCCTGGGTGGGGAGAAGCAATGAGTGACAAAGTGCCTTGCCCAAGGGCACACGCACCACTGAACCCCAGGCTGGACTCGAACCCACACCCTGCAAAATTACTCACAGACCAAGAATCCAATGCTCCAGACCACGCGGCCACGGCAAAGCTCCTATCAGTGGAAAACTATATCCAGTCGGCTCCCGTTTAATAGCATATACGAAATCCACGTGACCCGGTCAAAATATTCGTTGTATCAGACATGCGTTTTATCCGATTCTATGGTGTTCTAAAATGGACAGGCAAACGTCGTGTGCGTGAGTTTGCGTGAGTTTGAAACGTCATGTGCGTGAGCTAGCTTGAAGAGTCGTATGTGTAAGCTTTCAAACGGACTCGGCCGGATTTCTGGTCGCCTATTCAGCTAGCTACGGATTCAGTAAAAAAAAATCTTTAATACATGTGGCAAAAGGTGATTTAGTTTCCAGAAAAAAATTTCATTATTTTCCATAATGTAGGTTTCCCCGGCTATTTTAACACTTGTATCACACGAATTCCCTATATCGATACTTTAATTTCGTCCCCGATCATCGCCAAGCTCACTTCTCAATTTGAATTTCAAAAAGCCACCACTAGATTTCATTTAAGGTTCAGTGTAATTCAAATTGTAAGCATTCCTATTCGTCCAAAATCTTTGAAATTCGTCTCGTGAAGCAATCGGCGCTGAATTGACAAAGCAAATTCGTTTTTTTGTCATTCGTTTTCATGTTGTTGTAATTACGTTTCGTCCCGGGTGACTTAAATCGTAAATGATTAGAATATGCGCCCAATATTTAGACTTATTTGAAGAATTATGCGTACTAAAACAATGATAATTCGACATAATATTTCCTTATATGTATAAATAAAAGTAGTTAGCTGTATGTATGAATGGAACATTTAATGGGGGGCGTCATGTAGATCAATGATAATGTTTTTAGAAACTCAAAATCTCAGTGGGGGGGGGGGGGGGGCGACTGGGGGGCGACAAGGTTTCATGGTGGGGGGGGGGGGGGGCTGTCGCCCCCACACCCCCTTCCCCGTGGCTACGTCACTGGTTGGCACCCATTTATACGCCTGTGTAGAGAGAGGCAAGTGTGGATGAAGTCTGCCCTAGGACACAACATATGGCCAGCAGCTGAATTCGAACTCCTGACCCTCTGATCATGAGTCACAAACCCTAACCACACTACGGCACAAAAAAGGAGTTTGATCACTGCTTGCTCAATTGGAAGTTGGTTGCTGCATCGGCGAATAATATGGAAGACATAATCTAACTTTTGAAGCGCATTTCTGGTGCTGCACATGGCTACCCGAAAATAACAACGACAAACTTCAATTTGGAGATTGACGGAGCCTCTAAAGTCCTTGGAGTTAATGTAACATATGCCTGTCATCTAAAAATACACGTTTTATGGCTGTTTTGTCTTTGCACAGATGTAATAAAATTATATTCTGAATTATCGAAAGAACGGTTCGTGGCTAGACTGTACGAATAATTAATTTTCTGCATAAGTAACATAATATGCTTATTTTCTAAAAAAATAATAATGCATTTTGTGGCTTGTTTGTCTTTGCAGGGCATAATTACAGTTTGCTCTATTATTTTTTGGTCCCATTTTAATAGTTTATACAATTAGGCAGCTGCTGAACGGCGGAGGGGATTGCAACCGCCCCCTCTAAATCTGGTACTGTAGATGGAGGCTTGTTGGAATGAGAGGGTGAAATTATTGTCCATTTGTCTTTGATGAAAACAGTTGTTCTTCCTCGTTTCTACTCATAAATATTGATTTGTGATGACAATTTTTTTTTTAAAGCCAGCCATCCAGTAGGCCTACTCAAAAACAGAAACAGTGTCGGTATATAGACTTCAATTTGGAATTTGACGGAGCCTCCGAGTCACTGGAGTTTATGTAACATATGCTTATCATCTAAAAATGCATGGTTTTTATTATGGCTTTCTTGTTTTTGCAGGGCGTAATAAAAAGTTTGCTCTGAGCCAACGAAAGAATGGTTCGTGGCCACATTGTACGAACTGTTGAAACTTCTCCTTTTAGGTATGAGAGCAAAACTGGTGAAGTACCATTGCAATCAGTTATGGCGAAAAAAAAGGAGAAGTGTATGAAATAAAATAATTCTTGTTATTTCGCCCTGGGGTTGTGGTGCGTGTGCCCTTGGGCAAAGCACTTAATTTGTCACTCATTGCTACTTCACACCCCTGAGGTACAAATGGACACATGTGAGGGCAGAGATTGTTATTGATTTTAGCTGCCTTGCGCCGAAGTGGCTGCATCGAGCTGTATACTCCCCAGGGACAAGGGTGGATCCAGAACACAATTTTAGGGGGGGGGGGGGCACAAACAAATTTGATCCCCCAAAAAGTGGGTCCCAAAAAATACGGCGTGGGATTCTAAACGCTCTGTGGTGCGATCCGAGGCAGTTTATGACCACTTTAATCAAATCTTTTTGAGGAAAAGATGGTGGTGTACGCAGTGCCTGACTTTATTGCGACTTCACATAAAAAAGGGTTCTTTTTTTGGAGGGGGGATGGCCCCCGTTGCCCCCCCCCCGATCCGCCCTTGCCCAGGGAGCTGATATTGTATTTAGAATGTCTCATTTGCCCAATGATCAGGGGTAATAATAATGTAAAGCGCTTTGATCTTAATTAAAAGTGCTATATAAGTACCCATTATTATTTTTCATTAAAAACACATGTACTGGGTTCAAAAATACATGTAGTGGTGAAAGTTTGCCAATTTATTCTCGCAATAAAAATTTAACCCTGTAATCCATCATGTTTTTGTACGAGTTCATCGGCGCCCTAAGACAGTCCCTGCATGAAAGAGGTTTCTTCCTGCTCCTTTTCTTTAAGAATTTTAAACATTGCGTATCGTATATGATGAAATAAAATTGTGAGTTTTTGACAACGTGTGCGTTACACTTTGTTTTTAAATCGGCAGTGACGTGCGCAGCCGAAAAGAACGCAGCACAATACAATGTGCATTGAAAATGTGTTTACTAGGCTAATTAGACACTAATTATTGTTGGGCTGAAGCCAAAATTGAGTGAACCCAGTAGCATTATCTCGTAGATTATGAAATAAAATTGTGAGTTTTGGACAACATGTGCGGTACACTTTGTTTTAAGTAGGCAGTGATATTCGCAGTTAACAGGAATGCATTTTAATAGCTCAGTAAAAATCGGGTCAGTTTAACAGGCTAATCAGGCACTAATTAGTATTCGGCTGTGGCCAATACCAAAGTTAAGTGTGCCCAGTAACATGATGTCGTAGATTATGAAATGAAATTGAGTTTTGACAACATGTGCGGTACACTCTGTTTCAAATGATGCATTTACTTTCCAACATCTACGTAAAAGCGTTGAAAAATAACATGAAATGTGCTGATTCCCATTATGCAGCTAATTTAATAATAATAATTGCATCATAATTTCAACTTATGAAACAGTTGCTTATGTTGCGCATTTTAATATAGCGTGAAAACATATTGTTATTTGTCGTTTATTATGGAAAATTCGTTGAATTAATGAAGTTATCTTTCTGGAAAATAGATCACCTTTTGCCGCATGTATTAGGCCTACAGATTTGTTTGACTTATGGTGATTGCGCGGCTGAATCCACGACTAGCTAAATAGGCGACCAAACATCCGGCTGAGTCCGTTTCAAGCTCACTCGCACGACGTTTCAAACTCACACACACACGACGACGTTTAAAACGCACACACGCGACGGAAGCGCACACGCACGACGTTTCGTGCTCACTCACACAACGTTTTAAGCTCACACACACGACGTGGAAGCACGTTTGTTTATGGTGTAAATCGAGGATTTGCTATTGTTCCTCTTCCCTTTTCCTTTGTTTATACTTTTTGCAACAACTCTCAATGGTTTTGTACACGTTTTCTAATCAAGGTCGTCCTCGATTTGGTTCCTTCACATTCTCAAAGAATTTTTCGTCGTTGTGTCGATGCAGTATTTTCGTCCAATTAAAATAGGCAATTACATATGCAAATGTATATGGGCTACGTGTTCTAACCAGTATTACCATAAAAAGTGCGGGCGACGATAGCAAAGGTATTCAATTTAGTGTAATGAGAAGTACCGTTTTATTGCACACTTCAAATTGCCCTCTTGTATACGCGAATCTATTCCAAACTGACACCGAGGATTTGCGCGACCGACATGGGGACCTACTATCGAATCAGCCCCGGGATTCTTGCAACTATTGCCGGATTTTTGCAGTTCTTTGTGACGACGATCATCGTGAAATCTCTGGGCATTCTTTTGGTGTCGATGGGCGGGGAACTACGGACTGACACGTGGGAGCTAGGCTCAATCTTTGCACTGATCGAGTGCGTCAGCGATGTGTTGGGTAGGTCTAAAGTCTGTCTGCGTGCGTCTTTCTAAACGGAGCCAAAACCAGTCCAAAAACCCAAACGTTTTGAGCGTTCTAAAGTTTGACTTGCGCCCAATGATAAGGTTCTTATGAATTCGATAACTCCCTCTCATGCAGAGCAGTTTTCCATTTAAGAAAGAGCTTATCAGCAGCATGAATCTTTTTGACAAAAAATGCCTCTTAACAGCATGTAAAAAAGTGATTACGTTCTTTTGCGTATATGGCCAATGATTTAAAAATTTAAGTTTAAAAAATGCGTTTGCATTTTCAGTCTTTTTCTCCAAGTTTCCGATATCTTTAGAGCTCCAACCTTTGCCGGCGCGGTTAGTACATTAGCATTTCCATGTATTCCTTTTTTGGGAGGGGGGATTTTTTTTTAAATTGACTGCAAATAATCTGTATATCTTTTAGTCATAGCGGCTCTTTTGAATTTAACACAAATGTTATAAAACTATGTAAGTATCGGTGGTCAATTGGGTCAAGTGCCCGCGCTAACGCATTATCTCTTTCCTCGTTGGGGCTTAAAAAGTCTGGTAAAACAATGCACATCCCCTGTTGACAATGTGGACCTTCCGTTTCATCACATCGTCCACACTCATGTTGCATTTAGACAGTTCATCTCAATGCTAAGTGTCAGCACATTTTTGAAAAAAAAAGACGGTTTTACTTTTTTTTTAGTTCCCTGCTGCATGCTCAGAACGTTTTTTTATATCCACAAAAGCAGGGGTAAAAGTACATATTGCAAACTCATACACCCCCACATTGTCCACTGGCAGTGTTTAAGCTAATAATTTTAAAAGGACATTTCTTTAGGATGACCTTAGTGTCTTCTTTTGTTTAATTATTTGTTTTAATGTATTGTTTAATTTTATTTGTTTTGTTGCCGCTGGTATTGGAATTGAAGGTCATATGGTCACAGTTATTAAGTTTTAATACAACATGTACCTGGTATTTGCCGCTTGCCGTTGTCCGCTAGCCTTTTGACTGTGTTATACCATACTGTATATTTGTGTGTTTTTCAATGCTGAATAAATAATAATAATAATTTTAATATAGCTGAAAATACACCATTAGGAAGACATTCCCATAGACTTAGGCATTTTTTCCCCTGACTTTCCTGACCCCTTACCTCACTTTCACCTTATCGTACCCACACAAATCGTGGTATTTGTTTTTTACTAATTGGACCACGAGCAATCGATCTAGCCTATTTGCGACACTAAAATTGTGCCTCTAAATATGAGCTGAATTCCACATGTCTCCCAAATGGTATAATTTACGATACTTCAACCAAAGTTTACAGTGCATTCAGTTACTACTCTGAATAATACAATTATCCCGCTCTGTAGCACCAATTGCAGGTCCAATTGGTACGTTCATCGGGCATCGGCCGGCCGTCATGTTGGGCGGTGCGCTAGTCAGCGTGGGTCTGGTAGCCGCGTCGCAATCAACCAACGTCCTACACATCGCGCTCTTGCTGAACCTACCTTTAGGTAGGCCTACAAGTTACATGTACATGTTTTATGCTTTCTGTTATGTTGTACATTTGATCTAAATTTTACGACGGATACGAAATATTGGCTATCACTCTAATTTGTTTGCGTACAAACGGTTGACACATACACACGGAGTGCTTGTAAATTATAGCATCGTGCTTTGACGAAATATTCCAACTTACGATAAAACATCATGTAACATGGTTGAAGTATCTTGATTTGATTTTCAATTTTTTCCCCATCGAAACTGTAAAATATCCCAGTGATATTTTGGACCTGTTTATCGGGTATTTGTTATCTTTCCCAACAGCCACCGGCTACTGTCTCACTAACGTGCTTACGCGAACCGCACTTGGTGAATATTACGACCGTCGGAGTTTTGCACTGGCGTCTGGTATCACCAAAACTGGAGTTTCCGTCAGTCTGGTCTGTGTGCCGCCTCTCGTTCAGGTGTTTAACGACACTTACGGATGGAGGGGCACCATGCTCCTAGTTGGTGGGATTTGCGCTCATCTTGTTGTGTGCGGCGCCCTCCTCATGCCCTTGACTGCCAAGAAAACAAATACGGGTACTTCCAAGGGTGAGTACGAACCTCTTCCTGATAGCGGCTGTTCGAACCTGCCAAGCAGTTTCCCCCCGAGCAATTGTGGAGTTGCTGAGTCGCTGAGAGATCTTCTTCTGAGAGCGGGCACCTCTCTTAATCTTCCCCTTCTGAAGAGCTGCAAGTTTTGGGTTGTCACTATCATTTTCGTGTCCACTCGAATCACCAAGTCAGCGTGGATCATCTATTTCGTCCCCCACGCTGTCGCTAAGGGGTTTTCCCAGAATGCAGCCGCTGTCATGGTAACCCTGGCCGGGGTCGGCCATCTTGTGGGCACTGTCGTCGTCAGTGTGGTCCTGTTCAAGGAGAAGGTAGCGAGTACCAGCGCGATGCTGGTTTCCTCACTCCTCCTAGCCGTGCCGTTCTTCCTGGATCCCTGGCTGAACTCGGGGTGGTCGTTGTCGCTCGGCGGCCTGTTCGTTATGTCAGCTGTAGGATCGGTGTATGCACTGTCTGACATCATGGTCAAGGAATACTTCGGTTATGAGAAGATGGCGAGTGCTTACGGATGGATGGGATTCTTTTCTGGTATATTTCGAGTATCATCTGGATTTATTCCAGGTACATTATCTTTGTTTGTTTTAATAAAACACAAGAAACATACAGTTTTAAAAGACAATCACAAGGCATGTCCTATCGGGACATTGAAGGAGTTGACAATGATAAAATATTTTTGGGCTTCATTTAATTGAATAATAGTTTAGTCGACTTGAGACTTAGAAGTCTTCTGTTTGACTTGTGGGTGACTTGAAGTACTACGTCAAGACTTAGTGTTCGTGGAGGAGGCAAAAGAGTGATTTTCTGACAATTTTGCCAGGAGCAGGTTGACCCCGAATTGATAAATTGTTGATGACATGTACTTCAATCTCGTCGTTTCCATCATTTTTTTTCAGGCTGGATTTACGACCACAGTGGAAGCTACGACCTAGCTTTCATCATCCTGGGAACCATCCAGATTACTTCGCTGGTCCCCCTGCTAATCAATACACTAACAGTCGGCGATGCGTTGAAGTGATTGGAGGCCAGCTGTCACGTGGTGTCGACCAGCGGATTAGCACAAGTTCGACTCAGGACAGTTGGTCAACTCGTAGTTGATTCGAGACGATAATCACGCATGCGCACTCATAATAGCGTGCGAACGTCTCTGCTCATACGATGATCAAAACTATTGTTACTTCTTCAGTGGTTCTCTGCTGTACATTATGAAGCCCGCGGCTGTTGTTACCAGCGATGCGACCGACCTCCGTAGGCTTGTCCTAAACAGTTGAATACCTCATTAGCATAAACAGGACTATTAGCATAACCATGAAGGGCCATTAGCAAAAACATGAAGGACTCATTAGCGTAAATATTGATATTAGCATAAACATGAATGACCATTAGTATAAACATTGCTATTGGCAAAAACATTTAGAATCATTAGCATAATTCATATATAATAAGGTACAATGTTCGATTTGAAAAGAACCAATTATATTTTCTAATAGAGAAATTGGCTTCTTTTAAAGTATTAGCCACAGCACAAAAATTGAATAGGTAAGATTTCAAAAGAATTCTGACCTACATGAAAAAAATAAACCTAAATGGAAGTCCAAGAATTAATATTACCGAATCCAAACGACCAATAATAACAAAACACGGAAAGAATCCATAAAACAAACAACACATTTATAATGCTATTTGGAATGCATAATTATCGAATTAACAAACGCTATGACTAAATGTATACAACGTTTGTTTAATTTTATTTTCAATCGCAATGCACGTCTTCTTCATTTTAGTGGAGATATACCACACAAGGTATAAGTTGGGAAAATACCCTCAAATGGACGCCATCAGTTACCTTTAAAATGTTTTGATCATGGTTTAAATAATTAAAAGTATTTAGTTTTTCCAACATTTGATGTAACATTAAGTATCTGTTCTTATTTGTAAACAGTATGCAGTGTGTCCCAGAAAAAAAAAAGCGGGCCTGGACAAATCAGCGGTCATATCTAAATACATATTCATATGAGACAAAATTATGTTGACTGAATTGCAATAAAAACTCTTAAAGCCGTGACTAGACACGTAAGAACTCCACAAAATCGAAATTTACACTCGTTGCGGCAATAGCTTGTGCTGGTAAATTAGTGGAGAGAGGGAGACCACGAACCTTTACCACATACACAAACACATTTCACATGCAAACCAGAAGAGACTATGTCTTTATGTCATAACACGTTTACATGTAAAATAAGTTACTATATTGAATTTGTTCAGTTTGGTGTTTGTTGGTGTTTTTCATCAAAAGTAACATGACGAAAACTTAGGAAATAATATTATTATCTGTTGATGTCAAGAAGTTTGTATAATTTGTCTGGTTTATCCATCCAAAAATAGATGCAACATGATGTTCTTATTTCTTCTGGTTCTTTTTCTTTCTATCACATTTGCAAGTCACCGTAAGGCCATACAATTTTGTTTTATGGATGAACATCAAGTGCATTAGCATCAATGATTCATTTGCATTATTTGAGTTATAAGCATTTGAAAAAGTATAAGCGTCGCAATTTGGAACATATAAACTTCTTGTAAGGTTAACATTTGCCATTTGTTTTACAATTTTGCCCGGAAAATGAATTTGGTTGAAATTTACGGGGAAAAGGGCTACATGCAGTGCAACAGAAGAACACATACCAATTCGATCTTTGGACAGATATGCTATTAAAAGAAATATTGCGTCGAAAATTTGGGGGAAATCATTCAAAATATGATTATTTTGCAATAATTAGGTGATTTTTGGCCAAATCTCGGAAATTTTGGGGTTTTGAATATGGATTGATGTTGAATTTGCGATATCTGCGTTGTTAGGAGATAAGTAAATTTTTGATCAAATGTTGCTTGAAAAGTACATGTATACATTTCTTGCAATCTTTTTTTAATGAATAAGATGAAATTGCTTGAAACTTGCAGGGAAGATGCATACAGGCCCTAAATCATTCTCTTACTCCGTCCTTGTACAGATTAGCTTTTTAAAGGGGGGAAAAATTCGTCGAAATTTTGTGAAAAAAATCAGCCGAAAAAACATTTAAAAACAAAAGTACATATGTGACTTTTAGCTCGATTGTTCAAAATTTCGGGCGTTTGAATATTGATTGTTATTAATCTTGCCTCCAAAGGAATAAATACGTTGTTCGGCGAAAAGCTAATTTGTTGACCAATTTTCGATTTTTTTTTTGCTGGTTTCAATTGTGGCCGAAAAATGAAATTGCTTAACACTAGCAGGGAAGATGCCTAAGGGTTTCTAGAACACATGCCAATGCGATTTCTGAACGGAAGTGCTTTTCAAGGAAGAGTTGCGTGGACAATTTTGGGTAAAATCAGTCAAAGTGCTTGTTTTTTCTCCAATAAAATTCCATGCTTTTTTTTCAAAAAATCGTCCAAATTGTGGGTGTTTGAATATCAATTGATGCTCCTCTTACCTCCGAATGAATTTCTGCGATGTTACGAGAAAAGTCGATTTTTTCCCCTCCAAATTTGACTAAAAATGTATTACGTTAACCATTGTATTTGGTTTTCCAATTGCGTAATTAAATGAAATTGCTTAAAACTTGTAGAAAAAAAAGCATGAGTAGCCTTTTAGCATATAGACCAATTCGGTCTATATGGACAGATGATATTATTCTGATAATAATTAACAGAATGATATAAGCACTCAGCATTTGTCGAGAACCACCCGCAACTTGTCATTTGCATAAATCAATTACATTTCATTAATTTGAATTGCCCTGTAAAGAGCGTACTTTTTTAAAAGCCGTTCTAGATTATCATGTGTGACAAAGATGTTGATGTATTTAGAAGGGAATGAATTTTGACGGAAGTACCATTAATTTATGTGGCAGGACATGTGCATCCAGTAATATGCACTCGATTTTACATTATATTAGTTTTGAATATGTTGGGCTTTAAACCTGTGTAAAATGTGCATGTTAAAAAAGCTATTATCTAAAACTGTTACAGTTTGGAAAATAATCAAACAAACAAACAAACACCCCAACCAACCAACCAACAAACAAACTAAATAATGAAAGGTTTGCGGAAACACCATGTGCGAATAATTTCTCAACTAAGAGAATGGTTCTGAAAAGAACCAGAGGTACCTCTCATGGTTCTTTTCAGAACCATTCTCTTAGTTGAGAAATTATTCGCACATGGTGTCTCCGCAAACCTTTCATTATTTAGTATCTCCACCATGCAAAGCCTCAAATCTTACTTAAACAAACAAACACCCCAAACAACACTAAAAACAAACACCCCAACAAGCCAACAAACAAACAACCCCTAACAACCCCACACACAAACTAACATGCAGTTGAGGGGGTACTTGTGCAAGGAGCCACAAGTGGATGGATCTGCGTTTTCATTAAAGAGGTTGTGGAATGCTCGAAGACATTTCCGTCATTTTTGGGGTATGTGTAGCCTAAGGTGTGATGAAATAAAAACGACTATTGTTTCTGTCATGAAATGAGTACAAAGGGTACTTTTGAGAGCTATTTTCCAGGTCCTGTTTCGACCCGAACGAGCAATTTGTGTAAAAGTCGTCGTTGCGGCAGCAAACAAAACACAGTAAATCGTGACGTAATAAACAGGACTCGTTTATGCTACTCTACAGTGCAAGGACGAAACTGGGGTACTATTTGTAGGGTGGGCAACCTTGGTGTTTCTTAATTTTGTACTGAGAGGGGCGGTCATTGGGGCCAGCGGAGAGAACAAGGGTCACAAAGGGGCACAGGCCTCGAGCTTCTTATAACAGTGTTGTAGTCGATTACAATAAGGAGTAATTTATCTGCCATTATTACGAGTGGGAGTAGGAGGCAATCTTTTCCCCCATGAGTAGAATGCGAATACGAGTTTCAAAGAAACGTACACAATGACGAGTACGGGCCCATGAACGAGTACTTTCCAAATGTAGGAGCAAACTTTGGGAACACTTAGAATATATATTTTAAATTATTGTGGAAGAACGTTAGCAAGAGTATGTCCTACCAAAAAGAAACTACAAACCACCTGATATTAGCCTGTGTAAATGTCTGCACAAACACGGTGATTTAGTACACTGACCAGGCCGCTGACGCGATTTGCCTGATTAGTTCCATTGGAGACGAAGGACACATTTCATAAACACACACAGAATTCATATGCACCTGTATTTAACAACTGTAAACGCTACACCAAAACAGTCATGGGTCATTGCCATTTAAAAGTAGGAAACGTACTTTACAACATTTATGCTAGAGTATCAATATACACTGCCAATCAAGTATGGCCCACATCAAGAGAAGGTTAGTTGTTTTTCTTCTGCTGGGAATTGTGACCATTGTAGTGAATTTGATCTTCCAATACATGATTCTGCACCGAGGGAGACTAGCAACCAACGGCAGTAATCTCACTATCAGGTTGGCCATCAAGTCGTCAGGCGATCAACATCCTACAAACTTCAGCAGTGGGTATGACACTAGGCGCTCGCTAACTCCCATGCGCTCAGAGACGACTATCAATGATTGGTGGTGTTCAGGCCGGCTTGAACCGTCTAAACAGATACCCCGGGACGGTTTGTATTCAGTCAAGGAAGAAAACAAAAGCGTACTGGACAAGCACTTCTTGACTGCCGTTTTGGTGGTCCGGATCTTTGCCTCTGATAAGAATCAGCTCACTACCAGAGAGTTGGTGCAGTGGTTGCAGTATATCAGCTGGGCAGGCGTGGAACATGTCTACGTTTACGATTCGTACCACTACAAGAGTGAATCACAGCGAGAAAACCTGCGCTGTTTCATCGAGAACGGCTTCGTGACCTATGTTGACTGGAGCCACCGGGTCAAGCGAAATATTAGTGGTCTGGAGCGGGCAATGGTCACACAGCTACCCGCCTATCAGAACTGCATCGACATATACGGTCACGAGTTCATCTGGCAAACGGCCATCGATATCGATGAGTACCCCTACAGCTCCAAGGACCGAGCACCAGGATTCTTTCGACGTGTCGTCCAGAAAATCGCCCAGGAACAGAAGCGGAACATCGGTCAGATTTTCATGAAGGAATACCTGTTTCTTGGGCAGCCCCTGAATGTCTCGCAACATCCGCTCTTAATCGACCGGCTGTGGCGAAGAAACAAAAAGCCACGTTTAAAGAATTATAGCACAAGGAAACCAATCTACATAGCGCGAGCTGTAAGCATGGCACATGTGCATGCCAATTTCATACGGCAAGGATACGTGCAGTACTATCCTACTGCAGGTTTACTAAGAATGAATCACTATCATGGCGCGAGGCACAACTTTACCGAGGGAGAGTTACTGAAGAGGACCCGGAAGGATTGGGGTATGAAGACGGCTGTTTTGGCCATGCAACCGTGTCTTAATGCATGCTACTTAGGGTGCTGCTAGCAGTTGTCAACTCTTCACATGGCCGACATTCCAGATTTAATTCGAGAGGAGGTTGAGTCAGACAATACAAATCGACAGTTGTTAATTTTTTGTTTTTCATTAAACACACCCATTGAGACGTGCATTACAACAATGTTCTTACAAAATTTCAAGTTCCTAAGTGAAGTATACTTCAAGTGATCGTGTTGACAAGATTTCTACTGCTTGGGCAATATAGTGACCTTGACCTTTGACCTGTCGGCCCCAAAAGCAAAAGGATTTTTAAGGCTACCAAGAGCAACTTACAAACCAAATTTCAAGTTCCTGAGTAAAGTATTTCTAAAGTTATCGTGCTGACAAGAATTAACCTAACCAAAAAATAACACACATATTATAGAGACACCCAGATATAGGCCTACACAAAGAAGGAATACGCTATCGCAACATCCCCCTCCGGCTTACTGACATGGGATAAAATGGAGTTAATACTTCAGATTTCACGTATTTACTGTCTTTCTCCTGAAGACGGTCAGAGCATACTGACCGGAACGTCGAGTTTATACCTCTGGTTCTTTTCAGAACCATTCTCTTAGTTGAGAAATTATTCGCACATGGTGTTTCCGCAAACCTTTCATTATTTAGTATCTCCACCATGCAAAGCCTCAAATCTTACTTATTTACTGGCCATTTTTCAAGGCTGGATTGGGGCAACCTTGAGAATACTGATCAAGCAAATACTTCTGCGGAAAAGAATCTGCATTTTATTTATATTAATCGCGCCAAAAATAACACAAAACGTAAAAAAATCAACATATTATACCAAACACTTCATTGTGAATAACATTTATGCGAAATTTAAATATTTTTTATTATTAAATCCATTGCTACAAAAAGCGATAATTTAGCATTTTGTTCACGATATGCGAAGTGTTAGCGTAATTAATATTTAGTGCGGGATAGACACAATTAAGGAGAAAATTTTTACCAACGGCACCCTGGGGACTGAACAAAATGAAAGCATTGTTTAGTTTATTAGTCACCAATCTTTGCAAACTATTTGTTATTAATATTGCAATAAACCAAAAACCTTTGTGTACTGAAGTTTAGTATTCACGCGCTTTGACATACACGTGTCTGTGACTCTTATTTTTATGCAATTGTGACGTCTACACGACCTTGTGGACCTTTACAATGTTCATGAATTTGCCTTTTAATTAATGGACAAGGGAAAAGCGAAAATCAATTTTTAAACAAGATAATGTTTTTTTTAAACTCGGGCTTAATGTTCCATTTTAAATCTGTTTATTTATACATCGTCTGTTTTAATCTAGGGTTTTAATTTTGTGTGGTTTAGTTGCTCGGGTTATGCATCATCTGTTGTAATTAAGTGTTTTAATTTTGTGTGGTTTTAATTACTTGGGTTATTTTTAGTAATGTATTCATAATGGCTTTTTTTTTTAATTTTTGTCGTTATTATATCATGTTTTTATGTAGTCCAGGGCCGAGAACAGTTCATTGACATCTGATGGGGCTACCCTGGTAAAATAACACGAAATAAATAAATGAAT